CTCCCAGAGTGGGAATGTGAGGGTCCAGGGTCCCCATGCTTCCTCTCCCCTATGCCTTGGGGCTGGGCTGGGTACCTAAGGGGTGTGTCTGCTGCTTTTGTTCTGGAATGCAGATGGGCTGGCCCCTCCAGCCCCACCTTCTTGTATGGTGGTCTTAAGGATTATGCTTGGTTAATCCACTAGGGCCCAGCCCCCAGGTACTGTGCGGTTGTTTTCGAATCTAAAGTCACTGGTGCTCCGAGCTATTGCTTGGGCCAGGTGACGCTGCAGGGTGCTTGGTTTTTAGAGAGAATGCTGAATGTGGGTGAGTTGGGGTCTGTAGAACTGCATGTTACTCTTGGGTCACACCTCCAAGTAACTGTGTTTCAGGCATAGTCTCAGGGTATTGGCACCCAAGTCACCCTTTGCTCTTGTTAAGTAGCCTGCTCTATGTTTTCAGCTTAGCCAGGTTCTCTCAGAATTGAAATGTCACTGCACCCCTGGCTGGGGGCTCCGAAGTGTTTCCTCAGCTGCAAAATTGCTTGATAGCCTGAAGTTATCTTTGGTTACCAATGCTCAGTGGCAAGCAGCTGCCTGGCCAATGGTGCCCTCTAGTGGGCAGCAGCAGGTGGCCTTTGCCCCTGGCTTGCTGGAGACTTTGGCTATAGCCTCTGCACAGCCTCCCCCAAACCCCCACCCCACCTACATTGCATAGTGTCTCTAAGGGCCTTGAGCTTTCCCTGTGTGAATGCCAGTTGCCAGGGCATGTGTCAGCTAGCCCAGAGGCACCAAGTCTGCAGAGTGCAGAAAGAGATGGGTGGCCCCTGGGAGGGCTTACTCCCACAGGGTGACTTGGGTCCAGGGGTCTTAGGTCTTGACCCAGAGCCTTGATGGAGCAATGCTGAGCAAGTTTGTGGGCTTCCTTTGCCTGAATGAGGGCAGTGAGGACTGGCTCCTGGCTCCTTCCGGCAGAGTCTCTGGAACCTGACCCCTGGGCATGTGGGGCTGGAGGATTGTTCCTGGCTGGCAGGATTCCAGAGGGTACATTCTTCTCTGAGGAGGAGGAGGCACCTTCCCTGGAGGGTATGGCAGAGGGACTCTGAGCCTGCCCTTGAGGTGCTCTAGTTAAGAACTGGGAAAACCAGCGGGAATGGAGCTCTGCCTGCTGGCGGGCTCTGCCTGGCCCTGGGCCTGTGTGCTCAGGCTGGGGTGGGGTTTGCTGAGCTTGCAGGGAGACTTTGGCCCTTAACCGTTTGTAGCCTGTGGGAAGCAGCCAGTGTTAGCGGCTGCAGGAATCCAAACTGCCCCTGGCCCTCCTGCACTCCTGGCTCCCTTCCTCCAGGAGCCTGTGGGAGGGTGATTGCGGGACAGTGTCCACACCAAAGCATGTCCCATTCCAGGCGAGGATTAAGGGGAGTAGGGAGCCATATTGGACACTGAGGATTATTTGTTCGGGTTCCTGTCTCTCTCACACAAAGGTTTGGAGGAAAAACTAGGGCAGAACGGTGTGTCCCGTCCCTGATAGCTGTGCCTGCTGCATTGGCTACTTTATTGCTTTGTCTTCCTCAAGGTTGCCCTCTTCATGTCTGGTGCAGATTTTGCCCAGAAAGCTTTAGAGTAAGTCAGGACTGTGTACTCTGTGCCCAGAAAGATAATTTTCTGGTTATCTTTTATTTTTTTTTTAAGATTTATTTATTTATTTGAAAAGCAGAGTTACAGAGTGAGAGAGAGTGACAGAGCAGTCTTCTATCTGCTAGTTCACTCCCCAAATATGGCTTCAATGGCTGGGGCTGAGTCAGGCTGCAGCAAGGGGCCTGCCCACAGAGGTACAGGTTCCCAAGACTTTGAGCCATCTTCAGCTACTTTTCCAGGCCACAGGCAGGTAGCTGGAAGGGAAGTAGAATGGCTGGGACACGAACAGGCACCCATATGGGATTCTGGCATGTGCAAGGTGAGGATTTACCCACTGAACCCTTGCACCAGGCCCGCTCTCAGTGTACTGTGTAGCACCCACCATCCCTTACAGACCTTACACCTCACACCGTCAGTGCAGGTGGGAAGGTGAGTCTAGGAGTTTGCTGTGAGGGATGGTTGGGAGTGGAGGGCCTGGGACTTGAACTCAGGTTTGGCTCAACTGTAGAAGCAGTGTGCTGCAGGATTGCTCTGTCTCACTGCCTAACCAACATATATGTCCAGGTTGAAAAGAGCCCCTTGGAGCTGGGCTTTGGATGCCTCTACCCCAGGTGGGAGAGCCTGAGGTCAGGACCAAATCTGCCTCTGATGCTAGCTTTCTGCTAATGCACACCCAGCGAACCAGCAGGTGACAGCTCAAGTGTGTTGGAGCCCTGCTGCCCACATCAAAGACCCAGTTTTGGACTCCTGGCTTTGGTCTAGTCAAGCTGTACCTGTTGTGGGCATTTGGGAATGAACCAGTGGAAGATCTCTGCCTCTGTCATTCTTTCTGCCTTTAAGATATACTGAGATTGATTAAAAAATAATAATAGTAATAATTAATAATAAGAAAAGGCAATCATGAAGTGGAATCCAGTCTTTGTAAGCTAGTCAGACTTGGACTCTAACTGGAGCAAGGTGCGGATGTCTGATGAAATAGGCAGAAAAGAGTTACCATCTGCCCCGTTGAGTTTTTGTGGCCAAAGAGACCCGAGTTCAGAACCCAGCTTTGTCACTGCAGCGGGTGTTGGCTCTGTGGGGACTGGACCTTGCCCCTGAGCCTGAGTTTTGCCGCCTCTGTACTAGTGGAGTAAGGAGGAATGCAGCAGCGCAGCGAAGTTCCTGGAGCCTGGTAGGCATTCAGGCTTGGCGGCTCCTCCTGCCATGCCTTCCAGGGTTGCACTTGTTGCCTGCTTTAGGGGCTCCTGTGGTATTTCCCAGCTGGCTCAGCCCAGGATGGTTGAGGGACACCGCCCTTGCTGGGCTGGGCCCAGAGGAAACAAGGAAGCTGCGTAAAAACCCAGCAGCAGGTGTGGCCCTGGGAGGGCCTCTGGGGGTGGCTGTAGACATTGGTTCCTTTTCCGCTGTTACCTAGACACACACCAACTCCCTCCAGTTCCGGTGTGCTGGAGACAGGAAGCCGAGCTCCTCCACAGGCCCTGGAGTGGGAGGGGGCTGCAGGAAGTGACCTTCCTGGGAAATCTGGAGAGCTTCCTGAGGAGTCGGATCAGGATCTGGGGCTCTGAGAAGAGGCTTTTCCCTCTGACCACCCAACTAGGATCCTGGGTAGGTGTGGAGCCCTGGGGGGAGGGAGCGGGGTGGGCACGGGGATGAGGACTGGCCCCATGTACAGGGCTGGAGGAAGGGGCCCTGCTTCCTTCCCTCCTGCCTCCAGGGAGTGCCGATGTGGGCAGCCAGGAAGGAGCAGCCTGGCAGCTTGAAGGCGTGCACTTGCAAAGTTCAGCAAGTGTAACTTTTTTTTTTAAGGTTTATTTATTTTTATTGGAAAGTCAGATTTACAGAGAGAGGGAGAGAAAGAAAGGTCTTCTGTGCACTGTCTACTGGTTCACTCACCACTTAGCCACAACAGCCAGAACTAAGCCAATCCGAAGTCAGGAGTCAGGAGTTTCCTCTGGATTCCCCGTGTGGGTACAGGGTCCCAAGGCTTGTTGGGCCGTACTTTACTGCTTTCCCAGAGCACAAGCAGGAAGCTGGGTGGGAAGTGAGGCAGCCAGGATACTACCCGGAGGCCATACAGGATTCCGGCGTTTGCAAGGCGAGGCTACTAGGCTATGGTGCCGGGGCCAGCAAGTTGAACTTTTAAAGTGTTGAATCATCTCAGGGTCACGGCAGCCTCCTGGAGGCTGGGAGGCTGGGGTTGATGCTTCTGAGGAGACAGAGATCCTGTCATTGCTGGCTCTGCTCTCTGAGGCAAGTCTCTTCTCTCCACCCCCACCTTCTTCCTTGACCCTCACCAGAGGGTCACAGTTCCCACCACCTGGGGAGTTAGGAGGATTCATTGGGACCGTGTAGGCAAAGTGCTTAGTGTGGTGCCTGAATGGCACTGAACACAGCTGTCCTCTCTGGGTGATTATCACCCCTGAGGCGTGCGGCAGGAATGAGGGTGTGGCATCTGGGGCCAGGCGGTGGGTGCTGTGGGACTATGGAGAGTCTTGGGGAGGGAGGGGCGGTCGAGGGATCAGGGGTATCCTGGCACCCCACCTGTACCCTTCTTATCTGGACACTGGGGAGACCCAGGCTGCCCCTTCTGCTTGGTTGCCGGTGTCTGGATAATGGAAACTTGCACCTGAGGACCGATTTGGTTCCCTTGCTGTTAAAAGCAGAACGGTGGGGCCTAGGAGTCCGTGGGGCCGGGCTGCTTGCCAGGTTTTAGTAGAAACAGCCAACAGAGCAATTCTTAACCCCCCTCCCGTTTGCTGGGGGTTGGACAGAGAGCGCCACTGCACCAGCCTCATTGCTCCCCCCTCACTTATACCCACACTCATAGCCTGGAGCCTGAGAGGCAGCCTGGAGCCTCGGGCTGTTCTACCTGGTCATGAGGGCAGGTGCCATCCTAGGTGTTCCTTCTGGTCCCAGGGCTGAGAAAACCTAAATTCTTGGAAGCTGAGTGAGGGCCTGGCGCTGCCTGTCCCTTCCCATGACGTGGGGCCCCTCCCTCCCACGCGCTCCTCGGTGTCCTGAGGAGTCAGAGCTGCAGGCAGGCATTCCTCACTCGTGCCGGTTAGCTGCGCAGTCCTGTCGGAGGGAGGCTGGGGCCAGGCGCCCACTGTCCAGAGGTAGGTGAGTTCCAAAGGGCAGCTCTGGGCTCAAGCCTCCCGGTGCCCCCAGCCTTGGGCTGAGAAGAGGTCGGCCTCAGGAGCTATTCTTGACCGGGGCAGGCCGGGCCAGGCCAGGCCAGGCTGGCAGCTTCCTATCCTGGGGCTGGTCATTTCTTGGCTGGGTGGGGCAGGTGCTCAGAAGACATTAACTCCTGTGGTGCGGGCAAGCGGGGCACTGCCAGCAGAGAGCTGCCAGGATCCTCGGCTCTTACCTGCCCCTGTTGCCTTCTCTTTGCAGATGCCTTGCTAGCGGACTTGGAATCTACCACCTCCCACATCTCCAAACGGCCTGTGTTCTTGTCCGAGGAGCCCCCCTACTCCTATCCAACTGGAAACCACACCTACCAAGAGATTGCTGTGCCGCCCCCTGTCCCTCCACCCCCATCCAGCGAGGCCCTCAACGGTGCAGTCCTTGACCCCTTAGACCAGTGGCAGTCCAGTGGCTCCCGATTCATCCACCAGCAGGTAAGGTGGGGCCAGAAAACCCTCGTAGGCTTGAGGGCAGCAGAGCTTGTCTGGCAAGAACTTGGGGAGCCTATGGAGGAGTGGGATCAGCACTAGGCTACTGCCAACCCTAAGCTGCTCTTCCTGCCCACCACGTGAGGGGGACAGTGACCAAGTATTAATCACTGGGGTCCTAGTCAGATTGTGGAAATTCCCTGGTGAGACTGCTGAGAGCAGAAGCTTCCTGGGTGTGACTCGGGCTGCCCTGGTCCTTGAGTCCTTTCCTCTCCGAAGCCTCTGAGCACTCTTGTTCTTGCAGCTGCCTTCCCCATCACCTGTGTACGGTTCCAGTGCCAAAACTTCCGGTGCCTCCAACCCCCAGGACAGCCTTGGCTCCCCGTGTTCCCGAGCAGGTGAAGAGGAGCACGTCTACAGGTAAAGCCCTGGCCCCTCCCAGCTCTCCTGTGGCTGCCCGGGGCTGCTCCCTTAGGACCGTTGGTTAAGCCTGCGGAAGGCTTGAGGCTCCTGGCCAGCTCATCTGCCTGCCGCCTGGCCTTTCTGCCTTATCACTGCCATCTCCATGGAGCAGGCAGGCTGGGCGAGCACTGTGTCTCTGTGTAGTAGAGGAACTGGTGCAAGACTTCCTTCCTTCACTGTAATTATTACATCCCTCCACTGTCCTCTTGGTCGGGGAGACTTCCTATTCCCTCCTTGTTATTCTGGAGAAATTAGGGCCCTCCAAGCCAGTATAAGGCCAGGGTGCATCTCTCACTGCCTTGTGTTTGTTTCTCAAAGCTTCCCCAACAAGCAGAAATCAGCTGAGCCTTCGCCCACTGTGATGAGCTCCTCTCTGGGCAGCAACCTTTCGGAACTTGACCGCTTGCTGCTGGAACTGAATGCCGTGCAGCATAACCCTCCAGGCTTCCCTGCAGGTAGGACTGGGTGTGACCCTGCAGGCTCACTTGTTAGCTTCTGGAGCCTCTCAGGGCTCTGGGGCTGACTGGTCTTTTTTCTTCTCTCTTCCCCTCCAGATGAGACCAACTCCAGCCCCGCTTTGCCTGGGGCTCTGAGCTCCCACTATGGCATTCCAGAAAATAACAGTCCTCTGGGGGGCAAAGCTGTGCCTATGGCGAAGGAGGAGCCCAAGCGGAGTGGGGGCCGGGGCCTGGAGGATGTGCGGCCCAGCGTGGAGAGCCTCTTGGATGAGCTTGAGAGCTCCGTGCCCAGCCCTGTGTGAGTGTCCATGGGCCTTTGCCCAGGCTGCAGAGGGTCCTCCAGTGTCTATCCTCATTGCCCCACTGTCACCTATCCCTGCAATGCCTGTTTTTCAGTATAGTAGTATAGCAGTATACGTTGTACATGTTGTATAGTATAGCAGTGTAGTAGTATAGTAGACATTGCTGCAGTACAGTACAGTGAACTATAGTATAGTAGTGGCCCACCTGAACACCATTCCTGCCTCAGCCAGCCACTATCAGTTGAGAAAGACAGACATGGTGGGTGCTTGTAACTCAGTGATGATTACCACAGGCTTTGAAGCCTTGTAAACGTGTTCAAATCAACTTTGGTTTTCCCATGTGTAAAATAGGATGAAGGGGATAAAACTACCATCCCACCAGGGTTGGTTCCCAATAGCATGGGAAGGGCTTGGTTTCTGGCTCGTACCACTAGGTACGCTTGGTGCTTGGTTAAGGCAGCTCTCACATGGGGCTGTTGTGTTGCTGCAACACTTGCATATTTGGGTGTAGTGTTGAGGACACACAAAGGGTGCTTGGGCTGTTTGATAGGTGAGATGTCACCTGGACCTGGAGGCCAGCGGAGCGTTCCTCCTATCCAGGTCAGCTCACCTTGGGCTGCTGGACACCTTGGCCGACAGCTGCCCTGCGTTCTGAGTCTCCAGGAAAGACTGGGCACTGTGAGCTCCCCCGGGCTTGGAGCAGCAGGGCCCCAGCTCTGGGGCATTTGGCCTGGCCCTTCACTGATTCCCTGTCTGCCCTGCAGCCCCGCCATCACCGTGAGCCAGGGGGAGATGAGCAGCCCACAGCGTGTCACGTCCAGCCAGCAGCAGACGCGCATCTCTGCTTCCTCCGCCACCCGGGAACTGGACGAGCTGATGGCCTCACTGTCGGATTTCAAGGTGCCATGTGCCCTACCTCCCTTCTCCTGCATCCCCCAGTATGACCTCAGTTTGAGAGCAGCTTGACCTTGGCCTCTCAACGTTTGGGTGCCTTGCCCCTTTGGTACCCTACAGTGTCCTAGCTCTGCCAGGATTCTAGGGGACAGGGAAGGGAGGCCAGGCCCAGCCTGTGTGTGTCTTGTGGGGGGAAGGGAGGGAGTGGCAGCCAGTGAGGGTGGAGAAGCACTCAGCCTAGACATTCCTCCCTCCTTAGGCACTCCCAGCCGCTCAGGTCGAGGGGATCAGAGGGCTGGGACACTGGACAAAGGGCCCTGTGTCAGTGGCTGCTTGGTGGGGGAGGGTGTGCTCTGCTAGGCCATGGGATCCCGTGTCTGAGAGCTCACTTGCCCTGCAGTCCCATCTCCCACGCTGGCCTTCTTCAACAGATCTTTCTTTCTGCATCTGGCCTCCCTCACTAGATTCCCTCCAGCTTCCCCTCTCTTCCTCAGTGTTCCCACAGGCTCAGTGCATGGGAAACCTGTCAGGCTACTCATTGGGCCAGCCCTGCATGAGGTGCCCCTTCCCCTGCCCTGCCAGGCTTCCCAGATCTGCCAGGCTGTGATGTTTTATTTAGAGTCCACAAAGTCTCCATGGGGATTGGGGATGACAGAGCTCCCCAGCAGTTGCTGACTTGACCTTCCACGTGGTCAGCTGCAGACTGGGGCACAACTTGGGGAACAGGAAGGGAGCAGGCAGCCATGCATTCTTGGCCTTGATGGTGCCTCCCTTCAGCCCGGAGTTTGTGGCACAGGTGAGGGAATGAGGTTGGGAGTGTGAGTGGAGCTTGGCCTCATGATCTCAGTGCTGAATCCTCAACTCTTAAGCCAGTGGGTCTGAGCATCCCCAGTCAGAAGCAAGGAAATTGGATTCGGGCACTGGGCTGAGGCTGTAGAGGCTGTTGCTGTGGGTTTTGATTGATTGATTGATTTGAAAAGCAGAGTGACAGAAGGAGAGGTGGAGATCTTTGACCTGCTAGTTCATTCCCCAGCTGGGGTCGCTGGGAGTCTCCCATGTGGGTGGCAGGGGTCCAAGCACTTGGGCTTTCCTGGGTGTATTAGCCGAGAGCTGCTAGGAAGTGGAACAGTTGGGACTTGAACTAGTGCTCTGTTTCGGGATGCCGGGTTGGAAACCATGGCTCAACTCACTGTGCCATAATGCCAGTCCTTGTTGCTGCTTTCTGAGACAGTCTGTGGTGTGATGGTGAACAGAAGCCGCTCTGCTGTTGGCCATGACCTTAGCACAGGGACTGGGGGGTGCTGGAAAACTGGGGTTTCCTGGAGGGACACTGCTAAGGAGGGCTGAGCTGCCAGCAGTGGCCTCTTGTCTAACTTGTGCAAAGGGCTTGCCTTCCAGGGCATCTGCCAGGCCCTTGTTCGTCTAACCTTAGTCTTTTGTCCTTTTTCCTACTCTGGGCAGCCCCACAAGTGTGGCTCATTGACTGGTGCCTACTGCCTGGACTTCCTGAGGCCCGTGGAGGTCGAATGTAGGAAGGCCTCTTCTGGGTCTGGTACCTTTTCAAGGCTCTATCCCCAGGCCTCAGCTCTGTGACCACTTGAGTCAGTGTAGATGCCGGCCCTTGGAACTTGAGGCTGAGCCTCCCCCTTGTGGAGACCACTCTGCCTTACTCTCCCTGTTTCTCTCTCCTCTCCGCCTTTGTCTTCCTCCTCCTGCAGACCAGCTCCTCCGCTGTGGCCTTGAGCTCCCTGGGGGTGCTGCCCAACTCAGCTCCATCCCCACGCCACACCCCTCCCCCTGCTGGCTCTCCTCCTTTGGTGCCTTCTGTGTTCCTGCCATCCACCACCAAATCCTCCCCTCCAGGCCAGGGTCACACTCAGGAGGGACTCTGCATGGGGCAGAATGGTCGAGGGAGTCCCTCTCCTGGGACCCCCAGCTGGCTTGATTTGGCTGGTCTTGGGAGGACTCCTGATGTCCCCAACTCAAGACCTCACTCCGCAGAAGGGTCTCTGGGGCCATTTGGTGCAGAGAGCCAGGGTCGAGTTCGGAAGGACCTGCTGCAACCCAGGCATGAGCTTTGTGGGGCTCTGCCCTGCCACACTCCACTTGCTTCTGGGGGTGCAGATCCCTTGGAGCCTAGGGACCCTCAGGGGCCTCTGGCTAACCCTGTGTGTGCAGAGGAGGCCATGGCTGCTATGTGGGAGTGGCCATGGGCTTTGGAAAAGTCCAGCCTCAAGACTTGCCGTGAAGCTGCTTATAGCTTCCAGGAAGTAATTGAGCCAGCCATGGTGGCCGTGGACCGACAGGCCATCTTCCCAGACACCTGGAGTCTCATGGAGGAATATGACCAACAGAAGGATGGGGCAAGGACACAGCCCAGGAAGCTGGGGAGCAGCTGTCCCGCCGCCGTGGACAAGGAGCAGTTGGGTGGAGAGGTACCTGAGCTGGCCCCTGCACCTGAGGCCCTAAGGGGCCCAGAAGGCATCGCTGGAGCAGCTTCGGAGGCCAGGAAGGAGCAGCCAGAGCGTCCACGCGCCATGGTCATGGACACACCCAACGCCATGGAGAGGATTTCCACCTCCAGCCAGGCAGGCACTAGCTTGCACAGCTGCTAGCATGGCCCTGTGCGCAACTGAGCGTGGGCCACTCCTCGCTAACTGCATGCAGCCTGTCACTGCGCATGTCTGCCTGGACAAAAAATGCCAAGGCAACCATGGCCTGCGAGCTTGACGACCAGCACATGGCAGTGGGCCCTGTGGGGCCAGCAGAGCTCCTTGGACCCTGGCATTCCTCACTATGACCAGCCACCTCTTACTGCTGCTTGGAGGCTTGTGCCCTGACATGAGCTGCCTGTGACAGTCGATGTATGCAAAATGGTTGAAAGCATGGTTTTCGGAACCGGATCTAAACCATGTCTTCAGCACTGGCTTTCTATGCGACCTTGGGCAACACCCCCAGCTCAGTCTTTCCATCTTTAAAGTGGGGTAGTAATAGGCCATTTTCCTCAAGATAGTCCAGAAGATTAAATGAGATACTTGCTGGAAAATGGGAGACAGCAGTTGGTCCCTTAGTAAGCCATGTTTGATGTTAGTCTCTGCTTCTTTGCTTGATCACAACTATGCCTTTTTTGTAAGCAAAGCAACAAAAACCAAAAACCAAAAGGAATAATCCTGGTTGGATTTAGGGGAAGGAAAGACCACTTTTTTTTCTATCGTAAATTGCAAGGAAGGAACAGCTTTATGGCCCTACATAGCATACCCACTTCATCTTCTACAGGAGTTCTTAGAATAATATGCCTGTGAGGAAAGTCAAGAAGATACTGTTACCCCATTTTAAGGATGTAGAAGCTGAGGCCCCATGAAGTCCAGGGCCAGAGGCTGCCTTGGTCAGGAGTGCTGGCTGGAGGTGTCTTGCAGCTGTGTTCCTGAGCTGATCCGGCCCGCCCTCTCCCTCCACTTGCTTGGCTCTTCCCTGATCATGTGTTCTGCCCTGCTCCCTTGGCACCCGAGTGTGGTCTGAGCAGCGGGGTGCCCAAGCCCCAAGTAGGACTGTGACGGCTTCCCCTGCCCCCCAGATCCGTTCTGTGATCAGGAGGAGCCGAGACACAGGCCATGCACACCCCATGTCTCGGGAGCCTTCCCCTCGCCGCCGGCTGGACCCTGCAACCCTGAGCAGGACCCCATCTCAGGAGCGTCTCATCGCAGAACTGCAGGGTCGGCTGGGCATCCAGCCGGAGGCAGAGGTGGCGGCAGGGGAAGCTGGGGCTCCCGCCCAGGACTGGCTGACTGAGGGCGTCGTCATCACTGTGCAGCCACGCGGGAGGCAGGCTGGGGGGCAGCTCGTTGAGAAGGTAGCGGGAGCTGTCGAGGGCTGGGCCAGGCTGGGGCAGCGCTGGCTGGAAGGGAGACATGGGGGCGGCAAGGGTGGCAGCTTGCATCCTGTGGCTTGTCCGGTGGTGTGAGAGTGGGAAGGCCAAGGTTCATCACCCTTCTGCCCCCTCTGCTTGCTCAGCTGCTCTCCCTGCTCCTCCTCATCTCTCCCCCCTTTTCTCCTTCCTAGGTGGTCTTCCCTCCCGGCTCTCCCATCCCCCTGAGAAGAATCACCTCTGCCCTGGCTCCTCCTCCTGTCCCTTTGCTCCAGCATCAGCAGGACGCCTCGGCCAGCAGCTCTTCTCCCCTGCCTGCTCCTTCCCCTTCAGGGCTTTCTTCTTGCACGCCCCCTTCTCCTGGGGTCCAGAGCGCAAGGGGAGAGCCTCGGGCTGATGTGCAGGGCCCCCACTCCCCTACTCCTGCCCCTGCCGGTGTGAGGTCCGTGGGCTGCCAGACCGATGAGGACCCGCTCTTCCCCCCGATGCAGGCAGGCCTCCCGGGGAGCTGACCTGTCTGTCACTTGTCCTAACATCTGGACCGTCCTCCCCACTCAGTGCACCCACAGCCTGACAGGGTAGCCACAGTCCCTTCTCAGAACTTGACCCTGGTGTCTAGACCCTAGCCTCCCCTTTCCCACCGTCCCCCAGCACCACCTCAGGCTCTGAGCCAAGAGGGTCCCAGAAAGGAAAGCAGAATCCTTGCTGACCCCAGACACCCCCCCTCCTGGGCCCCAGGCCCGTTGGCATGGGCTTTGCCTCCCTCTCTCTCTCTTCATCTCTTCCTGGGTCTCTCTGGATGATTTTGCTTTAGATCTTTCCTCCTGGTCTTGGTACTTACCAAGCGGGAGAAGTAATCTTCTTCCCCATCCTAAATTCCCCCGAGTGCAGCAGCACCACGACAGGGTTTTATTCTTTCACTAACTTTCTTCTCTTCATCTCTTCTTCCACCTAAGATCCATGGCCTGGAACAAAGAGCGGATGCAGAGCTGAGCTGGGCGGCCGGTTGGCCTCCACACAGCAGGCAGAGCAGTCCGGAAGGGCAAGACGAGGGAGGGGTCAGTGCCAGGGCTGGGTGCTGAGTTTTCTGCTTGGTGTGTTCCTCCTGGGTTGTGCCACCTGCTGCCATCTGGCCTTCTCTTGGACCATCGGGGGCTCTCCAGGCCCCTAGTGTCAGTGTCCTTGTTGCCGAGTTCGCGCATCTGCTACACAAGATGCCTAGCCCCAGAAGCCCTGACCTGTCTGTATTGCTGTCTCCACAGTTCATGGCCCAGGGAAAGACGGGGAGCAGCTCACCCCCTGGAGGGCCCCCAAAGCCTGGGAGCCAGCTGGACAGCATGTTGGGGAGCCTGCAGTCCGACCTGAACAAGCTGGGTGTTGCCACAGTTGCCAAAGGGGTCTGCGGGGCCTGCAAGAAACCCATCGCCGGGCAGGTGATGATGGGGGGAAAGGGTGGGGAGTGGGCAGTGGCTGGGGCCTCTTACCCCTCTGGGTGGGGTGCTCCATGGCAGACCATAGCACCAAGCCACCTTCCCACTTTGCCCTCAGGTCGTGACTGCCATGGGGAAGACGTGGCACCCTGAGCACTTTGTGTGCACGCACTGCCAGGAGGAGATTGGGTCCCGGAACTTCTTCGAGCGGGACGGACAGCCTTACTGTGAAAGAGACTATCACAACCTCTTCTCCCCACGCTGCTACTACTGCAACGGGCCTATCCTGGATGTGAGTGCCACAGCCTGGCAGTCAGGGCTGAGACGGCCCCACGCCCGCACCACATGACTGCTCTCTGAGAGTGCAGGGCGAAGCAGTCAGGTCCCACGCCCAAGCTCCACAGCCAGGGAGCAGGGGCTGGAAGTCCAAGGCCTGGTCGGCAGCCTCTGGCCCTGAGCACACAGCTGGGCTCAGGGTCTGGCCGGCTCCCCCTGCTACAGGGTGGTGGTAGAGCAGTGCCCAGCTGCTCTGAGCCTGTTTTCCTTCACTCGGAAAGCCGGAGTCACGGGGCATCTGCACTGAAGGAGAGGGAGTAGCTGGTACATTGCACCCTTCAGTGAATCCGCACAGCAGGCTGAGACCCTGAACTTGCTGAGTGCTGGCTGAGAGCCAGGGAGGCATGGGAAGGACAGCCTTGGCTGAGAGTCCTGGCCCTGACCTCACACTCTGCCTTTACAGAAAGTGGTGACGGCCCTTGACCGGACGTGGCACCCTGAGCATTTCTTCTGTGCCCAGTGCGGAGCTTTCTTTGGTCCTGAAGGTACTGTCCGCTGGACTGGCCACCGCCTCCTGGGGGAGGGCTGGAGAGGCGGGCCCGGGAAGCCTGACCCTGCCCCCAACCACCTCTCCTCAGGGTTCCACGAGAAAGACGGCAAGGCCTACTGCCGGAAGGATTATTTTGACATGTTTGCACCCAAGTGTGGGGGCTGTGCCCGGGCCATCCTGGAGAACTACATCTCGGCCCTCAACACCCTGTGGCACCCCGAGTGCTTTGTGTGCCGGGTAAGGAGCCCCCAGCCCCCACCCGCCTCCGGAGGGGTGGGACGGGAGTGAGAAGGGTCACCTTCAGTGCGCCCTCTGCGTCCAATGTGGAGGTCTTGTTTGCATCTGCTCAGGAAGCCACCAGGCAAGGCTAGGAGCTCCTGCGCAGGGCTTGTACGCCGCTGGGGCAATCCAGGAACCAGGCGTCGTGGGTTGAGGGCCTGGCACCAAGTGGGTGAGAATTCTTTCAGACAGTGCAGGTGTTGGGCAGTGGGAACCCACAGATATGATCCGCGATCCAGCCAAGTGCTGTCTGGACCAGGTATGTGCGGGGCAGCACCAGTCACTGCAGGCCTTCTCAGAGCCTTTTAAGCCTAAACACGCATGCAAGTCTCCACGTTCAATCTAGCATGCAGAACTAGGGACTCTGGGAGCACTGTCCCAGCCACCTGCGTTGGTGCCCTGGACTCAGCTCCCTGTGTGAGTCCAGGCTGTGGAGTTGAGCTGGGTGACCCAGGGCAGCCAGCTGCTGTTGGCACGAGGGAGGTGACGAGCAGGCCAGACAGCCGTAACTCCTCTGCCTGTTGTCCCAGCCCCGAGGGACAGCCCTGAGCGCCCCCCCCCCCGCCCCGTCTCTGCCTTCCGCCCGGCAGGAGTGCTTCACGCCGTTCATCAACGGCAGCTTCTTCGAGCATGACGGGCAGCCATACTGTGAGGTGCACTACCACGAGCGGCGTGGCTCCCTGTGCTCTGGCTGCCAGAAGCCCATCACGGGCCGCTGCATCACCGCCATGGCCAAGAAGTTCCACCCCGAGCACTTCGTCTGTGCCTTCTGCCTCAAGCAGCTCAACAAGGGCACCTTCAAGGAGCAGAACGACAAGCCCTACTGCCAGAACTGTTTCCTTAAGCTCTTTTGCTAGGGCGCGTCTGCTGGCGTCTGCCCCAGCCCAGCCTCCCGAACTACTACTGGGACCCGGAGACCTGGCCCGGGGGTGAAGGGGCGTGTGTATACATGGCTGAAACTGGAACACTCATCCTCAGCTGGGGCAGGACGGGAGAGCCACCAGGGCGCCCACCTCCTGGTTCTTGCTCCACTAGAACCTCTGGGCCTCCTGCCTCTTCCTGTGGAGCTCCCCACTCGTCATCCCTCCCAGAGGGGTGGGGTTGGGGGCCCTGTCCACACCCTGCACCGTCCCCATGGACTGGCCCAGCCAGACCAGGGCCCCACACTGGAGCCATCTCTTTCTTGTATTTCGGCAGTGGAGTTGGGGGTCAGGCAGTGCCCTCTCTGTCCATGTCTGCCCCCCCCCCCCACACCCTCCAGCCTGGTGACCTTGCTGAGAGCAGTGGAGGGCTGCCAGGCTTCCCGCAGACAACGCCAGCATCCATCCATCCGTCCATCCTGGGGCGGGGGCGGGGGACGTGCCTGGGAGGCCGTGGCAGGCTCTGTGTGTTCTTGCTGCCTTGCCAGTGCCCCAGGCAGGGACGACTGCCCCCGCCTCCCTGTGCCCTTTTGTAAATGCTCTGGTCCTACTGAGAGAGGCCTCTCCAGCAATAACGTTTTGTAGTCCCTGTCCCTGTCCCCAGGACGACACCGGCCCGACATTGCACCTGCCGACTTTGAGAGATTTCTACACTGAGATTTGAATTCCTAGTCGCCTGGGTTGCTTTTACTTTATACGATGTGATTTTGAAGAGATTTTAAAGATGTTCCCTTTTGTACTCTCCCTCTCGTCCACTCCTGCCGGGGCTCTGGACCGGAGTTTGCTTTGTACTGAGGGCTTGGGGGTGGGGGAGCAATTTGTATTTTTATTTTTTCTTAGCACAAGCAGGTGAACTTGGGCACAGCCCCATGATTGTCCTTCCTGGAACCTCGCAGCTCACCAGGACTGTTTGATATCAAACTGCTGTATTTTGAACCCTTTTTCCTTAACTGGCCAGGCCAGCAAGCTCCAGGTTGACACGGGCCTCAGGTGCCTGGCCCGTCTGCACCTGGAGTTCTGGGTCTCACTGTCCTTTCCACCACGAGGAGACGCCCGCGTGGCCATCCTCGACCTCCTCCCCGCTGCCCTGGGGCTGGGGGAGCTGGCATTGGATCCTGACCTTGAAGACCACAGTGTCTCTCAGCTCTGGACTCCCGATTGGACAGACCCCAGAGGGTCTAAAGTGAGGATGACACAGTCTGTTTCCCTGGTCTCCAGCAAGGGCTGAGGGCACTGGCGTCTCTGACGATGGTCTCCTGTGTGGCCAAGGTCCCCGCAGAGGTCTGCTGTCTCCATTTGCACCCACCGGCCTTACTGCTCTGTTTACAGTGACCTTCCAGGACCCTTCCCCAAGGGAGGGCCTGGGGATTTTGGGGTCCCCCTTCTGAGTCCATGGTTATTTGATGAGTTGACTTTGATCTTTTTATCCTGTGTAAACTTGTAGCCTGGCTTTTCTCATTTCCATTCTCGTGATGTATGCCAATAAAGTTTGCCATTATTTTCACCTGTGTTAGGGCCATTTCTTGGGGTTCCAGGAGAGACCAAAGCTCCTGCAGACAGGCTCAAGGACCACTAGGCTGGGAGAAAATCATCAACGTAGCCTTGCTTGTGGCTGAAAGCCCGAGGCATGGGGCATGGTCATAGGTCTTTGTGTCTTTTCTTGAGAAGATGACGGGGAAGAGGGGCAGTCCTTGGCTCCCTGAGAATGTCTGCCTGGGTCTGGGGGTCACCTTCCACCCACTCATTAACAGCTGGTTGTGGTTCCAGACCTCGTCTTGCCTGATTCCCAGTGTGCAGCTGGACTCCACAGCTTTTTAGTGCAGCCCCTTCTGGGTGGGTGTCGCTGCCTCCTGCCGGTGCTGTGGGTGCATGCATTGCCTTGGCACTTGGTGACTACAAGGCCCACGTGGAGCTTTCTTCCAGGGTCTGTGACTTCTCTATTTTCCCGTTTTCTCTGTTATCTGAGAGTTCCCTCTAGAACCTGCAGGTGGAAGGGAAGTCTGAACTCTGGGCATTTTACAGTGAGCTTAGAAATGAGAAGACCCTTAATCCCCACCCAAAGACAGTGACTTGGCTGAGTCTGTGTTGGATTCATTTTGCTCATAGAAATGGCCGTGGTACCCTTTGTAAATGTACTTCTGCACTCCACTGTGTTTTTTTTTTTTAAAGATTTATTTTTATTATTTTTTTCATTGGAAAGGCGGATATACAGAGAGGAGAGACAGAGAGGAAGATCTTCCGTCCAATGATTCACTCCCCAAGTGAGCGCAACAGGCCGATACTATGCCGATCCGAAGCCAGGAGCCTCTTCCGGGTCTCCCACGCGGGTGCAGGGTCCCAAAGCTTTGGGCCGTCCTCGACTGCTTTCCCAGGCCACAGGCAGGGAGCTGGAAGGGAAGTGGGGCTGCCGGGATTAGAACCAGCGCCCATATGGGATCCCGGGCGTGCAAGGCGAGGACCTTTAACCACTTGCGCCACCGCGCCGGGCCCACTCCACTGTGTTTTGAGAGTGTTTTCTCGTGTCCACAAATACAGAGCTGAATCATTGTCTAAGCACGTTATGGTATAAACTTGGTTACACTGATGTTATAATCATTACATATCATCAAAGCCAGGCTGTCCTTGTCCATGAGCCGTGTATCTGTATGCTTGGAAAAGGATGTGTAGAAGGCAGCAGACTTAAAGGTTTGGAAGGGAACCCATGACGTTGTGAAGTCAGGCCATGTTGAATTTGTTTCTGGATTTCATTTCTGAAGCCAATACATACTGGCTAAAACTTGGTCAAATTATTTAGCAGCCTCTCTTTTTTTTTTCACGGATAAAGCCAAAATACCGATACTGTAGCTCCTTAGAGAAGTGTTGTTAAAATTAGCATCAGGTATGTGCACATGGTATTTCCTATAATGCTGAGGGTGCAGTAATTCATTGTTAGAAGGAAAGACTTACAGTGAGGGCTCGGCGGGGCGCAATAGCCTAGTGGCTAAAGTCCTTGCCTTGCATGCACCAGGATCTCATACGGGCACCAGTTCATATCCCTGCAGTCCCATTTCCCATCCACTTCCCTGCTTGTGGCCTGGGAAAGCAGTCGAGGACGGCCCAAAGCCTTGGGACCCTGCACCCACATGGGAGACCTGGAGAGGGCGCCAGGTTCCTGGCATCAGATCGGCGCAGCTCCAGCCCTTGCGGCCACTTGGGAAATGAATCAACGATGGAAGATCTTCCTCTCTTGTCTTTCCTCCTCTATGTATATCTGACTTTCCAATAAAAATAAGTCTTAAGGTTTTATTTGAAAAGCAGGAAGAGTAACAGGGAGGCTGGTTTAGGCTGAAGCCAGGAGCTGGGAACTCAGTGAACCACACAAGGGTGTCAGGGCGCCGAGTACTTGAGCCCCCAGTCGCCGCCTCTGATCTGTGGACTATATGGCCATGTCTGGGGCCAGGTCGGGCTGAAGCCAGGATCCAGTTAGGGGTCCAAGCACATGGGTGCTGCATGGGAAGCAGGGCAGCTGGGACTTGAACTTGCACTGTAGTATGGGGGTGCCAGCACTGCACGTGGCAACTGCACCACATAGTTTGGGAATACTTTTCTGCTCACCATGACTTCAAAAGAAGGATTGATGAATATCCCCAGAGAGGCACTGTTAACACTCAGGTCAAGACTGTTAGACCTTCCAATCTTAGACTAGCTTTGTTAGGGGACAGTTGTAGAGAAATTCAACTTAGGGCCCAGGCAGACAGGCTCATGTTTCTCACACAGGGCCCAGATAAGTTTATCAGAAATTTTTAACCGTCAAGAATGTGGGCAATGGTGTTATCCCATTTTACAGATAAAGGGTGGACGGAGGGTCAGCAAGTGAGTGGCAGGTCAAGGTTCTAATCCTGCAATCCCTCAACAAATACTTGTTCTATGTCTCCTATGAGTCAGGCACAGATATACATTTCTATATGGTGGAACTTGAGTTTCTGTAGGGAGAGACAGACAAGAACAATGCAATAAAATTACACAGTGTGTTTGAAGCTCTAAGTGCTACCACAAAAACAAAGCAAGAGTTAAGGGGTGTGGGGGAAAAGAGTGTTGCAATTTGTGATTCCAGAATGGGAACGCGAGTGGGGTTCCGTGGGCAGATGGTATTTCAGCTAAGACTTGATGGAAATGGGTTTATTCGTGTGCATATTGGCCAGGGAGGGCCCTGCCAGGAAGACACAGCAGCAAAAGTCCTGGGAAACCGACTGGGAACACCATCTGGCTGGAGGATGGGACGTGAGGCTGGGTCATGGAGGTGGGGAGCAGATGAGGCACTCTGTTTCCATTGTTTTCGTTCACTCTGGACAGGTCAGGAAATGCTCTGATTTCAGTTTTCCAGGCTCGGCAAAGCCGCGGGAGACAACAGGCCACGTTGTCGTCCAGGCATGCGCGGTTGCCTCTCGGCTGCACGTCACACACTAACTCCCTCCCACGCAGTCAGCTCCAGCCCGAAAGGTGGCAGCATCGCCCAGAAGACACCTCCACACTCACACCAGTGCCTTCTTTCACTGCCCGGCTCCAAGGCGGCTTCCTGTTGCTTCGGAGTGGCAGCAGTATCGACCAATAGCTATTCAGATTTGCCGGACGGACGATGGCGCCGGCCAATAGGCAGGGGGAACGTCCGCGGCTTCTGATTGGGCTCTTTGATCGCATATAAAAGGCCCATGCGGGCTTGCGGGCCCTTCTCTTGCCAGGCGTCCTCGTGCGAGGTGCGTGTGTGCCCTTGGCGCCGGGGTGGGACGGCAGAGGCAGCGCGAGGGTCTTGGGGAGGTTCTTGAGGGGTGGGCAGCGGGGATCGCAGGCTCTCCCCGGGGCCTGGGCGGCGGCGGCGGCTCCAGGCCTGCAGGCCGTGCTGGCGGGCGCGCGGGCCCGGTCCGCCTGGGCCTCGGACGGCGCTGCGCAGCCCCGCAGCCTGAGCCGCGCTCTTTCCCTTCAGGAACATCGTCTTTAAACCCCACGTGGCAATCCCTGACGCACCGTCGTGATGCCCAGGGAAGACAGGGCGACCTGGAAGTCCAACTACTTCCTTAAGATCATCGTAAGTGGGAGGGTGGCGGCGCTTTAGGAATCTTGGGGCCCAGCTCGGTTTGGTCTTCAGCTTAGTTCCTGTGTAGGTCGGTCCTGGGGCGGTCGAGCAGGTTCAGGTGCGGATGGCACATCATTCGCGGCCTTGTATCCTGTGACTCATTCCCAAGTGGCAAGTCCCTGCATGGTCAGGCCCGTCATTGGCCTAAATGTCCAGTGGCTGGAGGCGCTGGCAGAGAAGTTTAGTGAACTCGGGTAGCTGCAGCTGTAGCCCTACAAACACTTGTCTCGTTCGTGTCACATTTGCATAACCTGCCTGTTGGGTTACAGTTTTAGTGCGTCAGAGACCAGTCTCATAATTGAGGAAAAGAGAACGTAAAACATTCATTGAGACAATTTTTTTCTGACAGTGAGATTTTTTTTCCATCATTTCATGCACATCCTGGAAATTTTGAGTGGTGCAACTTGGTCTCTCCCAACGGCGTTTGTCCCAGTAGCAGAGGGAGTGGGATGGCTTTCTAAGGGCTCCCACCGCCCAACTTTGTTTCATTCTTGTAGCAACTCCTGGACGACTACCCAAAATGCTTCATCGTGGGAGCAGACAATGTGGGCTCCAAGCAGATGCAGCAGATCCGCATGTCCCTGCGGGGCAAGGCTGTGGTGCTGATGGGCAAGAACACCATGATGCGCAAGGCCATCCGGGGCCACCTGGAGAACAACCCGGCCCTCGAGAAGTCAGTGCCTTCCCTCTCCCTGCACTGCTTCCCTGGGGGAGGACGGGGCGCAGGTGCAACTGTGCCCCAAACACTGCTTTCTGTGCAGACTCCTGCCACATATCCGGGGCAACGTGGGCTTCGTGTTCACCAAGGAGGACCTCACTGAGATCAGGGACATGCTGCTGGCCAACAAGGTGAGGAGCGGCCGGCCTAGGGGGCTTCACAGGGAGAGTGCTCAGGTGTCACTGGAGAGGCTTTTCTCACTTTGGACTGTGTCCAGGTGCCCGCTGCTGCCCGTGCCGGGGCCATTGCTCCGTGTGAGGTCACCGTGCCAGCTCAGAACACCGGTCTGGGCCCCGAGAAGACTTCCTTCTTCCAGGCTTTGGGTATCACCACCAAGATCTCCAGGGGTACCATCGAAATCCTGGTGAGTGGGCTGTTGGCCAGTAGTAACCTGGCAGGTGGGGTGGGGCTTCTGGGAGGCTGTGATGTGCTAGACGCCCGGTGTCAACTGCCTCCTGTTTTGTTTTCCAGAGTGACGTGCAGCTGATCAAGACTGGAGACAAGGTGGGGGCCAGCGAGGCCACGCTGCTCAACATGCTGAACATCTCGCCCTTCTCCTTCGGGCTGATCATCCAGCAGGTGTTCGACAACGGCAGCATCTACAACCCCGAAGTGCTGGACATCACTGAGGAAACCCTGCACTCCCGCTTCCTGGAGGTGCTTGCGCTGCGAGAGCTGTCCATGCCTTGTTTATGGGAAACGCTGGCCAGTTAGAAGACGTGAAGGTGGATGAGTGTAGAGCCCTAGAACAGTACTGGGTGCTGGAAGTTGCCTTCAGCTGTCATAAAGAGGCAGCTTATGAGCTTATGAGCCTTCCTCCAAGAACTAATGGGCTTGTTTTTCTGAACAGGCCGAATTTCATCAAGTTTTCACTAAGTATTGGTGACACAAGCCACCCTTTGGTGGTTGTATGAACAGCTTCTATTCACATACTAGCAGGAGTGGTGGTTCTAGGGTGTGGGAGTGGCATTTGTTAGCCTGACTTGCCCTGCCAGGAGGAGGAGCTGCGAGAGGAGGAGCTGCAGCCATGGCTGTCTGGCGTGGGTTAGTCCCATCCCTTGCGCCCTCTTCCTCGGGGCGAGCTCATCACCATGTCTTCCCTTACAGGGTGTGCGCAATGTGGCCAGTGTGTCTCTGCAGATTGGCTACCCGACTGTTGCTTCTGTACCCCATTCCATCATCAACGGGTACAAGCGGGTCCTGGCTCTGTCTGTGGAGACAGATTACACCTTCCCACTTGCTGAAAAGGTAGGTCTTGCCGGGCCGCAGCAGGCAGGTGGCAGCTTGCCAGCTTGGTGTTTTAAGTGCTAAACAGCTCACCCTGTGTATGAATACGGGCTGGGAGGTGTATTCTCACTTCAGAAATCGCCCCAGGCAGGGTAGGGTTCTCTGAGTGACCGTTGAACCACTGCCTTCTCTTCTCAGGTCAAGGCCTTCCTGGCTGATCCATCTGCCTTTGTGGCTGCTGCCCCTGCAGCTGCTGCCACCTCTGCTGCTCCTGCTGCTGCAGCCGCAGCCCCAGCCAAGGTGGAGGCCAAGGAGGAGTCGGAAGAGTCGGACGAGGATATGGGCTTTGGTCTCTTCGACTAAGCCAAAAAGCAACCAGCTCAGCCAGCTTTATCTACGAAACGAAATAAAGGCTTACTTCTCTAAGTCTGGTGTTGGTGGTTTATATCTGTGTGTCCTCTTTGTCATGTAGTTCCCTTCACTCCCCATCCCCAGGTTCACTGCAAGTAAATACCCATGAGCACCAGGGTTGGGCCAGGCTGAGCCAGAAGCCCTAGCAAGGCCTACAGTGCAGTAGTGATGTCCTCCCAGGAGCAATGGCTGGAAGCTGTACCGCTGTTCCAGTGTCTGATCACTGCTAGGAAATAAGGCACAGTATTACAGTATCGGTGCTTGACAAAACAGCAATGTATTGTGGTACAACTGTTAGCGTTATAGGTGTTTGTAATAAGCGCAGCGTGTTGGATGTACTGCTAGGACATCGGGCCATACACCACGTTCAGTGTGCAGCTTAAACCCAGGGCTCATTTCTGATGTTTCCCATCTTTTGGGCTGGCTGGATAGCAATATTGGGAAGTTAGACCCAGGAGTCACTAAAAAAGCTAGATTTAAAGATTCGTTAAGTCAGATATAGACGAGAAAGGAAGATCTTCCATTGATTAACTCCACTAGCAGCCACAATAGCCAGAGCTGAGCCTCCCCAGTCTCTCACGCCCATGCAGGGTCCCAAGACTTTGGACTGTTGCTTGACTAGACCCCAAGCAGGGAGCTGGATGGGAAGTGGGGTTACTGGGATTAGAACCAGCGCCTATATGGTATCGGCCAGTGCAAGGCAAGGACTTCAGCTGCTAGGCTACCGTGCCAACCTGAAGCTAAAATATACATATTAATTTTTAAAAACTTAAAATATTTACTTTTGTTGCAAAGTCAGATGTACAGAGAGGATGATTGTCCAGTAATTTACTTCCCAAGTGACTGCAATGGCCAATGCTATGCAGATCAGGAGCCAGGAACTTCCTGCTGGTCTCCCTGCTTCGCCTGGGAAAGGAGAGGAGGAAGGATCCTACACCCGCATGGGAGACCTGGGAGAAGCTTCTGATCGGTCGTTGTGGCCACTTAGGGAGTGGACCAGAAGATCTCTGTCTTCTCTGTAGATCTGACTTTCCAATTAAAAAAAAAAAAAATTAAAAGGCACTGTAAGGGTTCCCTTTGGGGCCACCCTGGGCTGTGAGTTTTACCTCTCCAGCCCTCAACCTTGCAGCGGGAACCCCTCTGTCACAGGCCAGGCTTCTCCCGGCCACGGGATCCCCACCTCGTCCTCCCGCCACGGACCCGCGCACCCCTGGGGGACAAGACGCGGAAGGCACGGGGGTCTCCCAAGTGGGTCAGGGTCCGGCCAGAGCGGCGCAGTCCGCAGCCAGGATGTGTCCCCCCGTCCCACCCGGGCTGCGTCCCGCCCCGCGCAGGCTGTCCCTCGTCCCTCCCGCGGTGTCCTTCGTCCCTCCCTCGATGTCCCCCGTCCCGCCCGCGGTGTCCCCCGTCCCGCCCGCGGTGTCCCCCGTCCCTCCCGCGGTGTCCGCCGTCCCGCCCGCGGTGTCCGCCGTCCCGCCGGGGGCGCCACGCCTCGGTTCACACCCAGCCGGCTCGGCGACCTCGCACTGCCGCGCGGGCCCGGCGTTGACCCGGAAGCGCTGCGGAAGCGGTTCCGGAGTCAGCGGAGGCAGGATGGCGGCCGACACGCAGGTGAGGCGGGTGGCAGCGGGGGTCCGGGCGGTGGACGGCGACCCGGTGTGGACGGTGGTCGTCGGGTCCGAGCCTGTTCTCACCGGTCAGCCCAGGGGCTGCGGAGGGCGTGAGTCCGACCCGGCTCCCCTCACAGAGCCGTGCCTCAACGCACGAGCCCAGGCCCGGCTCGGCCGGAGCGGCGCTGACCGATGGACTGCCCGACCGTCCCCGGGCTCGAGGGTCCCGTGTCGGAGCTCCGTGCTTCCCCCGAGCCCTCGGGGAGCGAGCCCAGGGCCAGCGCCAGACCTTGCTTCAACTTTGAGTGTCCCGGCTCCGGTAGCTGCTGAGGGCCGCCTGGACTTGAGGGCCGCTTTTCGCCTGTAAAATGGGGGTTTGGGGTCTCCAGCGGGATGCAGTGCAGGGACTGCAGGGCCCCTTGAGTGTGACCACTTAGGAAGTGGAAAAGACACGTAATGACAGAGTAGTTGTGCACAAGGGCTGGGGTCCTCAGGAGCTGTGTTCGACTGAGCTGTAGAGCTGTAGTGTCCGGTGTGGTGTCCACGGCTGAGTGGCTAACTTAGCGCGGTCAGACTCCGCTCGTCCAGTTGCATTAGATCCCCCCATCCCGGGCAGTGGAGGACTTTTCCATCCTCTCAGCAAGTTCCATGGGACACAGGTGTGAAAGCACATGATAGTATGTGAGATCAGCAGCGAGCGCTTCTGGAGGACCCTGGTGTGTGCTTGAGCCCCCGGGTCGGGGTCCAGGGTGTGAAGTTCTTTGATCCTTTGTGAGAAAACGGCAGCCAGCAGTCCCTGTGAGGACGGCTGGATGGATCGTGGGTTGTGTTTATGCATCGGCTTTGGTTGTCTCCTCTTGATCAAAACTAGTGAGGGCTGAAAGCGATTATCACACGTGGCCTGGGAAGAGGGGGAGCCGAGACAGCTGTGTGTGTGTGTGTGTTTTCAAGAATCATTTATTTGAAAGAGTTAAAAGAGAGGGAGATGGACAAACACGCACAGACAGACACACAGACACATTCCCCAGACGGCCATGATAGCCGGGGCTGAGCCAGGCGGGAGCCAGGAGCTTCACGCTGGTCTCCCTTAGCAGGGAGATGGATGGAATTGGGACAGATGGTCGGCTCGCCTCAAGGCACAAGACCAGCGCTTTCCTGCCTTTAAACTGCCACAGCAAGGAAAGATGTGCCGTGAGCACTAACAAAGAATCAGCAGTGTAGTTCAAGAAACTGTTCCCCCAGCTGAAGTGCTTGTCCCCGGACGGAAGGTACTCAGCAATGGTTAAAAATAGGCTCACTGCAAAGCACAAGTTAACATGAAACCTTAGAACCTGGGATGCAGAAGAGCCTAGAAGCGTCCAGGGCAAAAAGCCGGTTCTCATCCAGAGGCTCAAGACTCAGGACGGCTTTGAACTTGACCAACTTGACAGCGCTGGAGAAAAGCTGAAGTCAAGGACACAGCTAGGAAATGTTCTGACTTGGAGGGCCTTCCCAAAGTTCAGCATGTGTGTCCTGAACGCAAAATGACATTTTCAGGGTAACAAACTGCACTCCAGCTGTGGAATCACCTGTCAGATGGGACATCATGGGCTGGCACGATGGCTCGGTTCACCTTCAAGCACCGACATTCCATAACATGTGTCCTGGCTGCTCTACTTCTCAATCCAGTACCCTTCTAAATATCTGGGAAAGCAGCAGGGGATGGCCCAAAGCCTTGGGGCTCTGCACCCACGTGGGAAGAAGCTCCTGGCTTCAGATTAGCTCGGCTCTGGTCGTTGTGGCCATTTGGGGAGTGAATCAGCGGATGGGAGATCTTTCTATTTCCTTCTCTCTGTAAATCTGCCTTTCAAATTAAAAATAAATAAACAAAAAACAGATGGGGCAGTTTAGAAAACTGAAGAAACTTCCGGGCAGGTGGAATTTTATGGGGTACATTATTTGCCTCAGTGAGGGGAGATTGAAAGAAGAGCCAGAAGGTTGGGAATGGAACCCTTAATAACAACAGATGAAATGCGGGATTGTTGAGTGGGTAAAGATAATTATTAACTGCAGAGTAATAAAAACTGGATAGGAGAGGATACACAGTTTATTAACAAGATTAAATGTTACTTATAATGTGAAGTGACTACTGAACTAGCTCTTATTATGCAACTGGAAATTATACTGGGGGGTTGGGGAGGTATAGAATGAGGTTGGAGAAGGAAAGAGCTATGGGAGAAAGGAAGTAAAACTGAAAAACTGGGTCCTCACCTTGGATGTCCTGGGATCCCATAGGGATGTCGGTTTGTGTCCCGGCAGTTCCACTTCCCATCCAGCTCCCTACTTATGACCAGGGAAGGCAGTGGAGGATGGCCCAAAGCCTTGGGACCCTGCACGGACAGGAGATCTTTCTGTCTCTCCTCTTTGTAAATTTGATCTACCTTTCCAATAAAAATAAACTAATCTTTGGGAAAAAAATGACAACTGAGAAACTATAAAGTATTGGCACAGATTGCCTGCATATTTGAAGATGTATTTATTATTATTATTATTTTAAAGATGTATTTATTTTTATTGCAAAGTGAGATATTCAGAGAGGAGGAGAGAGAGAGAGAGAGGAAGATCTTCTGTCTGCTGGTTCATTCCTCAAGTGACTGCAATGGCCGGAGCTGAACTGATCAGGAGCCAGGAGCTTCTTCCGGGTCTCCCACATGGGTGCAGGGTCCCAAGACTTTGGGCTGTCCTGAACTACTTTCCAAGGCCACAAGCAGGGCGCTGGATGGGAAGTGGGGCTGCCGGGATTAGAACCTATGCCTAAATGGGATCCTGGCACATTCAAGGCAAGGTCTTTAGCCGCTAGGGTACCGCGCCAAGCCCGGAATTTATATATTTCTTACTGAAAAGGCAGATTTATAGAGAAAAGGAGAGAGAAAGTGCAAGATCTATCCACTGGGTCACTCCTCAAATGGCTGTGACAGCAGAGTTGAGCCAGTCAGGAACCAGGAGCTTCTTTTGGGTCTCTCTTGCAGGTGCAGGGTCCCAAGGCTTTGAGCCATCCTCCACTGCCTTCCCAGGCTGTAAGGAGGGAGCTGGATGGGAAGTGGAGCAACTGGGATACCAAGTGGCGCCCATATGGGATGTCAGTGCTTGAAAGCATAGGATTAGCTAGTTGAGCCTTTGTGCCCGCTGCATCCAGTATATTTTCAGGATTTTTTACTTGAAAGGCAGAATGACAGGGAGAGAGAGCTTCATTCTCCACTTCACTCTTCCCCGTGCCTGCTCAGTCTAGATGGGCCAGGCCGAGACTGAGATGGACGCCTCATGCGGGTCCCATGGCAGCAGTCCCAGCGGCCTCATTCGCTGCTTCCCAGGTGTGTTAGCAGGCAGTTGGGTTGGAAGTGGAGGAGCCAGGATGTAAACCGGCACTTCATTATGGGAAGTGGGCATCCCGTGTGGTGGCCTAATACGTTCCACCACAACCGCTGCTGCCACCCTTGACTCTGAGGTGCTGCAAGGCCTGCCCATGACGTAGCCTGTGACGAAGGCCTGCCTGTGACGCAAATAACCCCAGAAAAAGAAAAGGCAGGTGCTGTGTGTTAGCTACAGGCACGCCCTGGTGCTGCTCCATCCACAGGCTGCCCGCTGTGTGGCCTGTGGCCCTGGGTCGTTTGTGCATCCCATTACAGGGGACTGTGACCGAGGCCCTCTAACATCGGTTTGTAGATCTGTCTGTTTTTGGGGTCGGTTGAGACCTGCAGATGCTGTGACTGTCAGTGCTCTTCTAGGCAGTGATGTTGCCTCCTGAGGCAGTTCCTTCACCTAGAAAGAGAGGGTATGGGTGCCTCCCTTGCCTGCTTGTGGGTGGCAGCAGGTGCCTCCCTTGCCTGCTTGTGGGTGGCAGCAGGTGACCTGTGCTTGAGCTAATTGTAACTGCTTTCTTACATGCAGCATCTCATTTATGTGTCTTCGCTTACTTGAAAGAGTTAGAGAGTGTGAGGCCTTCCATCCCCTCATTCACTCCCCAGGAGGCTGTGGTGGCAGGAGCTGGGCCCCTCTGAAGTCATTAGCCACACCCAGGTGGGCACAGGCACTTTAGTATGGAGCTGGATTGAAAAAGGAGTGGCCAGGACCTGACCTGTCTTTAACCACTCTGCCACAGAGCCAACTCCCCACAGCATCTCATTTGATCTCCAAAGTAGTCACAGGAAGTACGGATGAAGAGGGGGAAAATCAGGGGGTGACCTCAGAGGCAGGTCGGGGATCCAGTCTCTACCTTTCCTCTTTTCCGCTGTGCGTATTCTCTGCTGCTGGGTTACCAGGGAGCCAGCATGAGTGGGGGAAGTGAGAGTGAAAGATACAATGGGAAGGAGCAGGCCCTCACTAGAGTTTGATTAGTTCTGCAAACGTGTTTTCTATCCCCAAGTTTTTTGCCTTTTACCTTCCCTTTTTCCACATTTAAATAAGACAGAAGGGCTGACTGATACCTCTAACGGGGTAATTTTGCCCCCCCCGCCAGGAGACATTTTGGTAATGCCTGGAGATACTTTTGCTTGTCAAAATGGGAATGGGAGATAAGTGGGCTCCTGGCACAGTGCATAGAGACAGAGGGTGCTGCCACACAACTTTCTGTGTGTAAAATTAGCCTCTTAGAGCAAAAGGTGGCTTGAAAGGGCCAGTGTTTGAGAAGCCCTGTGTCGGAGCTGCTTGCAGGATTCTGCCCCCGTCCACTGCCGGACACGTACACTGCCCGACACGTCCACCCACACATGCGCACGTATGCTTGCTCATTGCTTTGTCATCTAAGTGGTCAGTTTCTCTGTGGCTTTGATCTTCACAGGTTTCTGAGACACTGAAGCGCTTTGCGGGGAAGGTGACAACAGCCAGCGTGAAGGAGCGGAGAGAAATCCTTGGTGAACTGGGGAAGTGTGTTGCTGGAAAAGGTACTTGCTTTCCTATCCATCTGAGAAAGAAAGCTGTGTTCTCGAGAACCGTGGTGCCCTCTTGTGCCCTCCCTGCACACTGTCTGCCTTCTGTATTCGCTGGCTGCTGTGCACCTTGGGACAGTTGAAACATTTGCCTTAGTGGAGCGTGTCCATTCAGGTGCCCAAGCTGTTTGCAGTGTGACTGTTTTGTTTGAAGATACTTATTTTTTAAAATTAGTTATTTTTATTTGAAGGACAGAGTTACATAGAAAAGGAGAGAGAGCGCTTCCATCTGCCACTTTACTCCCCAGATAACTGCAGTTGCCACACTGAGCTCATCTGAAGCCAGGAGCTTCTGGGTCTCACACAAGGCTGCAGGGACCCAAGAATTTGAGTTATCTTCTGCTGCCTTCCTGACGCATTAGCAGGGAGCTGAATCACAGCAGCTGGGACACAACTTGTACCCATATGGAATGCTGGCACCACAGATGGGGACTTAGCCTACTATGCTGTGGTGCTGGCTCCCTTGAGACTTTTTTTTCTTTTAAAGATTTAGTTGTTTGTTTGTTTTTTTTTTAATTGGAAAGTCAGATGTATAGAGAGGAGGAGAGACAGAAAGGAAGATCTTCCGTTGGTTGATTCGCTCCCCAAATGGCTATAACATCCGGTGCTGAGTTGATGCGAAGCCTGGAGTCTGAAACCTCTTCTGCACCTCCCATGTGGGCACAGGGTCCCAAGGTCCCAAGACCTTGGACCATCCTTTTCTGCTTTCCCAGGCCACAAGCAGGGAGCTGGATGGGAAGCGGGGCCGCCAGACAAAAATCATCACCCAAATGGGACCCCAGCACATGCAAGGCGAGGACTTTAGCCACTAGGCTACCATGCCAGGAACTTCTCCCCACCCCGAGATTTAAAGAAGGTACCAGCAATGAGTGATAATCCGGGTGCAGGAACATTTTCTTTTCTTTTTTTTAAGATTTATTTAACTTTGTAATTGGACAGTCAGATATACAGAGAGGAGGAGAGACAAGAAGGGCTTCCATCTGTTGATTCATTCCCCAGGTGGCCACAATGGCTGGAGTTGCACCGATTTGAAGCCAGGAGCCTGGTGCCTCTTCTGGGTCTCTCATGTGGGTACAGGGTCCCAAGAATTTGGCCCGTCCTCAACTGCTTTCTCAGGCCACAAGCAGGGAGCTGGATGGGAAGTGGGGCTGCCAGGACACGAATCGGTGCCCATATGGGATCTCTGTACTTGCAAGGCAAGGATTTTAGCTAGTAGGCTACTGTGCAGGGGACCCCCTGCTCGAGATTTCTAAAAAGTAACAGCAACAGATGATAATCTGGGTGCAGAAACATTTTCTTTGTGTGTTGAGATACCATTTTTCCTAATGAGTGTTCCAAGGAAGTCAACAAGATGATAACAAGTGACTGACCAGTGAATGCAGCTCAAGACCAGTAGGTTTGGGAGGTGCTGTTTCCCAGTGCCCTCGATATTTTAGCTCACTGGGAGTTTCTCATCTGAAAGTCTGTTTGGGGTGTGCAGGGTACATTTCCTGAGGATTATCCCCCTGGCCCACTGGGTGTGCATTCATTGAATCTTGGTCTGTTACCTTGGTTTCCTCGTGGTGGGTTTGTTTTCACTCAGCTGCACTGGTTTCCTAAGCGGTCTCCTCACCAGCCCTTACCCTAACCTTCAGAGCCTGTTAGATGGGTTCTCAGCTCCACCGCAGCCACTGAGAAGCCGTGGGGGTGAGCTCTCTGTTCTAATAAAACCCACCATCTCTCAGCTTTCAGTTCTCCTTCCTGCTGCTTTTTTCCCCACAATTATTTGTTAAAGTACTATGCAAATGAAGGAGTCGCTGTTTGTGAGCTTCTAAGGGCCTCTGCTGTGTATTTGTGCCTTAGTGTGTGAGTTTGTGGTTGCCTGAGAGGCCTTTGTGAGGGGTCGCCTTCTCAGCAGGGTTGTGGTAGGGTGCCAGCTGTGCACACCTGCCTACTCAGCAGGGTTGTGGTGGGGCGCCGGCTGTGCACACCTGCTGAGCCATAGTGGCTGAATGCTTCTCCTCCCTGCCCATTTTATGGAATAAAATGACTTGTATGGGTAAAATTTATAAATTACTCAAAACCTTTTGAGAATTTTACTCTTTAGTTCCTTGGAATTCTACATTCAGTAAATTGCATTTGTAAAGTGTTTTGGTCACCTTTGTTGTTCAATTTGGTCGTGGAAAGTTATCTGCCTCTTCCTGGAAATCCTTAACTCTCAACTTCTGGAGTCTAAGGAAGAGCTTATTGTTCATATTGCATATTAATAGCTGTTCTGGCTCCGTTTTGGTAGGGAGGAGCTAAGGAGGCGAGGTAACTGGAGGTGGTGTACCATGTTTCCAGCCAACTAAGCAATTGAGGACTTCCTCAGAGCGCTCTTGATCCTGGATGTGGTGGGTCCACAGGGCCCAGCCCGACTTGCATTGCTTTAGTTTCGTTCAGTTAACAGACACCCACCTGAAGCTCTGCTGTGCCAGGTGTGTTGCTAGAGTCTTATTTTGCCACCACTTTTTATCTTGGTGATTCTGTCCCAAATCTCTGAGATCAGGTCTGGCATAGTACTCATCACAAGCAGATTTTCATTAAATTGGTTTTTTCCTAAGTCATTTTTGTTGATGAGAGAGATTTTCCATTCTCTGGTGTACCCTCTAAAGGCTTGCACCTGCCAGGAACTGTCCATGAACCATCTTCTGCAGCTTCTCAGGCATGTTGGTTGAAAGATAAATTGAAAATGGAGGTGGGAATTGCATGTCATAGTAACCCCTAGTACCACGATGCCTGTCTCTTAAGTTCTTTTTGTTCAACAATCTCTCTAATCTTTGGTTTCAGATCTGCCAGAGGGAGCAGTGAAAGGGCTGTGCAAGCTGTTCTGCTTGACTCTGCATCGGTACAGGTGAGTCCCAGTCAGGGGCCGAGTCTGGAGCACTTGTACAGAGCAGTGGTACAGGGTCGTGGCTGGAGCCAGGCCTCGAACCCAGACCTCCTGGTTCTATATCCTAGCTGATCGCATCTTGGGCACGTCATTCTGTGCCTCTGTTATCGCCTCACACTTGTTGGTAGTAAGTGTGAAGGACCCTGCACACTGCCTGCACATCTCACAAGCTTAGTTTGCATGTGCTGGCATCAGTCCTGTTTGTAAAAGCACAGGGTCCAGTTAGAGGCCCTTTATAAGTGCAGCTCTGGAAACACAGCTGCTACCCTTACACTCAGCGGCTTCTTTGTCCTTGTCAGCTGCTTTTGGGACTCGGGGAGGAGGTTGGATTCATCTAGACATTTTCTAAGCCCGCCAATCTTCTGTGACCATCCCCCTCCCCGCCCAGTGCAGTCAGTCTGGAACAATGTGTGGCTTAAGCAACCTGTTGCCTGCCTAAGTCCGCATACTTATCCTCCTTTGTTCCTCCCCCAGAGATGCAGCCTCTCGTCGGGCCCTGCAGGCAGCCATCCAGCAGTTGGCTGAGGCTCAGCCAGAGGCCACTGCTAAGAACCTCCTGCACTCCCTACAGTCTTCAGGCATTGGCTGCAAAACAGGAGTTCCCAGGTAAGAGGTATAGAGGGGCTGTGGCCCCTGGGGGACTGGGAGGGCCTCCCCAGGAGAAGCTGCTGCAGGTGAGCTTGCTGGGCAGGTGTGAGCATGCCCGACTTGTGGCCCTTCGTGCACCCAGGGCAAGGAGGAGCTGCAATGGCCAGTTCTGTCCCTAGGGACGGGAAAGCCAGTGGAAGCCAGCAGGCACAGAACGGGGAAACCCTTCACACTTGTTTTTCTGTTTGTTAGTACCAAGAGATGGTAGTTTGGAGCCTGAGGCCTGAACTGCTTTTCCTGAGCTGTCGGGCGTGCTTTGTGGGAACGAGAATCAGAGTCTGTCCTGTTAGGTCAGAGGAGGGGCCTGCACAGCAGCCAGCGCTTTGGGGAGAGCATTTGTCCTATACGTAGACGCCACTGATCGGCACTCGTCCCTCTGTCCTTCCACAGTAAGAGCAGTGGCTCGGCCGCCTTGCTGGCCCTGACCTGGACCTGCCTTCTGGTGCGTATCGTCTTTCCCTCGAAAGGCAAGCGCCAAGGAGACACCTGGAACAAACTGGTAGGTTCCCTGGGTCTTCGGAGTAGTGAGGGTCAGCCTTCTGCACAGTGAGAGCACCTTGAAGCCCCTTCCTCTGTGCCAGGTGCCCCAGGTGACCACAACAAAGCACTTTGAGTTTGCCTGAGGCGTGTGACTTGGACAGAGTGGGCATGAGTGCAACACATTCACATTCATCTGTTGGCATACATTTTTGAGCTTCTGTGTGCCAGGCATGGTGCCCGGCATTGGAGACGCAATGTGATTCCTGCCATTGGGACATGGGAGGAAGACGGGATAGGTTGGAGTGGGGCAGAGAGGCAAGAAGGAAGCGAGCAAGAGAGCATGATAATGTCAATCATTTCATTTATTTTTTCTGGCAAATCATCATGTATGTATTTCAATGTTGAAGCGGCTAAGGTAATGGAATTTTGCTCATGAGTTTTAGTCCTTAAAAATTCTTTTCATCCTGTGCCCATTGCTTGTACATTGCCTGCTTTTCCTTCCCACACATCTACTGCACCTGATAGTCTGGGCGAAGAGGTTCTTGTGGACGCCCAGATGTACTTGATGGTGGTTTTGGAGGGATGGTTTCAGACTTCAGTGAGGAGTCTGCACATCTCCCTCAGGGTCTGATTCTCGGCCATGAAATTTTGCCAGCTCTGAGCCTGTTTCCTCCCGTACAAAACGGAGGTAAAAATGACCACTCCATCCGCTTGTAAGAGTTGCTATAAATCAAGGCAGCCCAGTGGAATTGGGAGGTGCTTGTAAGAACTGTGCAGGAGGGGATAAACAGTGAGGGGAGTTGCAGGCCACCAGCTCTTAGGCAGATAGTTGGCTTCATTCTTGGAAGTCTCTGCTATACACGCTTCAAATGGTCACCAGTGACTGGTTCTTGATGGGTAGAACACTGAAATTCTGCAGTCAGAAGACAGGTTTCATTGTTCCCCTAAAGACTGCCCCATGAGGTGGCTCATCCTGGGCAAGCTCAAAGGCTTGCTCCCTCTGCTGAATTCTCAGTAGTCATTATCTGAGCCAAGGTTAGGGAGTAGGAGGAGTTGGGCCTGGAGCAGAATGTATCAGATGCTTAAGACTGTCTTACTTTTGTAAATAATGAGTTGCAAAGGCCGTACAGATATTCCTTCTGGTTTATTCTGCAGGCACTTGCGGTTACTGGGGCTGGGCCAGATCTAAGCTGGAAGGCAGGACCCCAACTCAGATTTCCTATGTGGGTGACAGGAACTCAATGAAACACTTGAGCCATTATTTGCTGCCTCCTAGGGTGCAATAGAAAGGAACTGAATTGGAAATGGAGTAGCTGGGACTGGGACCAACATGGTGATATGGGATAAGATGTCCCAAACCTCTGATCAACCACAGCACCCATATGCCAGCATCCTCCCACCCCCCCAACTCTTTGTGTGTTTGAAATCTGGGATCTGAGCTCTTGCTTGGCTGGTCACTGATGTCACTGATGTCTGCTTGCAAGGCTGGGCTGGACTGGACTGGAGGCAGAACTCAGCCTGCGTCTCCTGTGGGTGGCAGGGAGCTGCTGGCTTGAGCCATCAGGACTGCCTTGCATGGTCAGCCTTAGCAGGAAGTTGGAGTCAGGAGCCAGGGCTGGGTAGCACCTGGCTACTGTAGGGTGGGACACAGATGTCTTAATTTTCCTTTCTAGGCTAAAGCCACTCTGCCCTCCAAATATTTTAATGAAAAAAAAATTCAAAATTCAACAGGTGTCCAAACAATGTATACAGTTAGTATAACTTTGTACATATGTCATTTAAAAAAAAAAAAAGATTTGTTTTACTTTAAAGAATTGCACAGAGACATCTTCCATCTGCTGATTCCCCAAATGGCCACAGCAGCTGGAGCTGAGCTGGATCTGGGGCCATGAGCCAGGAGCTTCTTCTGGGATTTCCACACGGGTGCAGGGTCCCCAGGACTTGAGCCATTCTCTGCTATTTTCCCAGGCCATAAGCAGGGAGCTGGATCGGAAATGGAGCAGCTGGGTCTAGAACCAGTGCCCATCTGGGATGCCAGGGCTGTGGGTGGAAGTTTAGCTTACTACGCTGCAGGGCTGGCACCACATATGCCATTTTGTACAAATGGAATTCGGCAGCATGCACTTCACAGGAATATCCTTGTTCTCAGGGAAGCAGCTCGCGCTGCGCTTGGGCGCTTGTGACACGTACTCTCCTTGAGTTTTGTTCAGTTGAGCACCTGTTATGTGTCCCACCTGTGGGATGGATTGTGAGTTCCGTGCAAGCTAGAATCACTGTCTAGCACTTTGTACTTCACATTGCCTAGCCAAGTGCCTACCGTTTCCTTAGTGCTTGATAAGTATTGGCAGCGCGGACAAAGACGAGGCAGGTAAGAGAGTATTTCAAAAGGTTCATAGCAAATGGAACAAAAATACGTTTGTATTGATTAAAAAAAATTTGAAGTCCAAGCATATGAGGGAATCTTCAGAATATTGATGAAATATATATATTGTGAAAACCTATGCATAGTTTTCAGTTTTTTTTAAAGATTTATTTACTTCCTTTGGAAAGTCAGATTTACAGAGAGGAGGAGAGACAGAGAGAAAGATCTACCATCAGCTGAGCTGATCTGAGGCCAGGAGCCAGGAACTTCTTCCAGGTCTCCCACATGAGTGTAGGGTTTGAAGGCTTTGGGCCATCCCCCACTGCCTTCTCAGGCCACAAGCAGGGAGCTGGACGGGAATTGGGGCTGCGAAGGAACAAACTGGTGCCCATATGGGATCCCAGCACATGCAAGGTGAGGATTTTAGCTAGTAGGCTACTGCATTGGGCCCAGATTTCAAAATTTGCATAAAAGTAAACTTATCTTTAAATTCCATTTTCTCTGAACTCTTGCAAGTACTCTCAAGCATACCCTTGTCCTTTTCTTGTATGACACATTTAGTGGGTGTGTTTAATCCCGTCGTTGCCTCCGGACTGTAAAGTGTGTCAAAGCAGAGGCCAAGTGTACCTTGTTCCCATGGATCTGACTCATAGTAAGTGCTCCATAAACACTGAGTGAATGCTTGAGTGACTGGTTAAAGGATGGGACAGGGGCCAGTACTGTGGTGTGGTAGGTTAAGCTGCTTCCTGTGATGCTTGTATGGGTGCCAGTTTAAGTCTTGGCTGCTCCTCTTCTGATCTAGCTCCCTATTAATGGCCTGGGGAAAGAAGTGGAAGATGGCCCTAATATTTGGGGCCCTTGCACCCACATGGGAGTCTTGGAAGAAGCTCCTGGATTCTAGCTCTGGCTCTGGTCCAGTTCTGGCCACTGTGGCCATCTGGGCAGTGAACCAGTGGATGGAAGATACCTCTGTCTCTCTCTTCCTCTTTCTCCCTCTTTCTATGTAAGTCTGAATTTCAAATAAATGGATAGTCTTTTTTTTTTTTTTTTAAAGGAAGAGCTAACTGTTAGGGGTAGAGGAAAAAGGACCTATCTAAATTGAGTAGGAGAGGCCTGGTGGAGGTCAAGCGGGGTTTGGAGGGCCAGAAAGATTCGGGGTGGGCAGCGAGCGTTCAGGACTCTACCGCTCTGATGCCATCTTCTGATATGAGGTTTCACTTGGTGCCGACAGGTGGAGGTTCAGTGTCTGCTGCTGTTGGAGGTGCTGGGCGGCTCCCACAGGCACGCTGTGGATGGTGCCTTGAAGAAACTAACGAAACTATGGAAAGAGGTGACAGGAGTCTAGATGGGGTGGCGGGCAGTGCTTCTTCCGTGCCGTCCCCACTGTCACCTGATACACCTGCCTCATGCCTTCCTTTCAGAACCCCGGGCTGGTGGAGCAGTACTTGTCCGCCATTCTCAGCTTGGAACCCAACCAGAACTATGCTGGCATGCTGGGGCTGTTGGTGCAGTTCTGCACCAACCACAAGGAGATGGATGTGGTCAATCGGCACAAGGCAAGTGCTGGGCCAGGGCAGCCGAGGGTTTACCTCCGTTGGACCCACAGGCAAGCAGGAGTAGGAACTTGTTTTGTGGATGGCCCCAGCTGCTGAACTTCGTGGAATCTTGTGGGTTTTTTCATATGAGACTCCAACCTTTCCATCGCAAGAGAAGAACTTGGGGGAACTGGAAGGATTTGCTTTCAGTTCTGGTTCGGGTCGAATCCTTTTTGAGATGTCACGTACTTGATCTTGAAGACATCTGCCATGTACCAGGCACTTGTCAGGTACAGAAGATGCAGCGCCAGGCAAGGGGGGCCTGACTTGTGCCCCCGTGAGCCTAGTATGACAAAGAACTTGCAGTTAGACCCAGGGCACCTCATACGTGGTGGCTGTGCCAGGGCTGTGAGGTGGAAGGGTGAGTGGCTGTGGCACTGCACAACGTGTTCCACTCATGAGGGAACTTGAGAGTTGGGCAGGCTGGGCCAGGTCAGGAGGGGAGGAGTATGGAATAGGATTGGCTCGTCAGATAGGACTGTGGGTTTCAGGGGGGCTGCCAAGAGCTGTGGGAAGCTAGGGAAGGTTTATTTAAATGAGACATAGCATCACCAGGGGCCTCTGCTTGACACTGCACCTCTAGACATTGGTTTGCTTCTGGAGGTATTGCTGTGAGAGAAGCCTCCTCGGCCAGGGGCCAGACCCTTCAGTAGGTCAGGCTCTAGCCAGACCCTTGTGTGTGTGCTTGCAGAGTGTTCTGCTGGATTTCTATATGAAGAATGTCCTGATGAGCAAGGTGAAGCCGCAGAAGTACCTGCTGGTGCGTACAGAGTGGCCCTCCTCGCCATGCAGGCCCAGTCCCATTTCGTGTTCAGAGGTTCTGGACCGTCCTCTGCTTGGGCTGTTCCCTGGAGGGCCGAATGCCTAACTGGGTTCTCTTTATAGGATAACTGCACCCCTCTGCTCCGGTACATGTCCCACTCGGAATTTAAGGAGCTGATACTACCTACTATACAGAAGTCCTTACTGAGGAGCCCGGAGAATGCCATCGAAAGTGGGTTGCTGCTGGACGGGATGTCAGGAGGGAGATGAGCTGCCTCATAAGCTGCTTACTCTGGGGTCTGGAGAGATGTGTGTCGGGTGGGGTAGGATATAGCCACTGTTTATGTTGGAATCCTGGGCCCTCTTACTAGAAGGGGTGAACGCACACCCACTTAAAACCCTCAGTTTGAAGGGGCCAAGTACCTCTGCAGGCTGTTCAGGTGAAGGATGTCTTGGACAGTTTGGACATGATCGCCGGACATGGTCCAGAGGTGGCACTTGAAATCCCTGTTCAACAGTAAAAGATGCTAGTAGAATATTGTGCAGATGGCTGGTATAGTGTGTAGCTTTTAAGCAGAATTTCGGGACAGATTATGATCAGTCTGCGGCCCTTTTGAGTGGTCACACTTCCATGTGGCTAGAGAGCAGGCCTGGTGGGATGTTCGTTCATCCCTTTTTAAAAATGTTGTAAAGATTTACTTGTTCATTCGGAAGGCAGAATTGAGGGGAGACAGATCTTGCATCTGCCATTTCACTCCCCTAAATGGTCACAATGGCTGGGACTGGGCCAGGTCGAAGCCAGGAGCCTATAGCTGCATCTGATTTTACCATGTGGGTAGCAGAGGCCCAAGTTTGGGCCATTTCCTGCTGCTGTCACAGGTGTATTACCTGGGACCTGGATCAGAAGTGCAGCAGCCAGGACTCAAAATACATGCTCATATAAGGTGGCGCCTTAATGCACCATGCCACAACACCGTCCCATGGTTTATGCTGAAAACTGACATGGGCAGTGCTTTTCTTTTGTTCTTAGCTATCTCCAGTCTGCTGGCATCAGTGACCCTTGATCTCAGCCAGTATGCCCTGGACATTGTCAAAGGACTGGCTGGTGAGTATACGTCCCTCGGATGTTCCTTGAGTTCTGATGTTCCTATTACTGTAGAAAAAGAGATGGAGAACAGCTCAGGCTAGAAAGGAGTTTCAGTTTTTTAGTTTTTTTTTTTAAAGATTTATCTTTTTTTTTTTAATTGGAAAGGTAGATCAGCAGAGAGGAGAGACAGGGAGTTTCCATCTGTGAATTCACTCTCCAAATGGCCACAGTGGTCAGAGCAGAGCTGATCTAAAGCCAGGAGCTTCCTCTAGGTCTCCCATATGATGTAGGGTTTGGGCTGTCTTCGACTGTTTTCCCAGACCACAAGCAGGAAGCTGGATCAGAAATGGAGCAGCTGGGACACAAACTGGCACCCATTTAGGATCCCCACACCTGTAAGATGAGGATTTAGCAACTAAGTCATTGTTCTGGGCTCTCCCCACTGCCTCCCCCTTTTTTTTTTTTAAATATTTATTTTTATTTGAAAGGCAGAAAAAGAAAGAGAGCATCTCTGTCCGCTGGTTCATTTCGCAAATGACCACAATGGCCTGAGCTGGGCTGATCTGGAGCTAGAAGCCAGGAGCTTCTGGGTCTCCCACATGGGGTCATCTGCTGCTGCTTTTCCAGGCCATTAACAGGGAGCTGGATCAGAAGTAGAGCAGCTGGGGTTTGAACCAGTGCCCATAGAGGATGTGGGTGCCTCGGGCAGGGGCTTGGCTTTATCAGCCTCAGCTCTGGCTCTGGAAATAAGGCTTTTACCTCATTTACTGGCATAGTTTCTTGAGATCACTTGTAATAACCCTTAGAGTTGGGAGCCTGAGAAAGACAGAAGTGAATGGTCTGGGCACTCAGTTATGAGCAGCCTCCAAGCACTGACTCCATGTTCAGGTCAGCTGAAATCCAACAGCCCCCGCCTGATGGATGAAGCAGTGCTGGCGCTGCGGAACCTGGCCCGCCAGTGCAGTGACTCCTCAGCCATGGAGGCCCTGACCAGGCATCTGTTTGCAATCCTTGGAGGTAAGCGAGCCTGCTTGACCATGGGGGTGGCTAAGGCATGCCCCCGGCATTCCCTTGAGCCCTGGGTCTGATGGGGACTTGGGATGAAGTGTGTGCCCAGAAGATCATCCACACTGAATGTGATGTGTGGTGTGGTAAAGTGCACCCAAAGGACAGTGTGTCCATGGGACTACATACTTGTTTTTTTTTTAATGTATTTTTTTTTATTGACAAAAATATTTATGTGGGTATATGCTTATAGGGAGGGTAACATGTGGCTTCGTATGTGTATGGGGTGTGTAATGTCTAAAATATTTTGAAATACACAGTTGTCCCTTGGGAATCTTGGAGATTTTGTTTCAGGACCAGCAGGTTCTGGAAAACAAGCAACAAAACAAAAAAAATCCCAAAAACCTGAGGATACTGAGGTCCCTTAAATAGAATGGGGTAATATTTGCAAAAACAAAAACAAAAACAAAAAAAAACCTTTACTGTTACGTACTCTGAGTTTTCTTTGCTTTTTGGATTTGAGAGGCAGAGAGAGTTCCCACTCGCTGGTTCACTTGCTAATTCTCACCAAGACTAAGGCCGGGAGTGTGAGGCATGGCTGTTGAGCTGCTGGGCTAGATGCCTACCCCGTCCTGTAAACTTCCTGTGTGTTACCTAGTATGGTATAAATGCTATACAAATGGTTGTTATCCTGTATTGTTTAAAGAGTAGTGACAATAAAAATATGTGTTCAGTACAATGCGGTTTATTTTATTTTTGATATTTTCAGTGCATGGTTGATGGAATTTGTGGATAAGGAGGGCTACGTTTGCATACGTTTTTATATTTATAGCAGGAAAACATTAAATACACCAAGATGTCAATGACTGAGTAGTGAAGACTTTGGTGCCTTTTTGTGTGTGTGTGTGTGTTTTTTCTTTTTTAAAAGATTTATTTTTAAGTTTTTTATTGGAAAGTCAGATATACAGAAAGGAGGAAAGACAGAGGAAGATCTTCTGTCTGTTGATTCACTCCCCAAGTGGCCACAATGGCCAGAGCCTAGCCAATCTGAAACCAAGAACCAGGAGCCTCTTCTGGATCTTCCACGCAGATGCAGGGTCCCAAGACTTTGGGCCGTCCTCGACTGCTTTCCCAGGCCACAAGCAGGGAGGTGGATGGGAAGCGGGGCTGCCGGGATTAGAACTGGTGCCCCTATGGGATCCTGGCACATTAAAGGAGAGGACTTTAGCCACTAGGCTACTGTACCAGGTCCTTTTTGTTTCTTAAGTTGTATGTAGGATTATAGTAGTTTTATTTTAGATCAGAAAACAAAAGGCTAGTCTATGTATTTAGTCCAGCTTCACAACAGAGAGGCTACTTCTGGAATAGGAAACTGGATCATGTGTCGTGCTTAGTCCTTCTTACTTCAGCCCCTGGGAAAATGTGGCACATGGGATTTTAAAGCTTTCGGTCTCTTCTCTCAGGCTCGGAAGGAAAACTGACCGTTGTAGCCCAGAAGATGAGCGTCCTCTCAGGTACGGATTTTCCCCCATGGATTATGGAAGTGTTGGCTAGTGGTGGGCGAGGCTTAAGCCTTAGCTAAGACCCTGAGTGCTCAACAGTGTTGGCTCTGCTGGGTTGGTAGGAGGGACTCACTCGAGTCTGGCTGTAGGCTCGTCTTCTGTGAAAGGCAGGACCGCGGAAGGGGACTCGAGGAAGGGTCAGTGACTGGCAAAGGAGAGCCGTGCTTGCTGGGGCCCGGGAGGAGATCTGTGGCCCAGTGTACAGAGGTCCTAGTCCTGGGAAGACTTCCTGTTGACCGACTGGTGCTCAGGAGGGGCTGAACACAATCTCTTTCAGGAATTGGAAGCATCAGTCAGCACGTGGTATCTGGGCCTTCCAGTCAAGTGCTGAATGGGACTGTGGCTGAGCTGTTTATTCCGTTTCTCCAGCAAGAAGGTAATTCCATGCACCCGTGTGAGGATGCAGTCTGGACTCACCCTTGACATTGGTTTCTCAATCTGAGCCCTCTGAAGCCACACGCTCTGAGGGCTGGGTGGAGGGCTGTCTGAATGTACTGCTGCTTCCCCACCAGTACTCCTGCCTGCTCTGGCTGCTTACAGTGATGTGACGTGCTTGTAAAATACAGACTGACCAGACTTCTGCCTCTTGCCTAGTTCACGAAGGCACCTTGGTACATGCCGTGTCTGTCCTGGCTCTCTGGTGTAACCGGTTCACCACAGAAGTGCCCCGGAAGCTCACCGACTGGTTCAAGAAAGCTTTCAGCCTTAAGACGTCCACATCCGCAGTGAGGCATGCCTACCTGCAGTGCATGTTGGCCTCCTTCCGAGGTAAGGCGCCGGGGAGCCGGTGTCCAGCCCTCGCCTGCAGAGAGGACTGAGTTTTCCGGGCTTGTCACCATTCCAGGCTTTTACTTATGCATTAATTTGTTTTATTCCATTTCCTCTTGGGTTTACCTATCCTGCAATCAGAGTCCTGTCAGCTTTCACTGCCAGCGCTGGCTTTACCTCCTGTATTAGATGCTGAAGGCTCAGGGCCTTCTTGAGAGAGGACCTGCAACCAGAACCTGCCATGGCAGCATCTAGAATTCTGGGGGAATTGACTCTAGTAAGACTGGTTTAAAAACCCAGCTTCAAGTAAACTTCGCTTTGAGCCTTTTAGAAATGACTGTGCCTTGGGGCCAGTGCAGTGGCTCAATTGGCTAACCCTGTACCTGTCAGTGTTGGCATCCCATATATGTGCCGGTTCTTGTTCTGGCAGCTCCACTTCCAGTCCAGTTCCCTGCTTATGACCTGGGAAAGCAGTGGAGGATGGCCCAAGTTCTTGGGACCTTGTACCCACATGGGAGACTTGGAAAAAGCTCCTGGCTCCTGGTTTAGAATGAGCTGTGGTTAGTGAACGCTCTGGGAGAGCTTTCCCTGGAGAGAGAGGTGTCCCTGGAGAAAGGACACCTTTCCATGTGAAATGTTTTTCCTCTGATGAATTTTGTACAGTGCTAAGCTGATTTGAAGCCAGGAGCCTCTCCCAGGTCTCACGGGGGTCCAGGGGTCCAAGCACTTGAGCCATGCTCTTCTCCCAGGCCATCAGCAGGGAGCTGGATTGAAGTACAGCAGCCAGGACACTGGTGTTCATGTGGGATGCTGGAGCCAGAGGCAGAAGCTCAGCCTACCTGTATCATAGCACTGGCTCCTTCATATTTGTATTAATGGTTAGAGGGGAAGAATATGACCTGAGATTTTTTTACAGTGAGTTGAGAATTAGTAAATCTTTTTCTGGAATCTCTGCAGGTCCAAGAGATGTAGATTATCCCTGTGATTTGTGAGATTTCTGCAAAGCCACAGATAATACTGATTGAAGCAAAGATTTCTCGTGGGGTGGAAATGTACAGTTCAGTCTTGTCAGCTACCTTCAGCATGGAGTGAACTCACACCCTGATTAAAAATGGACTGTGCCCTCATGTATCAAGTTAACATGTTGGCCGCATTGCTTGTCTTGATTTCAGATTGAACTGTAGATTTATTTTAACTTAATCTCTTCAGCATAAGCTAGTTCGTTCTTTTGTTTCATTTGTTAAAAGATTTATTTTTATTTGAAAAGCAGTTTCATAGAGAAAGAAGAGAGAGAGAGAAATTTGTTCACTGGTTTTATTTCCTAAATGGCCACATTGGCTGGAATTTGGCCAGCCTGAGAACAAGAGCCAGAAGCCTCCTCCCATGTGGATACAGGGGCCCAAGCATTTGGGGCATATTCTGCTGCTTTCCCAGGCATATCAGAAGGGAGCTGAACAGAAATGGAGCAGCCGGGACACAAACTGGCACCCATAAGAGATACTGGCACTGGAGGCAGAGGCTTAATATACTACACCACGGTGCTGGCCCCCAGTTTTCTTTTAAAATAAACTTGAGGTGGGGCTGGTCACCTGCCTTGCAGCACCTGTATCCCACCCATGTGGATGTTGGCTTAAGTCCCAGCTGCTCTACTGCTGGTCCAGCTCCCTGTTGAACACTGTGAAAGTAGTAGGGTCAAGTCCTTGGGCCCCTGCACCCACCTGGGAGGCCCAGAAGAAGCTACTGGTTTTGCATTGGCTCAGCCCTGACCATTGCGACCATTTGGAAAGTGAGCCAGCGGATGGAAGATGGTTCTTTGTTTCTGCTCTCTAAATCTGTTTCAAAAATGAATGAATGAATCTTTAAAAAAAAAATTGTAGGATAGTCTTTTGGATTCAAATCATGTCATTCTCAAGAATAAGATACTTTTATTGTAAAATGATCTGATGTTCTTATTTAGTAGTTAGGGCTTAGTGATAGTTTAAACTGGTTTCTGCTGGTTTTGTTTTTGGATTTATTTACTTATTTGAAAGGCAGAATTACCAACAGTGAGAGAGGGCAAGCTTCCTTCTACTCTCCAAATGGGCACAGTGGCTAATCCAAAGCAGGTAGCCTCTTCCCAGTCTCCTTCGCAAGTGCAGGGGCCCAGGGACTTGAGCCATCCTCTGCTGCTTACTTAGAGAGCTGGATGGGAAGTGGAGCTGCCAGGACTTAAGTCAGTGGTAGGCCAGCAGATGGTGGCTTTACCTGCTTTGTCATGGTGTCAGTCCTGTTTTTTTCTGCTTTTTAATGGTTTTAGTTCATAGGTCAACATACTGGCTCTGTTTTGGGAATTTGGGTCCAGAGATCATCTGGTTTGGGACAAAGTGCCGGATAGAAATGGATAGGCTTTAGGTTGGTTCTGTGTGCCTTAACCAGCCATGTGATATTGGGCAGCTCACTTAACCTTTCTGTTTCCTTATCTGTGAAATGGGTGTTTGCATTGTTGAATTATGGTTGTAGGATTTTTTTTTTAAAGATTTATTTATTTTTATTGGAAAGTCAGATACAGAGAGAAGGAGAGACAGAGAGGAAGATCTCTGTCCGTTGATTCACTCCCCAAGTGGCCACAACGTCTGGAGCTCCGCCAGTGCAAAGCCAGGAACCTCTTCTGGGTCTCCCACGTGGGAGCAGGAACCCAAGGCTTTGGGCTATCCTCAACTGCTTTCCCAGGCCACAAGCAGGGAGCTGGATGGGAAGCGGGGCTGCCAGGATTAGAACCAGTGCCCATAAGGGATCCCGGCACGTTCAAGGCGAGGACTTTAGCTGCTAGACTACCGTGCCGGGCCCTGGTTGTAGTATTTAAACTGTAGAATCTAACTGCACTTCTTTGAGATATTTGCTGTAACACTTGAGTGGTTGGGTCAGCCAGTTCATGCTTGGGTGGATTATTTCTTTGTCCAGTAATTCTGTCACCTGCACGGCTCAGCGTATTCCTCAAGGTGTTCGTCCTCTTCCCACAGGTGACACACTTCTGCAGGCGCTGGAATTGCTGCCCTTGCTCATCCAGACAGTGGAGAAGGCAGCTTCCCAAAGCACTCAGGTTCCCACGGTCACCGAGGGGGTTGCCGCAGCCCTTCTGCTCTCCAAGCTGTCAGTCGCTGATGCACAAGCAGGTGAGGGTCGTGCTTGGGAGGAGTGCCGTGAGGTGTTGGCGCAGCCTGGGCTTCCCGCACAGGCTCAGTTGCTTGTCTGTTGGTCTGTTGGGATGGGCCTCAGGGCATTGAGCTAAAACACTTGTCACTGTCCTTGCTCTGGTGCTGTGCTGCTCTGGGCTGGGTATGTATAGATGACATGTAGATAACCTGGCCTCAGGGTTGGGACTTTGTTTTTATTGGTTAGATGCTTGTAAGGTACAAAAATCAGAAGTATAGCAGGGTGTAGCATGAAATTTTCCCTTAGTCCTGTCCTCCAGCCACCGCGTTCGTCTCCTTGGATAATTGTGTCCGTTACCTGTCTAGTGATAGTCGGTGTGTAAAGAAGCACACTGGATTACATGTGGAGCCTTCAAAAAGTTCATGGAAAATAGGGATTATGAGAAAAGCTGCTGTAAGTCATTTAACTCCAAGATAGGCCTGTTTTTTGTTTCTATTTTTCTATAAATTATTGATGTATCCTTATATAAAACATATTATATACTGAAAGCTGGGAAGGATTTCACCAGCTTGAAAGACCTGATCTAGAGTGAGTCCCTTGCATGGAAGGGCTGGGGCAACATCAGTGTGCAAACCTCAGAATTTCCACCTTGGTATTTGCAGTGGGTGGGAATTCCAGTTGAGGAGGAGCTTGCAAGGAAGGAGCAGGGAACCGCTAGAGGTTTTCATTCAGGACATGATACCAAATGCCTGAGGTTAGTGTACAAAACAGGAGAGCAGTGAGCCTAGAAATGCCTCCTCCTGGTGGGAGGACTCTGCCTGCCTCTCTGGAGGGTCTGCTAGCAAAGCTTGCTCCAGCTGCCTCAGGATGGAAGGGGCCATCCCAGGGGTGAGCTGTGGAGTGAGATGACCTCTTCTTTTCTTCCAGAGACCAGACTGAGCAGTCTCTGGCAGCTGATTGTGGACGACAAGAAGCAGATTTTCACGTCTGAGAAATTCCTGCTCATGGCTTCAGAGGATGGTGAGTTCTTGCCCCCTTAGTTAAATATGAGCTTGGTGCCACATCCGGCGAAGGCATTTGGAGAGCACCCTTCCCCAACCGTTGTCTGACCTGTGAGCTCTGCCAAGCAGTGATCTGGCTCACAGTTTGTCATAGGAATAGATTTCAGTCTTGCAGGGGTGGATAAGGTTAGGGAATGGTGGGGAACTTGGGAAATTTTTGGAGACAGATCAGTGGTGCCTGAGGGTCTGTGATTATAGCTGATTGGCTAATTGGTGCTGTGGTTATACAGACAAGCTGAGAAACTGCTAGGATGTGGCATCCTCTGTGAGGAGACAGAAAAAACTACTGGTCTCCCTCCTCGCAGGAAAGGAACAGTTGATCTTTTAAATTCTGTGTTGCCTTAAGGGTGTCTGGCACTAATTGGTGATTTGAAAAATCTCTTGACTCACAAATCACAACAACCAGTTAAGGAACAGATCTGTTAGTCACTCCCTGGTTTTGCTGGTTCTTTGCTTTTTATTTTTTTATTTTTAAGTTTCTATTTGAGAGGCAGAGAAGAGAGGTGACAGGGGGCCAGTGCTGTGGTTCTTTGTGTTAATCAACTACCTGCAGTGCCAATATCCCAAGTGGACACCAGTTGAAGTTGTGGCTGCTTGATTCCCAATTCAGCTCCCTGCTGTATGCATGGGAAAGCAGTGGAAGAGGGCCAGGATTCTTGGGCCCCTGCTGCCTGGGCGCACGGGAGACCTGGAAGAAGCTCCTGGCCTTTGGCCTTATGCAGCCCCGTTCATTGTGGCCATTTGGAGAGTGAACCAACAGGTGGAAGATTCTTTTTTTCTGTCTCTTTTTCTGTCTGTATGTCTGCATTTTAAATGAATAGAATAATTCTGCTTACTATGTTTGCTTTTATTTATTTATTTATTTTAAGATTTATTTGTTATTGGAAAAGCAAATTTTACAGAGAGGAGAGACACAGAGAAACATTTTCCATCTGCTTTTTCACTCTGCTGGTCCATGTCATCCAAATGGCCAGAGTTGAGCTGATCTGAAGCCAGGAGCTTCTTTTGGGTCTCCCACATGGGTGCAGGGTCCAAGGCTTTGGGCCATCCTCTGCTGCCATTCCAGGCCACAGCCAGGGAGCTGGAAGGGAAGTGTAGCAGCTGGGATACAAACAGGCACCCATATGGAATCCTAGTGGATGTAAAGCCAGGATTTAGTCATAGGCTATTGCGCAGGGCCCCAAATATTTATCCTTTAAGATTTACTTATTTTATTTGTTTAAAAAGCTGAGTAATAGGGGAGAGATGGAGATCTTCCATCCACTGGTTCACCCCTCAAATGGCCACAGTGGCCTGACCTGTGCAAAGCTGAAGCCAGGAGCCAGAAACCTCATGTGTATCTTCCATGTGGGCATGAGGGCCCAACAACTTGTACAGTCATCTACTGCTTTCCCAGATGCCTTAAGAGGGACTAAACTGGAGTGGGAGCAGCTGGGAATTGAACCGGAATTTCAGGTAGTGACTTAACCTATTGCACCACAACACCATTCTTGTTTTTTAAAAAAAGATAGGATGGGGCCCAGCGTGATAACCTAGCAGCTAAAGTCCTTGCCTTGAACGCATAAAGATCCCATATGGGCACTGATTCTAATCCTGGCAGCCCCGGTTCCCATCCAGCTCCCTGCTTGTGGCCTGGGAAAGCAGTTGAGGATGGCCCAAAGCCTTGGGTTCCTGTACCCGTGTGGGAGATCTGGATGAAGCTCTTGGCTCCTGGCTCTTGGCTTTGGATTGGCTGAGCTCTGGCTCTTGCGGCCACTTGGGGAGTGAATCAGCGACCGAAGATCTTCCTCTTGAACTCAAACACTGTGTTTTGGCATGTGAGCATCTTAACTGCTAGACTCAATGCTCACGAGTGTACTTCTTTTTTTTTTTTTAAGATTTATTTTTATTATATTTTATTGGAAAGGCGGATATACAGAGAGGAGAGACAGAGAGGAAGATCTTCCGTCCGATGATTCACTCCCCGACCCCAAGTGAGCGCAATGGCCGATGCTATGCCGATCCAAAGCCAGGAGCCTCTTCCGGGTCTCCCATGCGGGTGCAGAGTCCCAAAGCTTTGGGCCGTCCTCGACTGCTTTCCCGGGCCACAGGCAGGGAGCTGGAAGGGAAGTGGGGCTGCCAGGATTAGAACCGGCACCCATATGGGATCCCAGGCGTGCAAGGCGAGGACTTAACCACTTGCGCCACCGCGCCGGGCCCACGAGTGTACTTCTTTAAAAAATTATTTGTCTATACCCTTCAGTTTTATTGGAAAGAGAAAGAGGGACAACCTCATTTGGTGTTTCTTTCCCCAAAGGCCAAGCCAAAACGAGGAGCATGAAGCTCAGTCTAGATCTTCCACATCTGAGCCACCACCATTGTCTCAGAGCGCATGTTAGCTGGGAACAGTGTTAGGACCAGTGTCGTGGTACAGTGTGTGAAGCCTCTGCTTGCAAAGCTGGCATCTCCTGTTGGAGCGCCTTTTCAAGTCCTGCCTGCTCCGCTTGGAATCTAGCTACCTTCTGGTATCTCTGGGAAAACAGCAGAAGATGGACACTTCCCTCCATCTTGGGATACCCAGATGGAATTCAATGCTTCTTGGCTTTATCCTGGCCCAGCGCTCATTGTGGTGAATATTTAGGGAGTGACGCAGGAAATGAAAGACTCATCTCTGTCCCTCTTTCTCCCTGCTTTTAAAATCTGTCAATCAATCAATTTAAAAAGAAAAGTGAAATGAGGAGCAGAGGTGGAAATAAAATCAGACGTTGTTTAGGTGGCGTCATAACTGTTAACCAAATGCCTGCTCTTCTAATTTTTAATTAGAAAGCATGTGCTTTCTGTATTCCAACAATACCTGTGTCTATAATTAGCAGAAAAGGAAGGAAATATAGGTGAATTTGAATTTCATATCCAATATTAATCACACATTTTGGCATTACTTTTGCAGTACATCACAATTCTGTGTGTGTGCGTGCTTGCGCCCTAGCCTGTCTTAAACCCCCTGCCCTGTTCCTCTCCCAGCTTTGTGCACCGTGTTGCAGCTCACAGAGAGACTTCTTCTTGACCACCCGCATAGACTGACTGGCAACAGCGTCCAGTATGTGAAGCATGCTTACCCTGACTCTTGGGCCGAACAAGGCAAACCCTGATGGGAGCCGGAGACCTGGCTGCTCAGAAGGCGGTGGGGATGTGGGGCAGGAGGGAGGAAGGGGAATTGGCTGTAGAAAACCCTGCTCTGCAGCGTGCCCCAAGAGCACTGTCCCTGTGTCTGCAGGCAGTACCACCGGGCCCTGGTGGCCGTGCTCCTGAGTCGGACCTGGCACGTCCGACGGCAAGCGCAGCAGACTGTCCGGAAGCTGCTCTCCTCCCTCGGGGGCTTCAAGCTGGCTCACGGACTCCTGGAGGAGGTGCAGGCTGTCCTGAGCTCTCACAAGGTAAAGGGGTCTAGGTTTCACGGCTGTGCCTTGCAGGCCTGCTTGGGCCACCAGCTTAGCCCCTGCATGGTGGTTTTGCTTTGTTTTGCTTTTTGAGGGCTTTCTCCTAGGCTGTTCTCTCTGACTCAGACTCGTCCTCCCTGCCCTTTAGCACTGATGATACCTGAATATATAATTCCTTTTAAGGGTTTTTTTTTTCCTCTTCCACTGGCTTTAGACATGTAACCCAACCTTTTGACTCTGAGTAATTGAAAAAACTTGATGTATTTAAAGCATTGTCTTACCCAGTGTCCCTTTTGATAGATGGGGAAAAAATGATCCCTATTTTGTATGAGTTGTCCTGGGAGCGGAAGTGATCTGTCCAGGGCCTCCCAGGTAATGGGAGAAAAATGAAGACAGACCCAAAGGCCTGACTCCTGCAGCGCCTGCAGCTGTGCTTCAGGAGCTCCTTTCCTCCCCACGCCTGCTAGAGGAACACGTGCCAGTGACAGACTTGCAGTCCTGGGCCAGGTGCCTGGGCTGGTTTCTGTCCTGTTGGATCTTTGGGTGCGTGGTGATAGGTGCTCCCTGCTCCCTCGCAGGTCCCAGAGCGGGTGGCTGTGCATGAGGCTTTACTGCAGCTGGGAACACATCTTGGTCTTCTGCTGCCTAACTTGGGCAGAGCTCTGAGCAGTAGGGGCTTATGTCTTGTCTCCATGTAGGTGCTGCCGTTAGATGCTCTAGTGACTGAAGCTGGGGAAGTGACTGAGACGGGCAAGGCGTACGTGTCCCCACGAGTCCTGCAGGAGGCTCTTTGTGTCATCTCTGGAGTGCCAGGGCTCAAGGGCGATGCCACCGACACCGAACAACTGGCGCGGGAGATGCTGATTATCTCCCATCACCCGTGCTTAGGTTGGTGGCTGTGGCGGGTGTGGGAGAGCCAGGGCTCCATTGGGCAGGGTGATGGCAGGCTGGGCAGATGGCCTCCAAGAGCCTCTCTCCCCCTCAGTGGCAGTGCAGTCGGGGCTGTGGCCAGCGCTTCTTACCAGGATGAAGGTTGATCCCGAAGCCTTCATCACCAGGCACCTGGATCAGATCATTCCCAGGATCACCACACAGAATCCACTAAATCAGGTGAGTCACGCGTGAGCTGATTCTGGCTTTGTGTGGGCCTGACCTGTCCTCCCAATTTGCAGGCAGTGAGGAATCAAAGGAGCAGGTAAAGGTGATGAAATAATGGGCTTGTACCCTTGGTGGTGGCAGAGAGGGCAAACTGGGTTAAGCATAAAGAGGAACTTCCTGCCTCACTGAGTTAGCAAATCCAAGTGTGTGACTGAAGCTGGTGTTGGCCTAGTGATGTCCGCCGTGTCTCTGTCTTATCCTCTTGGCTCTGCTTTCCGTGGGGTGGTTCCATTGTCAGTCTGTCCCTTCCTGGTAGTAGGACAGCTGCTGGAGCTTCCTGTTTCCACCTGTGCCCCACTAGCTCCACTGGGGCAAGCGTAATAATGATAACTGGCAGGGGTCTCACTGCCCCTGGTTGGAGGTTGAGAGTGAGAAGAGTGTGTCCTTCAAAATCAGGGGTGAATACTTGCCAGGTGAGGGAGGTGTAGTCTGCCCCGCCTGGCACTTAGGCATGCTGGGGAATTTCAGTGCCAGCCCAGGCCCTCACCTGTGTCTGGTTTCTCTGGCAGTCTTCCATGAATGCCATGGGCTCCCTTTCCATCCTGTCCCCGGATCGCGTCCTGCCACACCTCATCAGCACCATCACTGCCTCCGTGCAGAATCCAGCGTTTTGTCTGGTGACGCGGGAGGAGTTTGCCATCATGCAGACCCCTGCCGGGGAGCTGTACGACAAATCCATCATCCAGAGGTGAGTTCCTCCTGGTGGATTCAGGTGCTTCTTGTCGCCAAGCCCCGTCTTCTGGCTTGTGAGGTGGAGACATGCCTCCTCTGTCGGGTGGTTGTGAGGGGCAGATGAAGCCTCCCCGTCCATTGATGAGTGCCTTCTGCCCTCCTGGCCTGGTGCTCAGGCACTTGGCTGGTGCACTGCTTGAAAAAACTGACTGGGATTTCCTGACCATGGGAGGTTGAAGGACCCGGCTGCTGTTTTCAAGCTGACTGATCGCCTGCTTTGGTTTCTCAGTGCGCAGCAGGACAGTATCAAAAAGGCCAATATGAAGCGAGAGAACAAAGCTTATTCCTTCAAGGAGCAGATCATTGAACTGGAGCTGAAGGAGGTGCGTATGAGGAGGCGTCTCCCGCGAGGAGGCTGAGTGCTGCTACACAGACTGCTCTCTTAGATCGAGTTTTTATTTCTTGAATATATTAGAAAGCCCTCCTTGCCTTTATCAGATAATTCAGGAACGAATCGCTTCTTTACTGCAGCCTTCATCCTGAAGAAACCTGGTGGCTGTGGACTTTGGGGAAGAGGGGAACAGTTATAGGAGGCCCCATGCTGAGTTTGGGGCCTGTGTCACCAACTTAGCACTGGCATGGTGCTTACTGTGCAAGCAGGATTGTCTTGGCCTGGTAGGGGAAGAGCTCTGCTCCATGGAGATGCGATTGCATTGCTTACCCTAACCCCTCAGGAGATAAAGAAGAAGAAAGGCATCAAAGAAGAGGTGCAGCTGACAAGCAAGCAGAAGGAGATGCTGCAGGCCCAGCTGGATAAGGAGGCGCAGATACGCAGGCGGCTGCAGGAGGTAAGTGGCCACCACTCGGACAGGCCTCCGCTGGAAGAGCATCAGGCAGTCCCGGCCTGCTACTCCCCGTCCTGCAGCCAGGCCTTGCTGACTTGTCTTCTGCACCACTCTGCTTGCAGCTGGACGGGGAGCTGGAGACGGCTCTTGGATTGTTGGACTCCATCCTGGCCAAGAACCCCTCAGCCCTGACCCAGTACATTCCGGTTTTGGTGGACTCTTTCTTACCCTTGCTGAAATCTCCGCTGGCTGCCCCCAGGATCAAGAGCCCTTTCCTGGCCTTGGCTGCCTGTGTGATGCCCCCGAGACTCAAGGCTTTGGGTTAGTCTTTGTTGACCGTGGGGAAGGACCAGGTGGTTTGGGAGGTGGGCAGGGATGTACCTAAGTGTGAGAAGCAGTTGGTGACCTGAGCTGTGCCTTCACTGTGGAAGCCAGATCTTAGATAGTAGGTGTCTAGTATCTTTCATTTGGCAGTTCTTTTTCTTTCGTTTTTTTTAAATGAAAAAGTTATTTATGTATATTATATGAAAGGCAGACAAAGGTCATCCATCTTCTGGTTCATTCCCCAGATGTCTGCAGCAGCTAAGGCTGGGCTAAAGCAAAGAACTCAATCTAGAGCCATGCTACCCATGTTGATGGCAGGACCCCAAGTGTTTGAGCCATTGCCTGCCATCTCCCAGGATGCCCATCAGTGGGATGGAGTCGGGGTTTGAACCCAGGCACACTGATAAGGGATGTGAGTTTCCCAAGTGGCAACTTGACAGCTGTGCCAGATACCTGCCCCATTTCAGTTTCCTGAGTGTCTAAAGGGGAAGTTCTCTGCCCACATACCCTTGGGTGCTGCCATGAACTGGGAGTGAGAAACCAGTGAAGACATTTGGTAGCACAGAAGGGGACCAGGCTCCTTTGCTCTGCTCTGGGTCCCTTTTTTGTGCCTGAGCCAGATTTTTTTTTTTTTTTTTTTTAAGATTTATTATTATTGGAAAGTCAAACTTACAGAGAAAAGAAAAAGCAGAGAGAAAGTTGTTCCATCTGCTGGTTTACTCCCTAAGTGGCCACAATGGCTGGAGCTGAGCTGATCTGAAGCCAGAAGCCAGGAGCCAAGAGCCTCTTCCAGGTCTCCCATGCAGGTGTAGGGTCCCAAGGCTTTGGGCCGTCCTCGATTGCTATTTTAGACCACAAACTGGGAGCTGGATGGGAAGCGGAGCAGCCAGGATAGGAACAGGTGCCCATATGGGATCCTGATATGTGTAAGGCGAGGACTTTAGCCACTAGGCTAACTGTGCTGGGCCCAGATCTGTTTGAGTTTCCCCCCTCTGGGTTTCCTCTCTGTGTCACAGGCACTTTGGTGAGCCATGTGACGCTGCGCCTGCTAAAGCCAGAGTGTGCTCTTGATAAGTCCTGGTGCCAGGAAGACCTGTCAGTGGCTGTGAAGAGGGCCGTGACACTGCTGCATACCCACACCATCCCCAGCAGGATGGGCAAGGGCGAGCCAGGTAAGGAATGGGACAGGACCCAGGACACAGGGTGGTCCACCCTGCAGCATCTCAAGGGGGCTTCCTGAGTCCATGTTTTTAGGCCCTCCCATCCTCTCCAATTTTAGTTTCATTAACTGGAAAATGGATGGACTGGAATAGATGAAAGGTTTTGAGTGCAGACTTGGTATTCTTTGAGTTGCTATGATCCCGTTGACCTTTTGTGCACAGTGTCCCCTTCTGTTTTGCCCTCAGGGCAAGGTTTAGGGCAGAAGCAGGATTCTCTTTATTTGGCTTGAGCCAGCAGCTGTCATCTTTGTGGCCCTGTGTGCTTGCTGCCTGTGCAGAGACCTCCAGCCTCAGCTGTGGCACTGCCCTGCCTGTGGGATCACCCCCACTTCCTTCTCCCTCCTACAGATGCTGCGCCCTTATCCGCACCAGCCTTCTCCTTAGTCTTCCCATTGCTGAAGATGGTGCTGACCGAGATGCCCCACCACAGTGAGGAGGACGAGGAGCGAATGGCCCAGATTCTTCAGATCCTCACCGTGCACTCCCAGCTGAGGGCCTCCCCTGGCACCCCGCCTGGCCGTGTGGATGAGGTTGGCAGGGGAGTTCTGCTCTGCCCATGGTTGAGGGGGTTCAGGGAGGCAGGGCTTGGGAGACCTATGGGGAAGTGCAAAGTGTGATTCATATACCTATAGCTGCTACACGTGTTGTGCGGTGTGGTTTCAGTGCAAAAGAAGCTCCTGCTGTTTCTTAGGATGGGGCTGTAGAGATGAGTGAGTGTGGACCTGGTCACATGAGTTCCTGCACCATGCTTCATTCCTTTCTCTTGTGTCTGACCTCACATGTTGAGCAGCACTGCATGTCCCCTGTGTGTGCCCTGGCACACCTGGTATCAACAGTTTTGTAGCACAGGTCTTGGGAGTGGGAGAGCTAGGTCAAGGGGCTTGTTCTGATTTATTCTAAGAGTTTCCTTTTCGCTAAAGAGAAATATCTGTGTGTAAAGCTGAGTACCTCTTCAGCTGAGTATGATCCATTCTTTGACTCTCGCTGACTTTCAAGTGTATCACAGAGTGTATTTGGTGTTAGTTCCTGAAGTTGATTAGGATTAGTATACTTGACTCTGTTGGAAAATGAATGAACCTTCTACACGGAAGTCAGTTTTGTGGCCCAGAATGTTCTTTGGGGAAGAGGATACCACTTGACAGGTCATCAGGCTTAGTTACAGTCCTTCCCCACAACTTTATCCTGACTTTTCTACTGTTCTGTCCTAGAATGGCCCGGAATTGCTGCCTCGAGTGGCCATGCTGCGTCTCCTGACGTGGGTGATTGGGACAGGCTCCCCCCGCCTTCAGGTGAGCTGCTTTTCAGTTGGCTCTTGCTGTGACTCAGGACCCTGAGCCCAGGTTCTGTGCCTCTCTGAGCTCTCACTGTCGGATTTGGACAGAAGAGCTGCTTTTGAGAGCCAGCTTGCACATACTTGTCTAGTGAGGGGCTTTGCTGGAGACCCCTGAATGGGAGCTGGGGTCCTAGCACTAGATGAGCTTTTGGGGGGTGGGTGCTCTGTGTTCAGATCTCCTGCAGCCTGTTAACTGACTGCAATTATAAATCTTTTGCCAACCCATCTAAAGCCAGAAGGTTGATGTCTTCTTTAGGTCTTGGCAGCAGACACCCTTACCACCCTGTGTGCCAGCAGCAGCGGTGAGGAGGGCTGTGCCTTTGCGGAGCAGGAGGAGGTGGACGTGCTGCTCAGTGCCTTGCAGTCCCCGTGTGCCAGCGTGCGGGAGACTTCACTCCGGGTGTGTGTCCACTCTCAGCGGGGGCTCGGGCACTCTGTGCTAGTGCAGACTGTGTGTTCAGGATTCAAGGGGATGGCCCTCACTCATGGGAAGGCCTGGAGACATGGAGATGACAGGAGCAATTCGAGGTCCCGAGTCTCAGTTAAACTAAACACTTGTCATGGCATATTAATGTCTATTTCTTCCCTTACCTATGTTTTAAGCTAGAATAGAGATCTTGGCACTTTTTTAGACAGACCTGGTAAGATCAGATAATATCATCAACCTACTGCTTTGTGGCTTTGGACCACACCTGAAGCATTCCCTTGGAATGAAAAAGCATTGGTTCATCAGTGTTGATCTGTAGCATTTTGCTGTTGCTGCATGACTGGTTGCTAGTAAAAATGTGAAAAGTTATAGACAGCAATATGATAAGTTTCCCTCCAAAATTTATTCAACAAAGAGATTGTACTTTAGTGTGTATGTGAGCACAAAGGGATTATACTTTTTCTGAAGTTTTGTCTATCTTATTTAGATTTTTAAAAAGTACTTATTTATTTATTTGAAAGGCAGAGAGAGATCTTCTATCTTCTGCCTTAATGTCCAAATGTCATCAGTAATGGGGCGGAGCCAGGCCAGAGCCTGGAGCTTGGAACTCTAGGTCCCCACATAAGCACTTGGCCCAGGCACATTATCACGTTATTTGAAAAAGAGTAACCAGGGCTGGAGCTCCTACATGGGCTGCTGCTGGTGGGTCATAGACAATGACTTATTCCATTATGCCGCAATGCTGCGTCCATAGAGTTAATTTTTACATTAAAAAAAAATTGTGCGATTACACAGTCTCAATTTATAAAATCTAGGCATTTGAGGAGACCCTAAGCAGGCAGCGAGTTGAGCTGATTGACAGCAGTGCCTGGACCAGTGCTAATCTGCTGACATTGTCTGCAGTGATTACAAGACATTTTGTATCGTGTACTTGAGATGTGCTGGCAGTATTGAGGAAACGAGGATTTGATTTTTATTGGTTTAAGTTTAAATATAGCCACAATGAGCTCGTGGCTCATAGTTCAGCCTTGAGAGTGGTGAGGAGGTGGGAGAGAGACTAAAGGGACCTGCCTTACACAGAAAATCTCCCCCTTCCCAGGGGCTGATGGAACTGCACATGGTGTTGCCAGCACCTGATACTGATGAGAAAAATGGCTTGAACCTTCTGCGGAGGCTCTGGGTGGTCAGGTTTGACAAGGAGGAGGACATCAGGAAGCTGGCTGAGAGGTGAGAGCCAGGAGGAGGCTGCTCTGTCTCCACCCCTGTTGGGAATTAACCAGACCCAGTGTGACAGGGGTCAGTGAGAGAAGGTCTGGGGGTTAGAATGGGCAGCAGATGTGCTGTGATTCCTTCCTTGAGCTGCCTCCACCTTTGCCTGCCACAGGTTGTGGTCGACCATGAGCCTCAATCTGCAGCCAGACCTCTGCTCCTTGCTGATTGACGATGTGATCTATCACGAGGCAGCCGTGAGGCAGGCTGGAGCTGATGCCCTCTCTCAGGCCGTGGCATGTTACCAGCATAAGGCGGCAGAGGTGATGGGCAGGCTCATGGAGATCTACCAGGAGAAGCTCTATGTGAGTGGCCTGCTGGGTTCTGGGTGATGGGAGGTCAGTGGGACTCTGCTCAGTCCTCTCCGCTCTGGACAGGAGTCTTGGGGCTCACAGTGGCTGTAAACACAGGTTCCCCCCCCCCCCCTTAGTCCCCATGCTTAGCTGAAGATCTGCTGGTCTGGGCTGGGGAAAGCACTGCAGAGGATTCATCTTGTTGTCTATTGCAGCGGCCACCCCCAGTGCTGGACGCTTTGGGACGAGTTATTTCCGAATCTCCTCCAGATCAGTGGGAAGCCAGGTATGTAACCACTGTTTCAGTCCCATTGCACTCTGTTCTCGCCAAGATGCAGTGGATTGGTGGGTGGTGTTGTGTGGAGACAGCGGGGCATAATGATGTCATAGAAAGAAAAAGCAAGGCTTCCTCAAAGTTCCAGGGACCGAAGCTCAGGTGTGGAGCCCTCCGTCCTCCTCTGCCAGCTCTAAGAATGTAAGCGTGGTTTTTATTTTAATTTTTTTAAACCTATTTCCTCAAGTGTGTGAAGGGCACAGTCTGAAGGTGTGGATATTTGACAGCTCTGCTTAAGACTCCATTTTGGGTTGCCTGAATTGGAGTCCTGGCTCTGCTTCCAATCCATCTCCCGACTAAAGCACACCTCGGGAGGCAGCGGGTGGCGGCTCAGGGGCTGGGACTCGTGCTGCTCACGTGAGACCTGGATTGATTTCAGGCTCCTCGCTTTGCCCTAGCCCAGCCTGGGCTGTTGCAGGCATTTGGGGCAGTGAACCAGTAGATGGAAGGTCTCTTGGTTTGCCTCCCCCGGTTTCCCTCTCCACTTTTTCGATAAATACCAAATAAGTGAGTGAAAATTTATTAGAAAAAACAAAGCTCTGTAAAATACTCAGTGATTTATTAGGTCTCTTTTCGCTCAGAGCCCACAGGAAGCATTTGGGTGATTAGGCCTATGTGGATGAGTGAGTGTGTAGCTGGAAGACACCTCCCAGGGCAGCTGCAGCACTCAGAGTGGTGTCAGTTTGCGCTCGTGTTCTCCACTTGGTGGAGTTTTGTGTCAGTGTTGAATGGCATATGGGCTCATCTTTATTTCTTTTATGATTTTGAGAGAGACTGAGAGAGAAGGGGAAAGATTTTATCTACTGGTTCACTTTCCACGTGCTTGGGAGCCAGGAATTCAGTCCAGGTCTCCCATGTGGTTGGCAGAGCTCTAAACACCTAAGCCATCGTGTACTGCTTCCCAGGGTGTACGTCAGCAGGAAGCTGGAATCAGGAGCTGAGGTAGAACTTGAACCCAAGCACTATGATGTGAGATGTGGATTTCTATTCTACCAAATGTCCACTACCCCTCTTTTTTTTTTTCCTGTGTTGGACCAACTATACAATGTGCAGTGATCAAATCAGAGTAATTAGCATGCTCATCACCTTGAACTCGTCTTTTTGGTTCAATTCTTTTCTATTCCAGACCATCAGCAGCTAGGAGTAGAACAGATTCTTTGCACTGGGGACCGTCTTACTACTCTGGCTATAAAGAACAGTATACTGTGGCTTTGTAGAGTTTGTTTGCTTCTCAGTGTTTTTATATCTCTCTCTCTTTTTTGGTGAGGTTATGTATCTGAAAAGGAACATGGGCGTTCCTTTAGCTGTAGTGGCTAAAGTCCTAATATTGCACATGGTGGTTTGTGTCCTGGCAGCTCCCCTTCTGCCCAGCTCCCTGCTTGTGGCCTGGGAAAGCAGTAGGGGATGGTCCAACGCCTTGGGACAAACCCTGCACCCATGAGGAGGCCTGGAGGAGCTCAGCTCAGCTCTGGCTGTGGTGACCACTTGGGGAGTGAACCAGCAGATAAAAAATCTTTCTGCCTCCTTCTCTGTAGATCTGACGTTCCAATTAAATAAATAAATAAATAAATAAATATTTGAAAAAAAGAGTGACACTGAGAAACACAGAGAGAAGGCTTTTCCATCCCCTGGTTCATTTTACAAATGCCTATAGCAGCTAGAGCTGGGCCAGGCTGCAGCCAGGGGCCTGGAACTGCATCCATGTGGGTGGCAGGGGTCCAAGTACATGGACCATCACCTGTCGCCTTTCCAGACATATTAACAGGGAGGTGATTTAGAAGCAGAGCACTTGAGACTTGATGGGCACCCCATATGAAATGCTGCAGCTTGACATGTGTGTCAGAATGCCATTTCTCCCCAAGTACCTTTACATCTTGATTCTTTTCCCTCTTACAACTTGTCTTAGAGGTGGAGTTGGCATGGCATTACACTCAGGTGTGCAGGTCACTGTAGTAGGTAAACTTGGGACAGATGATAGGTGGCTCCTAGTTGGACAAGTAGGTTGTTTCAGACCAGTGGGTAAGCTTTGGGCAGTGGGCTGTGTGCTGTGCCCTCTGCCTGGGAGCAGTGTTTGCTGCTGATGGGGCCTCTTAACGATATGTTGAAAGCTTCTGTCAGCAAAAGAGGCCCCCAGATCAGATCTAGCTTGCCAACATGCTTCCGTTCTTTTCCCAGGTGTGGCTTGGCCTTGGCCCTGAATAAACTCTCCCAGTATTTGGACAGTTCTCAGGTGAAGCCACTCTTTCAGTTTTTTGTCCCTGATGCTCTCAATGACCGAAACCCAGATGTCCGAAAGTGCATGTTAGATGCAGCCCTTGCAACACTGAACACCCATGGAAAGGTAAGAAGGTTCATTCCACCAGACACGTAGATAGGGCTGAGCCATGGACACAGAAGTGCTAGCTATTGGTGCAAAATCACATTTTTGTTTCTTTTGAGCCTAAAAGACACTGAGAGGTTGTCTGCTGTGGTCTTTGGGGAAACCTGCTGGCGTTGCTGTGTGGCTTGTCGGGATGCCTGTCTCAGAGCCAGGCTTAGGCTTGATCCTTGGGCAGACTCTGGTCGCCAGATGCAGCCTTATGTTCTGGGTGCCTTCACTTCTAGGAGAATGTCAACTCGCTGCTGCCAGTGTTTGAGGAATTCCTGAAGAATGCGCCCAATGATGCCAGCTATGATGCCGTGCGGCAGAGTGTGGTGGTTCTGATGGGCTCTCTGGCGAAGCACCTGGACAAGAGCGACCCCAAAGTGAAGCCCATTGTTGCCAAGCTTATTGCTGCCCTCTCCACGCCCTCCCAGCAGGTACTGGTGGCCTGATCTGGGGCCCACAAACCTGATTAGTAATTGGGATCTGACTTAAGATGCACAGAAGGATGCTAGGAGCCGGGTGCGGTGATTCTCTATGAGGAGTCATTCCCTCTCCCAGGGGAGATCCTGGTAGGTAGTCTCCAGCCCATTGTAGTGTGCACCCTGATGGGACATGCGTGTCATGAGAGGGTCACAAAACACTGTGTCTTGTCTCCTGTGATACCCTCAGGAGGAACTGAGGTGGGGCTTGGTGACATTAGCTGTGGGTGTCGTAGAGGATTGTGAGTCACCAAAAACGCAGTAGTTGTGTTTGCTGTGCTGAGGCGGTGTTCCCTCCCATAGGTGCAGGAGTCCGTGGCGAGCTGCCTGCCGCCCCTTGTGCCAGCCATCAAGGAAGAAGCCGGGGGGATGATCCAAAGGCTCATGCAACAGCTATTAGAGTCAGACAAGTATGCAGAGCGCAAAGGAGCCGCCTACGGTCTGGCAGGCCTGGTGAAGGGCCTAGGCATCCTGTCACTGAAGCAGCAGGAAATGATGGCAGCGCTGACCGATGCCATCCAGGACAAGAAGAACTTCCGCAGACGAGAGGGTGAGTGTGTCTGAGCTTGATGCCGGTGGAGGAAGGAACATGGCCTTCTTTCCCCAACTTGTGGACTGGTGCCTATATAGGCAGCACCAGGGCCATGCTAACTTGACCTGAGTTTTTCTACTTTTTTTTTTTTTCAAGGTTTACTTATTTGAAAGGTACAGTTATAAAAAGAGGGAGGGACAGGAAAAGATCTTTCATATCTTTCACCTGCTGGTTCACTCTCCAAATTGCTGCAGTGGCTATGGCTGGGCCAGGCTGAAGCTTGGAACTCAGATTGCCATCCGGTCTTCCACGTGGATACCGGGGGCCCAGGCATTTGGGCCACCTTCTTGTATTTTCCCAGACAAGTTAGCAGAGAGCTAGATCAGGTTTGGAGCAGCTGGGACTTAAACCAGTACCCATAATGCCAGCTGCTGAACTTTCTGTGCTTGAACTCATCAGTACCCTTTTGTTGGAGAGACTCTGTGTTGTGCTAGCCATTAGTACTGAGCAATGATGCATGACTGCTGCTGTGGCTATGTCTGCCATAACCCTGCTGTGTGGCTGCTAGAGCTGAGACACTGTGTGTTGCACGTCAGTCTCACAGCTGCCTAGAGAGTGAAGAGGTGCAGGAAAATGGCCAGCCCTCGCAGTCCCCTGTCTGTCCCAGCGAACCCATCTTCTCTCACCCTAGGTGCCCTGTTTGCCTTTGAGATGCTCTGCACCATGCTGGGCAAGCTTTTCGAGCCCTACGTGGTTCATGTGCTGCCCCACCTGTTGCTTTGCTTCGGGGATGGAAACCAGTACGTGCGTGAGGTAAGTCCCAAGCCCACACATAACCGAGGCACCTGCTGGTGAGGCCCAGTCAGGGAGACTCTGGGATGGTGGACGTTCGTCTTGTCTGCACCCCAGGCTCTGGCAACTGGTGTGTATTCTCGGCTCTGTCTGCTGTGCTGGGTGGGTTTGGTACAAACACTTGGTGAATGACACTCCCTGGAGGGCCCCGGGATGTGCATGAGCATTGGGCCCTTGCATGGGTGAGGAGGCCCCTGAACGTCTTCTCTCCTTCCTTGAGGCTGCAGATGATTGTGCCAAAGCTGTAATGAGCAACCTGAGTGCTCACGGGGTGAAGCTGGTGCTCCCCTCCCTGCTGGCGGCCCTGGAGGAGGAGTCCTGGAGAACCAAAGCCGGTACAGTTGCTTCCTTCTGCCTTCCTTCTTGCCTTCCTGTTCTGGAAACTTCTCTCAGCAGGGGTTGGGGCAGGCTCCGTTCTTATCCTGTGTGTAGAAGTCCAGCCCAGAGAGAAGCCCAGGGCTCTGTACGTTTGGGCACTCTATCCTTATATGGTTGGTATGCTTTCACAGGCTGCAGCACCCAACACAGGACATTGTAGAGCTTTAAGGCCACTCGGTGGCTGGTTCTGTGGCTTTCAAGCTTTTTTTTTCTCACTAAAATTCTTTTATATATATATATATAATATTGTCTAATATACAAGACTTGGAAACAGAGCTTGTTCGATTGTAGAGGGCAGGAGAGATGGTGGTGTGGGGGTTTTGAGGTTTGGAAGCCCTCTTCCACATGGCCTCTCCTTTGGTACTTCATGCTTTGCCCTATTATTCAAAGCATCATAGTTCTAGGGGAGCATATTAGTGACTGGCCTTAGAGCACCATGAATGCTAAGCCAGGTCATCCCCATTTTGGTCTGCTTCTTTTCCCTATGCTGCCCCTCATGGGGCTCCTAGGCTCAGCAACCTCAAGCAGTTTCTGTTCCCTCTGCTAGAGCCGGTCAGCTGCTCTCCTAGGGACTACTTGGATATGGTCTGTAGGGCAGTCAGGATGTCCCCTCCCCATGCAGTAAGTAGCCAGGCCAGGTGACTTGCTGGCCTTGTGCCCGGTGACTTACTGCTGGATGTGTGTCTGTTGTCTGTAGGGTCAGTGGAGCTGCTTGGGGCCATGGCATACTGTGCTCCCAAGCAGCTGTCGTCCTGCCTACCCAACATTGTGCCCAAGCTCACAGAGGTGCTGACCGACTCCCACGTCAAAGTTCAGAAAGCAGGACAGCAGGCCCTCCGGCAGATTGGCTCTGTCATCAGGAACCCGGAGATTCTGGGTATGTGTTCCCTCCCAGGGCACTGCTTTCCCTTCCCCACCACCCCTGGAAGTCACCTCTCCTCCCAGACCTTTGAATGCTGTAGGAAACATGCCCACCCCATCTTGTTGTGTCTTCTAAATGCCGGGAAGGTAGCTTGAAAGCAATTTGTTCTCTCAGTAGTCTGGAGATGTCATTGGCTACTCATGCGGACACCCAGAGAAGCTTGACTCAGAGACCCTTAAGTTCTGGGTAAAAATGAGGCAATGGAATTGAGCAGCACACTAGTCCCCCTTGATGCCATCCCAGGTATCTGCTTTTTGGGGGAACTTCCTGTTCCATGTCTTTACAGGAGTGTGGTAGATGAAAGCGTTAATCCCCTTGACTGCACTCACCTGCTTGTACTTGCAGGTTTCTGGTTCAAGTGCCTGTGCTCAGTATGTATTTTAGCTGGGATATTGCCAGATACCTTTTCATTCAGAAAGTGATGGAGTCCTTTTTATTTTTTCCCTTGTGTTGCTTTTTTGAAGAGATTTTTATTTATTTGTGAGGCATAGAGAGTTCCTGTTGGCTGGTTCACCCGCAGGTACCTACACCTGGGACTGCGATCGGGAGCCAGGAACCCATTCTGGGCCTCCCGTGTGGGTTGCAGCGATCCAGCTGCTTCAGCCGTCACTTGCTCCTCTCCCTAGCCTCTGAAACTATTGCTTATCTCTGCACCCCTGTGAATTCAGCTGCTGCTTCCTCAGGTGTATACGCGAAGAAGTGGAGCAATTAGGAATTGAACCAGTATCCACAAGGGATGTCAGTATTGCAGGCAGTGGCTTAACTCACTGCACCACAACACTGGTCTCAGTTTCACTTTTTGAGAGGCCATTTTTCAATGTCCAAATGATTGTGCCATTGGACATACTTCACAGCAATGGATAAGGGTTTCAGTCGCTAACACTTGTCATTTAATTTGTGCTTCTCTATTGGCCAGTAATGATGAACCACCTTCCATTTGGTTGTTGACCATTTATACAGCTTTAGAGTACTCCCTGAAGTCTTTTGATCATTTTGAAATCATTTGTTTTTAATAATAATTCATTGGATACCAAGAAATTAAAAAAAAAAATATTTGAAAGGTAGAGTCAATGGAGAGAGAGGTATTCCATCTGCTGATACCATTCTCAAATGTCTGCAAGGGCAGGGGCTGGGCTGAAGCCAGGAGCTCATCCAGGTTTCTCACAGGAGTCCCAGGGTCCCCAGGACTCAGGTCCATCTTCTGCTGCCTTCCAAGACACATAAGTAGAGTATCTGGGACTTGAACCAGTGCCCATGTCAAAGCCAGCAATTCGCCACTAGCATGATGCCAGCCCCTAGCATGAGTCTTTGTGGTGGTTAAGCTCCCTGTGCTTGTGGAAGGGAGAAGCCAGCTATCCCCCCTGGAATCTCTCCTACCAGGCTGCTCAGTGCTTGATCAGCTTTTGTCTGGTCTTTGCTGCTGTAAGCCCTGTGAGCTTCCCTCCCACCACTGGTTCACAGGCTTTTGTTTTTTTTGTTTGTTTGTTTGTTTGTTTTTTAAAGATTGATTTTATTTTTTATTGGAAAGGCAGATATACAGAGAGGAGAGACAGAGAGGAAGATCTTCCGTCCGATGATTCACTCCCCGACCCCAAGTGAGCGCAATGGCCGATGCTATGCCGATCCGAAGCCAGGAGACTCTTCCGGGTCTCCCACGCGGGTGCAGGGTCCCAAAGCTTCGGGCTGTCCTCGACTGCTTTCCCAGGCCCCAAGTGGGGAGCTGGATGGGAAGAGGGGCCGCCGGGATTAGAACCGGCGCCCATATGGGATCCCGGGCGTGCAAGTCGAGGACCTTAACCACTTGCGCCACTGCACCGGGCCCGCTTTTGGTTTTTTATAAAGAAACTTCACAAAACTGCTTTTGAGTAACTGGTTGTAGGCTAAGGCCTGTGGTGCCCAAGAAACACTCCTGCGGGGCATAGCTCTATGGCTGCCGCTCAGGATGTAGTGAAACCAGCTGACAGCTGCCCTGCTAGGTCACTGCTCTGGAGCACAGGGTGCTAGCTGCCGCCCTCATGGCCACCTGTACTTCCTGTCGAATGGGCAAGGAGCACTCTTAGCAGACAGGCTGACTTTCCTAGTGAGTAACTTGTGGGGCTACGGGGAGGAGTTGCTGTGGGGTCTCCTTTGTCCTGAACCACTGTGGTTCCGAGGGCGTTGTAACCTTGCTGTCACCCAGTGTTGTACAGCCAGCCTCTCTCCTGTGTGGACCTGTAGCTATTGCCCCAGTGCTGCTGGACGCCCTGACGGACCCTTCAAGAAAGACCCAGAAGTGCCTGCAGACCCTGCTGGACACCAAGTTTGTCCATTTCATTGATGCCCCATCCCTGGCGCTCATCATGCCCATTGTGCAGCGAGCCTTCCAGGACCGTTCTACAGACACACGGAAGATGGCAGCGCAGATTATTGGCAACATGTACTCCCTGACAGATCAGAAGGTAGCAGCCCAGCTGGGGATGGAGTGGGACAGACCACCAGAGGCCAGTTCAGGGTGTGTGTCCTTGCCATGGCACACGGGGGGATAGAGGCAGAGATAATATCTGGGCTCTGGGGGCACCTTGCAGCACCCCGGTTCAAGTCCTGATTAGCTGAGTCTTCGGGGCGGCCTCCCCATTTTGAGTGTGGAGGAGTGCTGATAAAGTGGCTGCTGCTTTTAATGCTTGCAGCACTTGCTTGTTGAGAGCGTTTGCTCTGTCAGCTTGTCAGAGGAGTTTAACCTGGTTTGGGAGATTTGCTTCATTACCCTGCTCTGCTTTGTTGAGGCTGTGGGTAAAAGAGATGAGATGGAAAACTCATGTCAGTCCTAGAAAACCAGGAAATTTAAAAATCAAGTTTTGCCCATAAAGAAATTTGTGCTAATGTTTTTTAGCTCTATTAAAAGAATTATATTCCCGAACATAAACTTTCTAACACATTATTCGTAAAGCTGATTTTTAATACTTATGTAATATTCCAAGTGTATATTCTATAACTTACGTAATGCTAGCGTTGGTCATATAGTGTCCAAGGTTTATTTGCTATTTTAAGAGATGCTGCAGTGAACATAAGGCTTTTTCTATATTTAAAATGACTCCCTAAAACTGAATGCTACATTAAGAGCCATAAACATTTTAAGGTGCAAAAGGGAAAATGGTAAGGAAATTGTGAAAGGAATGTACCAGCAATAATTTACTAAACATTGAAGTCTGGGTAGGCTTTGGTCCCAAGAGCAGAGAGGAGTAATAAGAGCTTTGGCCTGTAGCTGTGGTGACTGTGACCTGCTAAGGGTGGGTCTGGGGACCCTTGCCTGTTTCCCGGAGTAATTGTCCCTTCAAGGAAACAGGAGAATTGCTCTTGGCCTGTCTCCCCAGCCCTGTTCTCTGAGCCGTTGGGTTTTCATTCTTGAGCACTCCTTGTCAGCACAGTGGTGCAGGTAGGGTCCACAGTCACATGGGTCCTGGAGAAAGCAGGATCAGGTCTCTTGCCCGACTCACCTTCTGTTGTTGCAGGACTTGGCTCCTTACCTGCCCAGTGTAACACCTGGCCTGAAAGCCTCTCTTCTGGACCCCGTGCCTGAGGTGAGTGGAACTTGAGGGGATAAGCTCATGCTGTGGCCCAGTCCTACAGAAATGGTTACCATCATCAGGTAGAGGGGAGACTTACATGGCTGCCCTGATTTGAGCCGCATCTTACCATCCCTGACAGGTGCGTACTGTGTCTGCCAAGGCTCTGGGGGCCATGGTGAAGGGCATGGGGGAGTCCTGTTTTGAGGACTTGCTGCCATGGCTGATGGAGACGCTGACCTATGAACAGAGTTCTGTGGATCGTTCTGGTGCTGCACAAGGTGAGGCCAGAGTGGCCCCAGAGGCCAGGCAGGGGATGCCTCCAGGGGCCCCCAGCTCCAGTGGGGTTCATTATGTCCTTACATTGCAGGGTTGGCTGAGGTCATGGCTGGCTTGGGAGTAGAGAAGTTGGAGAAGTTGATGCCAGAAATTGTGGCTACAGCCAGTAAAGTGGACATTGCACCTCATGTTCGAGATGGCTACATCATGATGTTCAACTACCTGCCCATCACCTTTGGGGACAAGTTCACTCCCTATGTGGGGCCCATCATCCCCTGTATCCTCAAAGTAGGTACCCATCATCATGCTGAGGCTAAAAAAAAAGAAAATGAGCGAGCAGGCTGTGGGTGCTTTCCTAGAGTTGCTAGGTCTGCCTGCAGCTGGGGCCTCTCATTGGTTCTTCAAGGAGCCCTATTTTCATTTGGTCTGAGTGCCCAGGACAAGGTGTCCCTGACTGACCCACCTTTTATGTGCCCAGGCTCTGGCAGATGAGAATGAGTTTGTGCGTGACACCGCCCTGCGTGCAGGCCAGCGGGTCATCTCCATGTACGCCGAGACGGCTATCGCGTTGCTGCTGCCCCAGCTGGAGCAAGGCCTCTTTGACGACCTCTGGAGAATTCGGTGAGAGCAGGAGATGGGTAGACCAATGGGCTGTTTGTACTTGGGAACTCTATTGAGAAATCGAAGGCAGTGTTTCCAGACCTTTCTGCCTTATCCAGACCCTTACTTTTCACCAAATGCAATGCCCTGTAGCAATCTGCTTCTGCTTCTCCTCTATGCAGTCCTCCCTCTATGCAGTCCTCCACTTTGTATCAAGATTTCAATTAAGATACCTAATCTGGAAATTCGGCTTGTTGGAATTTATTCTGACAAAATATTGGTCCAGTGACCAATGTTTGTCACAGTATTACCTAACATTTGAAAAAATTGGAAGTTGTTAGCACATTTATACAATATGCTTTATTCAGCCATTACAACGAGTGGTTGAAAGCTCTGAAAGAATATAGAAAACTCTGATGGAGTTTTGAAGGACAACAGAGGATGTGGCCTGGCCATATGGTGCAGGCCCAGTTCTCATGTTTGGGAATGTTTGTGTGTTTGTGAGTGGTCAAAAAGTGGGCACAAGGCTATCTTGAGCAGGCTAGGGCATTCGCCTGGGTGGTGCAAGACCCAGTGGTGGTTTATCCTCATCCTTTATGTTTTTCTCTATTTCTTTAATTCTGGTTTGAATATAATTTTACCAAAAAATTATTTATTTGAAAAGCAGGTGACACACAGGGATGCCTTCCATCTGCTGGTTCGCTCTCTCAATGCCAACAACAGCTGGGGCTAGACCAGAGCAAAGCCCCAATCCAGGATCCATCAGGGTGTCTCACTTGCAGGGCAGGAGCAGTACTGGGCATCATTGCTGTCTCCCTCTCACAGTAGCAGGAGGCTGGGTTGGAAGAGTACTGAGGATTCACACCAGGCATTCTGGTGTAGGACGCTGGGGTTACAGTAATCTGCTGTGCCCTGGACAGAGAAGTAGAGAAGGCAGAGTCAGAGGTGTCTTACATCCACTGGTTCATTCCCACAATGGCCACAATAGCCAGGGCTGGTCCACATTGAAGCCGGAAATCTAGAATTCTACTTGGATCATCTAGTCGGTGGCAGGAACCCAAGCACTTGGGCAGTTTTTTCTGCTACTTTCTCAGGCACATTAGCAGGAAGTTGGATCAGAGGTAGACAAACCAAGACTTGAAATTGGTGCTCTGACAGGAGAGGCTGACATCATAGTGGCAGTTTAATCTGTCTGCTATGCTGCAGTGCTTACTCTCTTTATATTACATTATAGTGAGTTACAGTAAGAGAGAGAGAGAGAGTGATTTTTCCATCCACTCGTTTGCTACTCAAATGGCTGCACAGGCTGAAGGCAGGAGCTAGGAGCTTCTTCTGGATCACGCACATGGCTGCAGGACCATGCACATAGATCAAGCACATGGATGGCCCACGCACTCGGACCATCGTTGGCTGATTTCTTTTCCCAGGCACATTAGCAGGGTGCTGGATTGAAAGTGAAACAGCCAGGTCTCTAGCCAGTGCCCGTATAGGATTCCTGCATTACAGGCGGTGGCTCTACCAGCTATGGCACAGTGCTGGCTTCAAAATATTTTTTCTCTAAACATTAAAAGCACTAAACCTAATTTAATTTGAGGAAAAAAAATGTTTATCCTTTTAAGATTTCCTGGTTTTTCTACTTCTGATGATATCATTGTAGTTACCTGCTTTCCCTCCCCATTTTTTGGCTTTCTAATACTTTCTTCCAATTTTTAGTGTGTAGCAATTTTAGTATATGCCTGTTTTTTCCATTATTTGAGTTCTATATGATCATTAGTACAACCAGTAAGTACAAATACTAGAAAATATGTGGAAAGACATGGAAATTGTTTGTAGTCATTTCCCATTCCAAGAGAAGCTCTGAGGCCCTCCAGGGCTGGGCTGTGCCCCCAGACCGCCTTGTGCAGCTGTGGATCTTGTTTTGGCTCCTCACAGGTTCAGTTCCGTTCAGCTCCTTGGGGATCTCCTGTTCCACATCTCGGGGGTCACTGGGAAGATGACAACAGAAACTGCCTCTGAGGATGATAACTTCGGGACCGCGCAATCCAACAAGGTGTGTGCCTGGGTTCAGTTGGAGTTCCTCCTGGGGCCTGTGCCCAGGAGCTTTGCCCACCGTGTGTTCTTTCCCTGACTGCAGGCTATCATCACTGCCCTGGGAGTGGATCGCCGGAACCGGGTGCTAGCAGGACTGTACATGGGCCGCTCCGACACCCAGCTGGTGGTGCGGCAGGCATCCCTGCACGTCTGGAAGATTGTCGTCTCCAATACCCCCCGCACTTTGCGAGAGATCCTGCCTACCCTCTTTGGGCTCCTTCTGGGTTTCCTGGCCAGCACTTGTGCAGATAAAAGAACGGTAAATTTCTTGGGCCTTATTCTGTCCCAGCAATTCCTGATGCCCCCTTTGAGAGTCTAGAAATCAGATATATGGGGCCTGGCAGAGGCCCTAGTATCTTTAAATAGGGAAGTGTTTAGTTATTTAGTTTGTTTGCAGATGATCTTTAAGCATCTAGTATGTGTTGAGCAGGAATTTTTGTTGTTGTTGTTTGTTTAAGATTTATTTTTATTGGAAAGGCAGATCAGATTGATGGAGAGAAGGAGAAGCAGAGAGAAAGATGCTGCATTTGCTGGTTCACTCCCCAAGTGGCCGCAATGGCTGGAACTTGGCCAATTTGAAGCCAGGAGCCTCTTCCTTGTCTCCCGCGTGGGTGCAGGTTGGACCATCCTCCACTGCTTTCCCTGGCCACAGGCAGGGAGATGCATGGGAAGTGGATTCCCTGGGACATGAATTGGTGTTCATGTGGAATCTGGACCAGCGCAAGGTTTAGATTTAGCTGTTGAGCCATTGTACCAGGTTCTGAGCAGGAGTCTTGCCCTGGGACTTAATGGAGAAGAAAGGCAGCCTCATTTGTGCTTGTTGTTTTAAAAGATTTATTGATTTTTATTGGAAAGGCAGAGTTAGAGAGAGGAGAGACAGAGAAGTTTTCCATGCACTGGTTCATTCTTTAAATGACCACAGTGGCTGGAGCTGGGCTGGTCTGAAGTCAGGAGCTTCTGGGTCTCCCACAAGGGTGCAGGTGCCCAAGGACCTGGGCCACTGCCTACTTTCTTTGCAGCCATAACAGAGAGCTAGATTAGAAGTGAAGCACCTGAGACATGAATCAGCACCCATATGGGATGCTAGCACTACAGGCAGAGGCATAGCCTGCCATGACATCACACCAACCCCTCAGTCAGGTGGCCATCCTCTGCTGCTTTTCCAGGCACATTAGCAGGGAGCTGTATCGGAAGAAGAGCAGCTGGGACTTGAACTGGTGCCCATGTGGTATGCCAGCACCCATATGTGATGCTGGTACCATAAGTGGCAGTCCCAACAGCTTCATTCCTTATCCCTGTAAGCTGTAACATGGTCAAGGAGATGGATATTATTTAGATATTAATGTTATGGATGCTAATCAGTTCAGCACTACAGATGGTCTGGCAGGGGTGTTAGGAATGTTTGAAGAGTAAGAACCACCCAGCTGTGGAGCTGGTTAGACATTTCAGACATTTCAGAGGAGATATTGGTTTAGATATAAGGCTGGGGTATGCAAAGGCCCTGTGGCAGGTGGGAGTATAGCATAGTGCAGGTGCTTAGAAAGGCCAGGGGGGCTGTTGTGAGGAAGCAGAGAGAAGCTTAGCCTGTGTGCGATAAGTCTTCTCTGCTGGTTGGGCAGGGATTGGGAGAAGGGACCCAGCCTGGTCTCATGATTACTTCTGCCCATCTTGGCCCGCTTCCAGTCCCCACCCCGGCAAGCATGTTGTGTATTTGGCTCTAAAGAAGGATTTCCATGATGCTTCAGAGAGCAGATGGATTTTTTCCTCAAAGTGTTTGTTCCACAGTCAGCTCCCTTAGGTAAGAACCTAGGACTAGGTTTCCAGAGAAAATGGTCCTTGGTTGCACAGCTCATGATGGGCTTTATGTTCATATGTGAGGGGACTTTAAAAGTCCATGGAAAATGAAAGTAAATGTTTGTGTTTATTTTATTGCTGACTTTTATTGTGCATGAAAATGTATAATGAAAAACTATAGATCTCAAAAACATTTTTGTACTAAGCTAAAACATTTTCAAATACATCTGTTCATGATTTGCTGAAGTGTCATCTCTTGCTTCAGATTGTGTAGAGATGAATTTTCTTTTTTTGAAGACTTATTCGTAATGGAAAGGTGGGTTTACAGAGAGGAAAGAGAGGAAAAGATCTTCCATCTGTTGGTTTCCTCTCCAAGTGGCTGTAACAGCCAGAGCTGACCTGACCTGAAGCTAGGAGCCAGGAGCTTCCTGTGGGTCTCCCATGTGGGTGTGGGGGTGCCCAAGAAAGACCATCCTCTTTCTCAGGCTGCAAGCAGAGAGCTGGATCAGAAATGGAGCAGGCTGTTGAGCCACTGCGCCGTCTCCAGAGATTTTTGTTTAAAAGATTTATTTATCCATTTATTTGCAAAGCAGAGCAACACAGGGAAAGGGGGAATAAAATGTTCAGTACACTGGTTCACTTCCCAGGTGGCTTCCGCAGCAGACTGCAGCCGACAGCTCCAACCTCCATCCACAGGGATGGCAGGGCCATCTTCTGTTGTTGTCTCAGGTGCCTCAACGGGGAACTGAATTGGGCACAGAGCATCCGGACGAGCTGGCGCTCGGGCATTTGGTGGCGCTCAGGTGCTGGGTGCCAGCATTGCCAGCAGTGCTGAAACACTCACCCCGTAGGAAATGAGTTTCTGTTGTGTTTTGTGAACCTTTGGAAGCAGTTCAAGGGTGGGAGCATTGGAGAAGTAAGTTAGTATTTTAGCTGATGCCAGAGAGGGTCCCTGGCCATCGTCGTGTCAGCATTGAGTGTGGCAGTTGATGTTGTGTTTGGTCTCTGCCGACAGATTGCAGCGAGGACGCTGGGTGATCTCGTGCGGAAGTTAGGGGAGAAGATCCTCCCCGAGATCATCCCCATCCTCGAGGAGGGCCTGAGGTCCCCGAAGAGTGACGAGAGGCAGGGCGTGTGCATCGGCCTGAGCGAGATCATGAAGTCCACCAGCCGCGACGCTGTGAGTATCTGCTCCCTGCTGGCGGAGGAACCCGGGTCCCCCCGACGCCGTCTGCCCTGCCCTGTGGGGACACTGTCGGCACTGTGCTGCTGGCTGTGCCACACGTGGCCTTCTATTTCCTTCTCAGCCTTCATTTCAGTTTTGTAGGAGCGAAACCATGTCTAGGCCTCCTTGAGGGATCTTTGGGAATGAGAGATTGCTTTGTTGCTCTTACTCCTCCCACGTGCTCCCGAGCAGCCCCTGCTTTGTTACTCTGTCAGTGCTGCTGAAATGTGTAGTGCCACCTTAGTGAACAGTGGGATGTGCACGTGTATGAGAGGTGGAGGATGGTAGGGAGCAGGAGGTGTGCACTCCCTCGAAGGAGTACAGTCAGAGATGAAGTACCGGTGGGTTGAAGTGTGTTATCTCTAGCAAGAGCTCTGTTTCCATAGTAGCATCATTCAGAGGCTTTGGAGTACTTCGCTTTCCAGGGTCTGACCTCATTTTAAGGCCATTGATCTCATAGCAGCCCTGGGTTGAGAATGCAGGTGCTCTCAAATCGGGTGAAGACAGCAGAGTAGTGTGTGCTGGCTAGAAGTAGAAGCAGGGAGCTATTCTGTAGCTGGGTGCACTTGGCCGACTTACCGGGTCCCGCGCCGCCTGTGGGAGCATGCATCTGAAGTGTGGCTTGTTGTGTTTGCTTTTGACATAGAATCAGAATTAATTCTGTTGCCCTAAAGATCCAATTTGTTACTATTTCTAGGCCTTGCCTACAAGGTACTCCCGGTTCAGTGGTGAGGCTGACCTATCACAGACATTCAAGTTCAGAGCGAGCTTTGCTGAGGTGGAATTGGTTACCAAGGCAACAGAGCCATCAGTGGTCTTTATTGACCTAAAGACTTCCTAAGGGAGAAAGTGTTTGCATTGAGACTTGAAGAAGGGCTTGGAGAAGAAGCAAAAGAACTGAAGGAGAGAGGGTGTCCAGTCAGGCCTGTCCTGCTGTGGGAAGGAGATTGACACGTGTTTTTAAATTAGTTTGGAAGGCAGAGTTACACAGAGTCTGCATGCATGCTCACACATGAGATCTTCTTTCTGATGGTTTAACTCCTCAAATGATCAATGACCTGGACTGGATTAGGCAGGAACTAGGAGCCTCATCTTCCACATGGGTGTGAGGTTTGAAAGAATTGGACCATCTTCCTTTGTTTTCCCAGGCCATTAACAGGGAGCTGGATTGGAAGTGGAGCAGCTGGGACAATGAACCTGTGTCCTTGTAGAATGCTGGCATTGCAGGTGGCATCCTAACTCACTAAGCCACAGCACCAGCCAAGTTGTTAATTACCAAATCATCAAGTCTCTGTGGAGGGCACATGGGTGCCTCACATCCCCTTCTCTGTTTCTGTGTCGGAATTTTCACTGTGAAGACTTGTGTGAGGAGACGGGGAGCCATGATGGCCTAGCTGGGTCAGATGCCCTTGCCTGCTTGCTCTGTTCCTTCCTGGCCTTTGCCATGTCTCACAGCATTGCTCTTGGGCTATCGTAGGTGCTGTATTTCTCAGAGTCCCTTGTGCCCACGGCCAGGAAGGCTTTGTGTGACCCGCTGGAGGAGGTCCGTGAGGCGGCTGCCAAGACCTTCGAGCAGCTGCACTCCACCATTGGCCACCAGGCTCTGGAGGACATCCTCCCGTTTTTACTGAAGCAGCTGGTGAGTGGATCTGCCACACACCTACCAGCTGGGCTTCTAGTGTCTGTGTAGAAGCAAAATGCGGGGGCCTGGGCCGGGGGTTATTCTGCCAAGGCAGTTGGAATGTAGGGAGTGGGCACAGTAAGATCAAAATTGGCTTTGTGCTTTTCCTCTGCTGGTAAGTAAACGTGGGAGCAGGGAGAGGCAGGAGGAGAAGGAAGGTGGTGGTGGCTGGCGCAGACAGCAGAGGAGGGAATAGGAGTAAGCTCCTCGGGCTTGTCCCCGCTGCCACCCTGCAGGACGACGACAAGGTGTCGGAATTTGCCCTGGACGGTCTGAAGCAAGTTATGGCCATTAAGAGCCGCGTGGTGCTGCCCTACCTCGTGCCCAAGGTAAATGACAGCAGTTGGCAAATTCTGTCTAGTTCCAGAACCAGTTGTCACTCCTGGGCCCCTGTAATGATCTGTAGGTGTGGGGTTTAGGGTGGGTGGTGGCACAGGCCTCAGCCTCCTGTTCCCGGAGTGCAGGGCCTGGTGTGGCGCAGGTGCACGGTGTTCATCACGTTGACGTTGTCCATCATTCTGCCAGCTGACAACTCCACCTGTCAACACGCGGGTGTTGGCTTTCCTTTCATCCGTGGCAGGCGACGCTCTGACCCGCCATCTTGGAGTGATCCTCCCGGCAGTTATGTTGGCCCTGAAGGAGAAGCTTGGGACTCCCGATGAGCAACAGGTATGGGGAGGGGACCTGTCATGGTCATTCCCATCACTTTCTAATAGCCATCCTGCCCTGTCCTGCTCAGCTTACATGTCCTCTGTGCTTTCTAGGAGATGGCCAATTGTCAGGCTGTGATCCTCTCGGTGGACGACGACACTGGGCACCGCATCATCATCGAGGATCTGCTGGAAGCCACTCGTAGCCCTGAAGTGGGCATGAGGCAGGCTGCTGCCATCATCCTCAACATGTACTGTTCCCGCTCCAAGGCTGACTACACCAGCCACCTGCGGAGCCTGGTCTCAGGCCTGATCCGCCTCTTCAATGATTCCAGCCCCGTAGTTCTCGAGGAGAGCTGGGATGCCCTGAATGCCATCACAAAGGTGAGGGGACCCCTTGACCTTGCATCCAGTGAGAGTCCCCGCGTACCCACTGCCGTTCGCACTGCCTGCCGCCCCTTCCCCTCCCTTGGCTGTATTATTGTGCAGCAGTCTTGAGAGGGCTGCACGTCCCGTCTGCTTGGATTCCCACAGAAGCTAGACGCTGGCAACCAGCTGGCACTGATCGAAGAGCTGCACAAAGAAATCCGCTTCGTAGGGAATGAGAGCAAAGGGGAGCACGTGCCAGGATTCTGCCTTCCCAAGAAGGTAAGCTAGGGTGTTTTGGTGCCTGTGGTTGTGAACGTGTGACCTTCCTGCTCCTTATCCCTGGACCCCAGGTCTGTAGTGAGCATCGAGGCAGTCGCCATGTGGCTGTTAAAGGTATTCCCAGGCAGCACGCTTCCTTATAGTGGCTCGATGGGGTCAGGGCTTAGGTCCCCCATGGTGTAAGCTATGGAGGTCATCTCTGATACCTGTGGTGAGAGGGATCTTTTGGGGCCCTTTCCTCTTTGATACTGACATTGTCAAGTCCTGGCACTATTGCAGCTCGTCTCTCAGGCTCTCATCCTGAGACTTGGCTCTGAGGACTCTCTCCGTTGAAGTAGAGCGGGGAGCTGGCTTTCAGGAGTGCCTTGCCTTCCGGGGAGGCTGGGCAGCCCCTGGGCCTGGAGCTTTCTGTCTTTGACGCTCTGTTTGGTTCTCGGTCAGGGAGTAACCTCCATCCTACCAGTGTTGCGGGAAGGAGTACTGACCGGCAGCCCTGAGCAGAAGGAGGAAGCTGCCAAAGCCCTGGGCCTGGTGATCCGCCTTACCTCAGCCGATGCCCTGCGGCCCTCCGTGGTCAGCATCACTGGTCCTCTCATCCGCATCCTGGGCGACCGCTTCAGCTGGAACGTGAAGGCAGCCTTGCTGGAGACCCTCAGCCTCCTGTTGGGCAAGGTGAGCCACTCACAGAATTTATCAGTTGGTCTGTTTGCATCTGAGAGCAGGGCTGTATGTATGAGGCTAACATGATGTGGCAGCGGGCAGAGGTTCTGTGGGATAGTGGAGGACGTTCTGGCCTTTCTGAACTTCCACTGGCAGGATAGAGAAAGTAAATCTGTAAAAAACAAAACAAAAATCCCCCCCAAAACAATTTTTGCACAAGTATTTAGTAGTAAAGGCAAGTGTAAAATGTATAGCTTTTTTCTTCTGGTAATAGGAGTGGAGAGCAGAATCCCAGCAGCAAAATGGAATTTTGAATGTCATCAGCTTCAATTTTGTGGAAAATTTAACCTTTTTATCTTTTCCCTTCAAATTGAATGTCATTTTCCGCTTGCATCCTGCACAGTTTTTTTCCTGAGGTGTTGTTCTAACTGCAGACACTGATGGATGGAGCCCCCATGTCACCCCTTTGGCAGGTGGTTCTCACCTCAGATTAACCAACTTCCTCTTCCAGCAGGTCTCCCAGCAGCCTGCACTTCTCATTCCAGTACTCCTGACCTTCATTGGTACTGGACCTCCAGGAGCCACTGCCATGCTCTCATTTAACAGTAGATGGATGTGGGTTTGTAAGTAGGAGGGCACACAAGCGTACAGGAAGGACTTTATCTGTGGCTCATGTACAGCATCAGTTCTCAGTAGGACTGCCTGCTGTTACACGTCTGTGCATTCTTTGTCTTGGCATTAGAGTTACTTCAGCATCCCTGATGGCTGTCTGCCTGCCCTGTTCTTTAATGGGTTTGGAGAAAGCTTTTTCATAAAAATTTTAGATTTATGTTCCTTTTCACTTGAAAGGCGGAGGGACAGAGGAAGACATGGGGAGGTCTTCCAGCCACTGGTTCACGTCCTAGATGTCTTCAGCAGCTGGCGCTGGGCCAGGCCAAAGCCAGGAGCCCAGAACTTGGTCCGCGTCTCCCACCTGGGTAGAAAGGGGGGGTCAAGCACTTGAACCATCACTTGCTGCTTCTCATTGTGCACGTTAATAGGCTGCTGGATCACAGGCTGAGCTGAGACTCACTCGTTTCAGAAACATAGGCATCTCAAGTGGTGTCTGGGCTGCTGTACCCCAGACCTGTCCTAAAAAGAGAGTTTAAAATAATTTGTCCAGGAGATGGGTTTCTTCTAAGCCAGGCTGCTGTGTAACCAAGGTTGCAGAGGATCATTCCTTGGACAGGGCTGCCCTCTGCCCTCTTTCCCTTACTCTGCCTCCTCTGCATGCCTTGGCGAAGGCCAAGAAGAGATGAGGTGGCTTAGGGAGACCTGCCTGTGCTGGACTCTGCTGTGTTAGAGAGCCTCTCTTCCTGGCCTCGGTGGGAGTTTGGGGAGCTGCCCCGGGTCCTCGGACTCCAGGACCCCAAAGCCACAGCTCCATCCACCCCAGCGTGGTTCCACACATAGATTTCTTCCACAGGTGGGCATTGCCCTGAAGCCTTTCCTGCCCCAGCTGCAGACCACGTTCACCAAGGCTCTGCAGGACACCAACCGAGGGGTGCGCCTCAAGGCCGCTGATGCACTGGGGAAGCTCATTTCCATCCATGTCAAGGTGGATCCCCTCTTCACAGAGCTGCTCAATGGGATCCGTGTCATGGAAGACCCAGGCATCAGGTGAGGTGCTGGAGTGGGAGAGAGGACCATGGAGCCTCGATGGCCAGGCGGTGGCTCCGGCTATGGGAAGGAAAGCTGGGGCTGACTCGGTCCCTTGGTTCTTTAGGGACACCATGCTGCAGGCCCTGAGATTTGTCATTCAGGGAGCAGGCGGCAAAGTGGATGCTGCCATCCGGAAAAGCATCGTCTCACTCCTGCTGAGCATGCTGGGACATGATGAGGTACAGTGGCAGATGGAAGGCTGGATGGGGGTTTTCCTGGGTTCCCCTCTCCCTTTGATTGGCGTCTCTGCTTTGTTACAAGAACTTGATGTGGCTGCCAGTCATTCCTGAGATTTGTATCACTTCACAGTTTACTAAACATTTTTCCATATGGTCAGGGAGACAGGGCAGCCGCTCTCGACAGATCAGTAAGGTTTGTGGGGTCTCAGATAGTGTCACCAGTTCGTTCTCTGATCTTCATTCACTGTCTCTCTGCACCCATGTTCTCTTTGTAAAAGGGGTTCATTGTTTGCATCAGGAAAAATTTGCACAGCTGGAGGGCCTCGGCCAGAGGTGAATGAGACCTTGGCTACGGACTTCAAAAAACTCAGCATGTGGGGAAATACAGAGTCTCTAATGTGCATAAGTATGGGAGGACCCTAGGAAAGGGCAAGATGTGTCGGGCCACACACTAGCAGCAGGAGAGTCAAACCCAGAATCTGGGCCATGGGATTCCATGTATTTTGCCCAGTTTTGTTAGTTCTGCTTACTCTGGAAGCATTTGTTAAGTGCTCTTTGGCTGTCCAGCACCATGATGGGCCCAGGAGGAGAGGGAATGTATGATCATGAGTTTTCTGTTTCAGCTTTCACAAACCAGGCCTCTTCTGTGAAGTCCTGACTTTGTGGGGCTAATCTTGGGAGCTGGGACCTCTGAGCTCATGTGGTCTCACACTGCTGCGTGTGCACACGCTTGGGGCTGCGCAGGGTTGCGTGCAGCTGCTGCAACCGGCAGTGCTGATCTGGTGCTGGGTCCCACTTCCAGTAGGTGCACACGTGAGTGCCTACCCTCACTTGGTCAGATTGTCGGCTTTTATAGGGTCATGCACAGTGCAGGCACAAGTTAGTATTGAAGCAGATTTGCATCTTAGCACAGCCAAATTTAAATAGATCCCCTCTGCAGAGAGCGGGAGTCAGAGTCAGCTTCAGCCTTGCTTGGTGCCTGGGCTTCTCCCTGGTACTCAGCCTCACCTCTGGCAGTCCGTCCTTGCACCCTCAGAAATACACTTGGACTGAGGGGGCCGTTCAGGCTGCCAGTGCAGTGTCAGCTTCTCCAGGGCTCCTTGAGTTTTGATCTGCTTATTTGGAGGGACACGTCAGGTGGGTGCCTGTTCATAGTGTGGTGCATGATGTAAAATCGCCTCCCGGTGTGCATTGCTGAGCCGACCCCAGAGGAGTGGCTGGAAGCCATTGTGCACCGGGAGAGATGCAAATCAGTAGGTGTCAGTAGTGCACCAACACAGTAGAGAGCGAGCCTGGGGTATTCTGGGTGCAGATAACAACTCAGGACTTACAGAGAAGAGGGTGTGGCCAGGGGTGGGCGGTCCCCCTCTCTTGCTGCTGATAGAAGCTGAGCTAACAGGTAGGAAGCATTTGGACTGCCCAAGAAGAAAGGGGCCGTGCAAATGTACTTGTTCCTGCCGTTGCGATGATGGCCACCATGTGCACACACACTAGGGTTTTCTGTCACTGGGGGAGGTGCTGCATGCGTCACTGTTAACTCTGCACCAAGGGGCGCTTTCGTCTGCACTGAACCCCAGTGCTCAAGCAGGGCCTGCCTTTGTAGCTTCCGGTTGACTGGTTTTCCTATCCTGCCTCCCGCTCTGTCCCTGCTACCATCTTTGCTCTCTCTGGGTCCTGAGGACCTGGTGGTGTTGCCTGCACCACTCACTCCCCTCACTGCCCTCTCTGCCTTTTAAGGACAACACTCGGATCTCCTCAGCCGGGTGCCTTGGCGAGCTGTGTGCCTTTTTGACAGAAGAGGAACTTAGCAATGTTCTTCAGCAGTGCTTGCTGGGTAGGTCTCATTCAGAGTCTGGGGAGTCCCCCTTCAGGGACGTGGGCCTCTCAGCTCTGTGTGGGTTGGGGGGGGAGTCCATGGACACTACATCTTTTCTTCTCAGAGGACCTGTCAGCAGCTAGACTGTCCTTCCTTGGGAAGCCTGCTGCTGGAGTTGCCTTGAGTGGCCCTGTAGTCCTGAGTCTCCCTGTCCAGAGGACGCAGCTGCATACGGGGCCTTGTGGAAGAGTCCTCTCCTTACTGTGCTGCGGGGAGGCTGTGTTCAGACTCCATACATGGGTCCCGAGGCAGGGTGGATTGTGTGGTGTGGGGGCACGCTGAAACATGAGGATTTACCCAGTTGTCTTAACGCCCAGCGGATGTGTCTGGCATTGACTGGATGGTTCGGCATGGCCGGAGCCTGGCACTCTCCGTGGCTGTGAACGTGGCTCCCGGCAGACTCTGTGCAGGCAGATACGGCAATGAAGTGCAGGAGATGATCCTCAGCAGTGCCATGGCGGACAGGGTGAGGCTTTGGGGAAGCCAGGGCCCTCACTCCTCTGCTCATCAAAATCCCACAGCCTTGACCTTGCTGACTTAGCCGTGGAGGGGAACTGTGGACTGGGTGCTGGGAGGCCTGGCTTCTTACTTTACCTTGCTTGGAAACTGCTGTACCTTGGACCAGCTCCTGGTCCCAGTGAGCCCTGACTTTATCATCTCGGCCAGGAACACTTTGGGTTGAGGCTGTAGTGGTCCCTTCTAGTCAGGCCTCTGGTCCCTCTTCCTTGGACCATTTCGTGATCTGACTTCTGGGACCTCCGATCTAAATGAGAGGGCGTCTGTGGTAAGAGATGAGATGGGTGGGTAAGGGACCTTGGAGTTTGCTAGGGAATGGGTTTGACCTGGCTCTGCTGCTCTGTGGAGGGAGTGGGATGCTATCCCATCTGGCTCTTTGTCTCCCCACCCCCAGATCCCCATTGCAGTGAGCGGGGTCCGGGGCATGGGCTTCCTGATGAGGTACCACGTTGAGACTGGAGGAGGACAGTTGCCGGCCAGACTCTCCAGTCTGTTCATTAAGGTGAGTGGGGCGGGGACTGTGCAGCCCCCAGGCCTGGCTCCTGGGAAGACCCAGGGCCAGAGAACACTGCAGCTGGGCCCCCGGGCCAGGTAGGCCGCCTGTGTGTGGGTTGCCTCTGGGCCTTCTCTGCACTCTTAGGAACACAGCACAAAGTATATATTTTTCTTTCCCAACTTTTGATCAGATTTCTCACATAGAGATAAAGCTAGTTAAGAATCACTGTTTTTAAAGGTTTAGTTTTATTTTATTTGACAGGCAGAGTTAGGAGGAGAAACAGAATTTTCCATCCACTGGTTTACTTCCCAAATGGCCACCACATCCAGAGCTGGGCTAATCTGAAGCACGAGCCCAGAGCTTCTTCTAGGTCTCCCACCTGGGTGCAGGGTCCAAACATCTGGGCCACCTTCTGTTTTACCAGGTACATTAGCAGGACTAGATCAGAATTGGAGCTGTCTTGGGATGCCAGTGCTGTGGTGGAGGCTTAGCTGGCTGTGCCACAATGCTGGCCCCTGTGCATCCTATTTTGTAAAGTCAAGGATAGAAATGGGCTCAAAGCTTACGAAGTCTCTTCATCCTGTTTCTCTTCTTTAGCTGGAAGGCAGTTAGTAGTGTGGTTATTGTGGTGCACACCAGGCAATCTGATGGGGGCTCTCACACTTCTTAGATATGTACTCAGGTCAGAATCAGATTCTTGCTTTTCATGAGATGGAGCTATGCCTGAGGCTCTGCCTTTGTAATCAGTCCTGCGTGCTGTTTCCGAGGTATGGACTTTAGTTACCAGAGTGGCCACCTCTACCTGGGAGCCTCTGAGAATTCCCGGGGTTTACTCATGGTGGGTCAGTGTGTGGCAGCATGAGCTGCCCTTACTTGTGTGTGCCATGTATAGTTGCTGAGTATTTGCTGAGCATGTTCAGGACTCACCCAGGAAGGTGCTGAGGTGCAAAGGCAGGCACCTGACATGAAGCCCACAAGGGAGGGCCCTGGTTGAGGTGGGGTTGTCAGGGGAGACTGCAAGGGAGAGCAGGAACTGACCAAGTCATGATCAGGGGCAAGCATATCACAGGCAAGAGGAACTGAGGCTGAGCTGAGGCAGACCGGGGCATGGCCTGTTGGAGGAAGTGTATCGCATGAGAATGACAGTAGCAGGGGTGAGCTAGGGGACACAGACAGGTGATGGGGCACACCCTGTCACACCTCCACGGGAAGGTGGGGGCTCTGTCAGGGATGGGAATCAGAGTGGATGTGTGCTCTGGTCCCCCTTACAGTGTCTGCAGAACCCATCCAGTGACATCAGGCTGGTGGCTGAGAAGATGATCTGGTGGGCAAACAGGGACCCACTGCCTGCCCTGGACCCCCAGACCATCAAGCCCATCCTAAAGGCCCTTCTTGACAACACCAAGGACAAGAACACGGTCGTGAGGGCCTACAGCGACCAGGCGATTGTCAATCTCCTCAAGATGCGGCAAGGCGAAGAGGTCTTTCAGGTGGGTGCCGGATGGTACCGGACAGGAGAGCCTCCCCAGGCTGTCCTTGTGCTGGGCACTCCTGAAGCCCCGTCCTCACCTCGGCTCACGGCTTAGCTTCCGGAAGCAGGTTGAAATGCAGGCGCCTGGCCTAGGAAATAGGATTCCTGTGCTTTTTAGATTTCTTTAGGCAGCAGAACCCTTTCTTGAGATTAAAATGTCTCAGGGCCTCAAAGTGCAGCACAGAGCCCAGTGAGGCCCTCGCGCTGTTCCCTCAGGCCCGGCCTGCAGCCGCCGGAGCACCGTCACTTTAACTGCCTCAGCTCAGGATGAGTGATTCTGAGGTTAACACATTATCCATCCTTCTTCTTCTTCCTTTTTTTTTTCTTTTAAAAGATTTATTCATTTATTTATTTATATTGGAGAGTCAGATATTCAGAGAGGAAGATCTTCCATCCATTGATCCACTCTCCAAGTGGTTGCAACAGCCAGAACTGTGTCAATCCAAAGCCAGGAGCCTGGAGCCTCTTCCAGGTCTCCCATGCAGTTGCAGGGTCTCAAAGCTTTCAGCCATACTCAACTGCTTTCTTAGGGCACAAGCAGGGAACTGGATGGAAAGCGGGGATACCGGGATTAGAACTGGTACCCATATGGGATCTTGCTGTGTGCAAGGCGAGGACTTTTAACTTCTAGGCTACTGCGCCAGGCCCCTTCTTCTCAAGAGTTATTTATTTGGAAGAGTCACAGGAGGAAGGGATGAATTTTCATCCACTGGTTTACCCCTCAGATGGCCAGAGCTGGGCTGGTTTGAAGCCAGGAGCTTCTATTGGTGCTGCAGATCTTGGGCCATCCTCTGCTGCTTTCCCAGGCACATTAGCAGGGAGCTGGATCAGAAGTGAAGCAGCTAAGACTCAAAATAACAACCAAAGGGGTTCCCAGTGCCACTGACAGTGGCTTTACTTGCTATATCACAGTGCTGACCCCAACATTTATTTGACACTCGGAGAGCTCCTGTCTGCTGGTTTGCTCCCCAGAAGCCTGGAACTCAATGCAGGCTTCCCTCTTAGCAGGGACCTGACTTTGAGGCTTCACCTGCTGCCTCCCGGCTTGTGCTCCTGCAGGAAGCCAGGGTCAGGAGCAGAGCTGAGACTCCCATCCCAGCACTGCCCGAGGGGATGCGGTATCCAAGCAGTGGCTTTACCACTGGGCCAAGGACTGCCCTTCATCTCGGTCTTGATTTGATTGGAGAATCTAAAGCCATCTTTCCTGACTGTGTTTCCTCATGCCCACCCGCCCTGCAGGCCGTCTCCAAGATCCTGGATGTGGCCAGTTTGGAAGTTCTGAGTGAATGTAATCGGAGGTCCCTGAAGAAGCTGGCCAGCCAGGCCGACCCCACGGAGCAAGTGGATGACACCATTCTGACATGATAAGCCTGGGCTGCGCCGCAGTGCTTCAGCTCCGCATCCTTGTTCAATGTTTTCATTTTTGAAAATAACGCTTGTTCCGATGGGGAGCTTGGGGCTGGTGTTCCCAGGAAGTGTCTATCAGCAGACCACAGCCAAAGCCTTAAATCAAACCCACACACAACTGCAAATTGCCTCCTCCATCTTGCCCCTTTCTCTGAGAAGAAGGAGAAGCGCGTGCTGACGCCTCAGGTGACATCCCGGGGCTGACCACCAGTCCCGCACTGAGGAGTCTGGAACCTCGGGGGGACCTCGGAGTGCCTCTTCTCCTGTCTCTGAGCCCTGGTCAAGGGCCAGCGCTACCCACCTTCCACTAGATCCTCCAGTGGGGCACCGAACTGCAGAGGACTGCCCAGTGTGGCGTGTTTTGGCTTGCTGTTTCAATCCTGGGCAGCTTGACCGGGGCTGACCCCATCCGTGGAAACAGTGCTCACACATTTCCGGCAGCTCATGAGTCTGGGGAGGGATCGGAGCTTACCTGCTGGCCGCTTGAAGGAGGAGTGTTTAATAAAGGCTTTGATTTAATCTTGACACAAGCAGAAAGCATACATACGTATATTTTTTAAGTCTTCAGTTACTTAACATGGAGCTTCCTGCATCAGGAGTAAGGATGCAACTGTTCCTGTGAGTGTTGGCAGCATTCTGACCTCTGGGCATCCCCCCTGCTTTTGGCAGCCTTATCAGACGCTGCAGATGGCTGTCCTGGGGCTGGGTCAGGAGTGGCATGCAGCCAGGCCCGTGTTCTTACCCGGGTGGAGGAGCGTTTCCTGGCCCCTGTCCTGACTTGGAACGGTAGGGAGCGTCTAGAAGTCAAGTAGGAAACAGAAACGCTCTCCTGCATGGAGTAAGAACGAGCCCGTTCCTGTAGCCGAAGGACTTGGAAGAGGAAACCCGAATCGCAGTCCAGCATCGGCTTGCTTTATGAATGACTTCCTTCCTCCTGATTCTTAGAAGGCTCGTGACACATGCGTCCTGTCTGATCTGGAGCACCAACCCCCACCCCCAAACCAGGCCTGGTGACGCAAGTTTTTCTGAGCTGTCTCCCCCAGCCACAATAGGGAACAAAACCTCTATCCGGATGACTGGCCGGAGCTGTGAAAGGAGGAGAGGATTAAAAAAAAGGGCAATAGCAAACTCATTGTAGAGAAGGTATGAAGCGCCGTACCAAAAAAAGCAGAGCCTTGCTTGTTAATAATGCAGCAGAGGGAGAAAGGAAGCTTGTGACTTAGCACTTGGCCACGAGTCAGACAAGGTGACTTCTAAGACACTGGGATGAAATCTGTGATTCCTGTGTCACAGGACTTCCTCTCCTCGCAGCCGGCCTGGTCTCGGCAGGCTCTGGGTAACTGTAGAATCCCAGGACCTTGAAGGGTCAGCTGAGCAGATCCCCACAGCCCACAGTCAGTGCTGCAGCTTTTGGTAGCCATGGTAACTGTTCTCTGCTTCTGGGACTTAGCTGGTCACCAGTGTGCCGCTCCCAGCTGCTCAGGGCCTGTGTCCAGCAAGCTGTGTGCTGCATCTGTGTCGACCTCTATGGTAAGCCATGGTTGAGGTACAGGAAGGCTTCCTGTTGGGAGGGGGGCGTGGGCTGAGCACCTGCCGAGCTCCTGGGTTTTTTTTCTTCCTGGGGTTTTCTGCAGTATTTTCCTCCAGGGGTAGCTTAGATTGCCCACCTTTGGCTTTCAGAGCCTCCGTGTACAGTTGGGCAGAGCTGCCCTTGGAGGTAGAAGAAACTGAACAAAATCCAAAGGAAAAACACCAGCCTCTGGTCCCAGAAGCTGGAGGAGGCTGAGATCTCCGTGTTCAGAATCGAAGGGTGGAGGTTGATTCACAGACGGAGATGACTCAAAGGCTTCCAGAGCGGGCTAGAGTGCACTCCAAGACTGAAAGAAGGGTGTGAGTTCCCAGGAGGGAGCTGCGAAGGGCTGGCACAGTCAAGACCACAGCGCCACAGCAGTCCTGCAAATGGCAGCCCAGCCTCGATACCCTGGAGGAGATGCAGCCTGGCACAGAGCAGTGAAAGCCGTGTGTCCTACTGGCGGATGGAGCTCGTCAGTTCAGCTCTGGGGCATCTCATCCTCCTTGGAATGAGGACATTGGACCAGCCCTCAGCATCCAGTGTGGGCCGTGTATTCCTCTAGTATCAGTGGGAATTACAGCAGATGACACCTGACTGCATCTCACATAGTCCTCACCATGATGCTGGGAAGTGTGGGTCTTACCGTTTTCCAGAGAGGAAATGCACAGAGGTCACTCCCCCCGCAGTCTCACTTCTGTGCTAGCTGTTGAGGCATCATCATTTCATGTTCTTAGAGCTGTCCCTCCAGACCTTTCCTGACAATCACAGGAAATGAAAATCCACATACAACATGAGATAAGGAGATAAGCAGCCTGGGGTTCCACCCCCCCCAAAACTCCCACTTAAAGCCCTTCCTAGTGGCTTGGCTGACTGAGGGGACAGGATAAGACTGGGAGAGCCTTCAGAGAAGATGGCTGGATAGTCCTTGAAGACTCTGTAATTCTTTGGAGGAGACATGCCATGGCTCTGTCTGTGGGTGGAAGACTGCCCTGAGCTACTCCAGAGGAAATGGTCGCCACAGTATTCCAAATCCTGTGCTGAATGGAATGTGGAAACACTGACACCCAGGTGGATTTTTCAATGTGGGATGGTGTAATGAACCAAAGCTACAGGTAAATTCCCTCGTGCAGACTTGAGGTGCTGCAGGCCTTCAGAGGGGCCAGCCGCTGCAGGCTTGATCTCTTTGGATAAAGCGATTTGGAAACATTGTTTCACTGGGTGGAATTTGAAACAAGATTGGCAGTTAGAGCTGCTGTGGGTTTCTTGAGGAATGAGTTTATTTGGATGTAGATAAAATTTTTTCAAATCTTTCCATCTGAGAGTAATAAGGATGGAAGAGGACGCCAGTCCTTTGGTGGAGTGTGGTGTGGTGTGGTGGACCCTCATGGAAGCTTAGATTGAACCTTAACCTGTCACTGTCATGCCCGTGTGACCTGAGCCTACTCCTCCCTGTGTGTGTAGAGACCATGCATTCTCCCAGGGTGGTCATGTCCATCGAATGTGCCTGCTGTGTGGCCTCAGCACCCAGGGGCCCTCAGGTGGATGGTGGAAAACAAAGGGCGCCAGGGAAAGGAGGCGCCCGTTACTGCCTGATGCCTATGCAGTGCAGAGCCCATAGCTGTACACACTGCTGGACCAGACTTGGCAGCATTAGCCTCTTGAGCCCATCATTCTAAACTACTAACAGAAAAGCTCTGTCTGAAGGAACTGTCTGCTAGGATGCTGAGGACTGCATCCCACAGTTCAGCTTGTGCAGTGATTAGCAGCAGGCAGAAGGGCGCCTCTGAGGAGCAAAGCTGAGGCACAGAGGAGCATTTCCAAGGCCATGGAGCCAGTTGGCAGAACTGAAAAGGAACCCTTTATTTCTTGATTTTTCTGGTCACCCAGGCTTAGGGGCCATTCTATATATATACAAAAATTAATTAGGAAAGTGGACCTGACAGAGGCAACTAGGCAGGTAGTGGGTACATGGTGCTGTGGAGCAACTGGGTTTCCAGTTCCTTCCATGGGTGGTTCTGTTTGAACTGTGCCTCTCTCTGGTTGCTCTCCCAGTCACCATCCTGTGAATGGGTGACGTGCTGGTCCCCTCGTTCAGCCAAGCCACTAGGAAGGGCCCTTAAGTGGGGTGGGGGACGGGAGACCCCAGGCTGCTTATCTCCTTACCGTGTTGTGTGTGGATTTTCATTTCCTGTGATGTCAGGAAAAGTCTGGAGGGGCAGCTCTACGAGTGTGAAAAGCCTTAGGTTCCTTTTATGACCAGGACACAACAGTGTGTGTTGTGTGAGATGTCCTTCCCCACCACGCCCAGTTACCAGGGTTGAGCTAGGCTGACGTCAGGAGCCAGGAACTCCATTGTGTCTCTTGAAGGTGAAAAGGACCCAAGTGTTTGAGCCTCCCAGGGTGTGCATTAGCTGGCAGCTGAAATGGACAGTTGGGCTGGGGCTTAAACCCAGGCACTGCGTCACGGGCTGTGAGTGTCCTTAGGTGATCAGTGGCTTACTTGCTGTGCCCAACACCTGTCCCTATCAGATCCTTCCTGCCTTTTAGATCTACACACACAGAGAGCAATTGGGAAGATGGGAGGTGGGGAGCCAATATTTGACTGTTTGGTTTGGTTTCTCAAACATACTTTTAGGAATTATTGACTTTACCCAGAGGGTCTTGCTTATGTGTATTTTATCTATTATAAATTTATCATCCTTTAAAATTGAGAGACAGAATTCTGCTGGCCTCGTCCCTAAATTCCTGTTATAGCTGGGGATGGGCCAGGCCAAAGTCAAAAGCCTGGAACTCCATGTGGTCTCCATGATATGGACCCAGGTACTGGGGCCATCATCTGGAGCTTCCCAGGGTCTGCCTCAGCGGGAAGCTGCACGCAGGAGCCAGGACCTGTGCCAAGCATTCTAAAAGTATTAAGACTCTGAGGTCCAAAACCAGTAACTATGTCAATGAGGCGAGCAACACTGTCTCATGCTTAATATCTGGCGCCTCATGTCTGCTCTGTGTTCAGTCTGTCACATGTGGGCTTTGGAAAATGCACCACTTCTGAGTGAATAATGAGCTAGAAAGGCAAGCAACACCTTCATGTCATGGAGATGTCTTAATCTACTGATTCTTTGGAACAGAGTCTCCTGGCCATACTCAGAAAACCACTTATCTGATCCCAAAGATGAGGAAGTCGATAGAATGGTTTGAAGGTCATGGGAAAGGCACATCCACCTTGAGGTAGACCCCATATTTGGCAGATAACCTCAGGGGAGAGAAAAAAAAAAAAAAACCTTGAGAGAGAGGGGTCAACTCCATTTCCTGTGACATCCTTTCCAGGCAATTCCAAATTCCCAGTGTGGCTTCAACAGACACTAAGTGCCTTCCAGGGTGTCGGTCCCCAAGGGATGCCGAGATGGATGAGGTAATGGGGTCCCCACTGATCCCTGGGAGCCAGGAGGGGACAGGGAAGGGCCTGCTGACAACCTCTGGGTCGGTGGCCGGTTTGCAAGTACAGGACAAAGGACCAGCTTGCACTTCTACCAGACACACAGGATGGAATTTTCCTCGTTTTTACCTGTCTTGGCTCAGCTTGCTGCGTGGGGCCCCCATCTCCTCCTTGTTCTCTCTCAGGCTTCTCTCTTCAGCCTGCGTTCTCTCCCAGAACGCAAGCTCCTGGAGATCAGGGATTCTGAAGTTTTAGTTAACCACTGGAACCCCTCTCTCAGAGCAGCACCTGGCACAGGAGTGGCTTGTCTGCCCCCACCATACTGTGAGTTCTGGGACATGGCTGACACCCAGCAAATGTGCAAATATTTACCAAATCACTGAATGAAGCTGGTCACCAGGTAAATTCTGTGGTTTTCTTTTTAAAAGCAGCTTTGGTTGGTGTTGTTTGCATACCATCTTTGGCATCAGGCCTTCCTTGCTGTTCACACCTGCTCTCCTGACATCATCTCACCAGTCGTGTAACTGCCCTTGGCTCCAAGCCTTGCTGTTGTCTCCCCACCACCATGGCTGCAGAAGCTCACAGCCCCGCACCAGCTGCTCGGGTCAGTGGCACAAAGTTCCAATCACAGTACTCATACTTTGGTCATGAAAATTCACGTGCATGGGTGTGTCTTTGTACAGAAAAGTGGGAATTAGAAACTTATTTTTGTTTCAATAAATTTTTGAAATTCATGTTGTTTTTGGTAATTTACATATCCACAAGCTTCTTTAAAAAAAAATTTTTTTTTTGGTTGTTGGAAAGGCAGATGTACAGGAAAGAGACAGATATATATAAGCGGATCCAAAGCCAGGTGCAGGGCCCACCTTGCTGAGAGGAGGCAGGTCTTTGCTGTTGGCTCTCAAGGCCAGGCACTCAGGAGACGCCTGGGCAGCTGAGGCTGAGCCTGGACACTTGAGCTCAGAGCCCAGCGTGCCTGCGCCTGCAGAGGTAGTGTGCTCCCCTCCAGTTCCCACCTGCAAGGAGCTGGATCAGAGGTGGAGCATCTGCGACATGAATCGGCAACCCTAAGGGATGCTGGTGCTCCAAGGTGGAGGATTAACTAGTTGAACCATGGTGCTGGCCACTGATCTCCCCCTCCAAAATATGCTTAAATTTTAATTTCATTTTCCATATTTTTTGGAGAGGAGTACCTTTGTATCTTCTGAGGGAGACATTGTAACAAAGCTCCTGTTAGAACTATAAGTAAATGAGCAACAATGTTTCCAGAGACAAATGTGCTCAGATTTGGGATTCCAGGCACACAGCATGGCCTCCAGGGAGCTCCCCCTCCAACGTGAAACGGATGACTCTCACAGCTGTGACAGAGGCTGTCTAAACACACCTGACATTCATACTGCTGCCATCTTCAAATCTATCCCACGAAACCTTTTCCCCAGCCCTGCTAACTGGGCGGGAGCTTTCTTCCCGTGAGGTCTTACACAGCTTATCTGACAGCTCTTTGGTCTACTGTATTAATCGTGAGCTTTTAACTCTCCATGAGCATGTCTTAACTCTGCCAGGGCTGTGAACTCCTGGAGGGGAAAAGGCTCCAGTTTTGCTTCCCCTGCCATCTGCAGCCCAAAACAAAAGAACCAGCCCTCATCAAGCAGAGAATCAGTGCAGGAACCAGCGCCTGTTGCTGGTGCATCGAGGGAGAATGACAAGTCTTTGACTTTATAATGGTCCGTTTTACTTTATTTCCCAAACTTATCCTGCAGTGTGGGTGTCAGGAGGCTGCCTTGGAAATATGTGCTGGTGTCTGCAATAGGAAATGGCTTCAAGTACCCATGAGTCGGCGCGAAGTGACCCTGATGGACAGCATGAGTTCCCACGGAACTCAGAGATGCACACAGCTGCAGCTTTTTTGTGAGGAACCCTGCACGATGCTTTTAAGGCATGCAGCCACAGCTCCAGGGTGGCATTCAAGCCAGAGGGTATGGAGGTGCTCCCCTGTGTCTGCACTGAGGCGTCTCTCCCCTCCCCCTGCCCTCTATTTCCTAAAACTTGCCTGGGCCAAAGAAGTTGGCACTTTTCCAGCTTTTTGACCAGCAGCTCCCCTGAGCTGCTGCCCTCCCCCAGCCAGTACCCTCCCTCCCACATTTCAAGCGCCCATCCCCGTCCACTGGACTTCAGCTCCTTGGAGAAATTAACTCAGGAGCCCCACACATGCGTGTCCTTCAAGGATGCTGCTTGCTGCAACATTGTTGATGAGCAACAAGATCATGGCAAACAGCAGGGCGGTTTAATTGGATGAACAGCACCATGCACCTGTTAAACGATACATCGTAGCAAGTCAAGGAGAAAGGGGGCTCGGTGGAGGGTGGCCCCGGGAAGCTGCAGCATCCTGCGTGGGGGCGTCTGGGTTCAAGCCCTGGCTCTACTCCCGGTTTCAGCTTCCTACTAACGCATTGTGACCGGCTCAAAAACTTGGGGCCCAGCCCCAGTCACTGCGGACATCTGGGAGACAACAGTGGCTAGGAGAGCTCTCCTTGCCTGTCCTTTAAATAAGTTACGGTAAGTACAAGCGTCCAACAGGTGATCTATCGGAAAGCAGTAGGGCTATGGGACACAGGTGGTAAAGGACTGGAGCGAGAAGGGCAGCGGGAGCGCCCTGCACGCCGATGGTCAAGGCGGGAGCGACTGGGGTAGCCCGGGGCCGCCGAGGCGCCGAGCAGCCTCATTCCTCCCGAACGCACCGCTCCGCGGCGGGCACCCGGGAGGTGGGAGATGGGAGGCGGTCGCCCTCGGTGTCGCGAGGGGACCCCGGACGGGGCCGGGACGCGGCTCGGACTCCCCCCACCCACCGCCCTGGTCCGTCCATCCACCTGCTCGGGGGCCCGGCAGCTCGGCGTGCGCCCCGCCCCGGGAGCCGCCCGCCCGTCCGCTCCGCCGCGCGCACAGGTGTTGGAGATGAAGGCAGCGCGGACGTCCAGCATCCTCCGCTTCTTGCAAGGAGGGCTCCACGGAGGCTCCTCTCCGCCAGCAACCCCCGCCTCAGCAGCCGGCCGCGTCCGCCCGAGAACACACGAGGAACGCGGGTTCGCGCCCGAGAGCCGGGCGGGGGGCGGGGGAGAAAAAAAGAAAAAAAAAAAAACCACTTCCACTAGAGCGCCTGCGCGCTGCGCGTGCGCGTGCGCGCGGCGAGGGCGCGGCTGGCCGGGACTGCGGCTGCGCAGAGCCGTCCTCAGGAGCCGCGCCTGCGCAGTGTCGGGGCGGGGCGGGAAGGAGCGAGGCGGTGGCACCGGCGGCGGCCGCTGAGGAGGAGGGGGAGGAGGGAGCGCGGAGGGAGGTGTTTCTGTCAGTTCCGGCTGTTTGTTCGGGAAGTGGATCCGCCGCTGCCGGAGCAGCCCGGAGGGAGCTGCGGTTTGCGAGGCCCGTAGTGACCCCGCCCGCCCGCGCGCGCCGCCCCCGCCCGCCATGGCCCGGGACTACGACCACCTCTTCAAGCTGCTCATCATCGGCGACAGCGGTGAGGGCCGCGGCGGCCGGAGGCGGTGCGGGGCCCGGCCGGGCGCGCGGGCCGCGGGGAGGGCGGGGCGGGGCCGCCGCGGGGTCCCCCGGGGGGCGCGCCGAGGAGGGGGCGCGCCGAGGAGGGGCGGCCGGGCGGCGCGGGGTGGGGAGCCCGGGCCGCGCCCGCCGCCGCCGCCTCACGTGTGACCTTGGTCCAGTCGCGCGAGCTCTTGGGAGTTGGAGGGACCCAGGTTCGAGTCCTGGGGACGGGTGGGCAGGGGGACGGCGGGGCGGGGCGGGGTGGGGGAGGTCCGGCCGCTGCCCTCGGTGACCTTGGGGCCAGCGGCTTTTCCCCTCGCAGAGCCCCCAGCGGAGCTTCTCTGAGAAATGGGGGACCGGGCCTGGCTGGGTGGTGCGAGTGTCGGACGAGATAGAGAGGGAGAAGTGCCCCGCGCGCGCGTGGGACCTCGTGTGGGGCGAAGGGGAAGGCGCCCGCGGGCAGCCCGCCGTGGCTGGCCCGAGCTCGGCTGGCCTGGGGCGTTGGTGAAGACCCCTGCCCCCGCCCCCGCCCCCGGTAAGATGGGGGGTGTCGCCGGGCCGGCGCGCGGGGCTGGCCGCAGGTGGGGATGATTGTGGATGAATGAGGCAGGGCCGCGGCGGGGCGTTCCCGGCCAAGGGTCCCTTCGGTGCCTGGCTTAGCGGCGTCCTCTGTAGACTGGAACGCTAGGAGACCCTGCCTCTTGGGCCCACTGTGTGTGTTCAGTGAAGTGAGCCTGAGGGCCTGGGTGGGTGACCTCTGACCTGCTCCGGCCACTCACTCCCAGCCCGCCACCGCGGCCGCGCCATCTCCAGTGTCTGTAGAAGTGCAGCGGCAGCCAGCGAGGGCTGCCGGCAGATTTTGTGAATGAATGAATGAATGGAAGAATGAGTATCCGGTCTCCTTAGACAAAACTGGTCCTTGGGGAAGGACCTTAGAGGTGTTTGGAGGTGGGACAGGCTAGCAGGTTGGTGGGGAGACCAGGAGGTCGGGGAGGGGGGCCGGGCCCTAGAAGGGTTCCGGGAGTGCAGCCGACGGTGGCTGTGGGCCTTGTGGGTGCACTGAGGTGGGGAAGGGGTCACGTGACAGGAGGCTATGGCCCGGCCGGTGGTGGATCCCTTGGGTGGTTAAGGAAGGACAGGGGCCCAGTCAGATGGGCTGTGGAACCCAGCGCGTCCAAGCCAGGCCAGGGCAGGGGCGGTTTTGGTTTTCCTTGTGAAGCTGGGGCAGGGTAGGGTTGGTAATTGGCAGCAGGTGGAGGATGACTGAGGTTTCCATGGTTGATAGAGTGGAGAAGCAGGGAGGTTAGGGACTAGCAGAGAGCTGGCCGAGTGACTGTGGCCCGGGAGGAGTGAGGAGGAGGACTGATGTGTGGACCCGACCTAGCAAGCTGTGCCGTCTGCCTCCTGGAGGTGGCAGGTTCCCTGCGTGCCACAGGAGTCTTTATCCCTCCGTAAGATGTCTCCTGCCTGTGCTTTGGCATCCCAAATTGGAAAGCTGAATTCACCTAGCAGACACGGCCTCTTGGCCCTCCTCTCCGAGCAGGGTGGTTAGGACCCACTGTCTCCCCGGGCCTTTTGATGGAGTTACTGATTTCTTAGGAGTCAGGTGTGGGCCAGGATTTGTGGGGTCGGGCTCCTGGTACAGGCTGGGCCGGCAGGGCCCATCTTGCTGAGAGGAGACTGGTCTTTGCTGTTGGCTCTTAAGGCCAGGCACCCTGGAGACGCCTGGGCAGCTGAGGCTGAGCCTGGGCACTTGAGCTCAGAGCCCAGCGTGCCTGCGCCTGGAGAGGTAGTGCGCTCCCCTCCAGTTCCCACCTGCTGTCCGAGTGGAGGTGACAGTGTATTGGTGGCATCTAAACTAATGTGTGTGAGAGCAGCTGGTGGCACGCCAGCGCACGGGGGCACTCAGTGAACACTGCTTTCGTTGTGATTCTCTGTGCTTCTCTCCACTTGGGCACAGCAAGTGTACCTCCACAAGGTGTCCCTCAGCTGAGGGTCTGTTTCTTTCTGGGGCTCAGGCTGTGCCTCCCTGGGCTGGCCACACGTGGTCTTGGAACCTGGAGCCTGAAGTGGCGGGCAGATCTCGCTGAGGCCCTGACAGTGAGTATAGATGTGCCTTGCTTGAGATTTTGTTTTTAAAGATTTATTCTTACTGCAAAGTCAGACTTACAGAGAGAAGGAGAGACAGAGAAAGTTCTCTCTGCTGGTTCACTCCCCAAGTGGCTGCAACGGCCAAAGCTGAGCCAATCCAAAGCCAAGAGCCAGAGCTTTTTCTGGGTGTCTTCTGTGGGTGCAGGGTCCCAAGGCTTTGAGCCGTCCTTGACTGCTTTCCCAGGCCACAGCAGGGAGCTGGATGGGAAGCCGGGCCGCCAGGATATGAACTGGTGCCCGTTTGAAAGGTGAGGGCTTTAACCATTAGGCTACTGCTCCGGACCGTTGGCTGAGGTTTTATAGGAAGGAGGTGCTGGAGCAGGATTCGTGCTGGGAGCACTTGGCTGCAGGAGCCGGGACCTTGCACAGCTGGGGCTGAAGCCTTGAGGAGCGGGCAGGAGGAGTGTGCTGATGACTGAGTGGTGTCTCCCGGAGGCCAGGCAGCATCAAGGCCACCAAGGCTCGTGCTCCCAGCACGGACACTGGATTTGTGAAAAGTAGACTGGTGCACTGTGCTTCCTCCTCGGGCTAAATGATTGGGGCATTTAGGAGCTGGTGTTGCTTGTGGAGGGTGCTGGTGGCATGATCTGTTCCTCTTGGAGGGAGAGCAATGTAGACATTTATGCATTTGAAATGTAGAAAGAGCGAGAGAGTGAGGGCGCTTGAGAGAAATATCTTCAGCTGATGGTTGAGTCAGCAGACAGGGCTGGGCTGGGGTGAAGCTAGGAGCCTGGAACTCCTTTTGGGTCTCTCACGTGGATGGCAGGGACTCAGCACTTGGGCCATCTGCTGCTGCCTTTCCAGGTGTTAGCAGGGAGCTGGATTGGAAGTGGAGCAGCTGGGACTTGATCCTGTATGCTGCTCACTCTGGGTTGACCAGCTGCTCCGCATCCCCAGCCTAGTGGTTCACAGCTGCGCTGCCGAGATGCCTGGCCCTAAACAGGGGGATATGCCCTGTTACTGCATGGAGCACCTCCCCCCGTGTGTCTTAGATGTACGGAATTTAGGTAAACCTTTGTTTTTAAAAAGGATTCTGTGCCCTCCACCAGCACTTTAGTTTGTATCAGGGCTGCCTTAGTCATGTTGGCATGGGTGTGAGAGAGTGGATCTGTGCAGTCTTAACGTGTCCTCTGTTGCCGTCAAGCAGTGCCTTGTTGGCCCCTACCAAGTGCTGGACTCAGCTCGCAGCACTGTGAGCGCAGGGTGAGTGAGGCAGCGTCTCGGAGGAACTGACAGGTCCAATGCGGGCTTTTAGCTGAGTAAGCAGGACCCAGGAGGCTCTGGGAGGAAACAGGAGCTGTCAGGGCCAGCCGGGTGTTGGCTTGGGGCAGGCCACGGTGGAGGACCCAGCCCAGGACTTGGGCCTCCTCGGGCTTAGCAGGAAGCCTCATGGCGGAGCAATGAGGAAGTGGCCCAGAGCAGAAGTGCTGCCGGCCGCCGCTGCACCTGCCTGCAGCCTGCCTCTGCAGAGGTGGGACCAGGTGGAGGTCGTGACTCGGGTTCTTGCAGGCAGCCCCTGACAGCCAGCTCACTCGGAGGGGTTCCCAAGGGGATCCTGTGAGAGGATTCCCTGGGGAGGGGGCCGCCTCTGTGACAGTGGTGCTTGCTTGGGGGTGGGGTGGAGACCTCAAGAATCGGACAGAAGCTTTGAGCTGAACGTGCAGGTTGTCATGTGCCCCTCCCCCCAGTAGCTTTGAGGGCCTTTGTACTGAGTCTGGGGGTGAGATGTTAAAGGCTCTGGGGGGCCCTTTTCCCTGTCCCTAAACAAGTACAACCCCTGCATTCAGGTGTCGCCCCACACTTCCGGTAGAGGCACTTAGGTCAGCTGCTCAGAGCCTCTGCTTTCTCACTTTCTCCTCTCCTCCACCCCCACAACACCAGCCCCCTGTTTTTTAAAAATTAGTTTATTTGAAAGGCAGAGTTGTAGGATGAGAGAAAAAGAGAGATCTTTCATTTGCTGGTTCACTCCCCAAATAGCTGCAACAGCTAGGGTTGGCCCAAGCTGAAGCCAGGAGCCTAGAAATTCATTGAGTCTTCCACATGGACGCAGTGTCCCAAGCACTTGTGCCATCCTTCCGCTGCTTTCCGAGGTACATTAACAGGGAGCTGATTGGAAATGGAGCAGCTGGGGTCCGGCGCGGTGGCCTAGCAGCTAAAGTCCTTGCCTTGGACGTGCCGGGATCCCATATGGGCGCCGGTTCTAATCCCGGCAGCTCCTGCTTCCCATCCAGCTCCCTGCTTGTGGCCTGGGAAAGCAGTCGAGGACGGCCCAAAGCCTTGGGACTCTGCACGCTTGTGGGAGATAGGAAAGAAGCTCCTAGCTCCTGGCTTCAGATTGGCTCAACTCTGGTCGTTGTGATCACTTGGGGAGTGAAGCATCAGATCTTCCTGTCTCTCCTCCTCTCTGAATATCTGACTTTGCAATTTAAAAAGATCTTTTTTTAAAAAATGAAAACTTTGGGAGTGAGCATTTAGCTTAGTGAATAAGATGCAGCTTGGGCCTGGTGTGATACCCTGGTGGCTTAAGTCCTCGCCTTGCATGCACTGGGATCCAGATGGACGCCAGTTCGTATCCCGGTGGCTGTGGCTTTGCTTCCCATCCAGCTCCCTGCCTGTGGCCTGGGAAAGCAGTCAAGAACAGCCCAGAGCCTTAGGACCCTGCACCTGCATGGGAGGCCCAGAAGAAGCTCTGGCTCCTGGCTTTGGATTGGTTCAGCTTTGGCCGTTGCGGTCACCTGGGGAGTGAACCAGCAGATGGAAGATCTTCCTCTGTCTCTCCTTTCTGTATATCTGACTTTGCAATTAAAAAAAAAAAATGCAGCATGGGATGCTGGCAGCCCCCATCAGAGAGCCTAGGTTTGATTCTGGCTCCAGACCCTGGGCGGCAGCAGGTGGTTGGAGGCAGTCAAGTGGGCACCTGTGTGGGAGACGGGACGTGAGCTCCTGGCTCCCGCTCCAGCCTGGCCGGTCGAGGGCATGCAGCCCCTTCAGGGCCTGAGGCAGCAGGTGGGAGTTCTGTCATCTCAACAGCACAGAACCTGCACCGCATGAAAGATGCAGTTGGCGTTACAGGCAGAGCTGGACGTGTGCTAATTCCTCCCTGTGTTCAGTTGACCCGGCTGGCCTCGGGGATGGCTGGGGTCAGGATGGAGCCGGAGGACAGGGCAAGCTGCGCTGTGTGGAAGAGAAGGGGACAGGAGTCTTGTGCGGGTTCCGCTCATGGGGCTGTGCTGGTCTGCCTGTGGGCTGCTGGCTGGGAGGCCGACGCTCACCCTGCTGGCCCGGAGAGCTGGCCTGGCTGTGGGGCCTCACTTGCTTCCCTGGCAGTAGTACTGTGGTGCTTTTTTTTCCCTCTAAGATTCATTGATTTATTTTTATTGGAAAGTCAGACTTACAGAGAGAAGGAGAGACAGAGAAAGAGCTTCAGTGTGCTGGTTAACTCTTCAAGTGGCTGCAGTGGCCACAGCTGAGCCGCTCTGAAGCCAGAGCCTCTTCTGGGTCTCCCATGCGGGTGCAGGGTCCCAAGGCTTTGGTCCATCCTCGACTGCTTTCCCAGGCCACAAGCAGCAGGGATCTGGATGGGAAGTGGGGCCACTGTGATTAGAACTGGTGCCCATATGGGATCCTGATGCATACAAAGCAGGGACTTAAGCCACTAGGCTACTGTGCTGGGCCCATCTGCAGTGATCTTCCTCATTTCAGATTCACGGAGTGAAGCTCCATAGTGATGGGCAGTTTTCTGGGGATTGTATTTGGACAAACTTGGGGTGTTGATGTTGTCCCCTTTGGTTGGCCTTCCTCGTGCTTGTTTCAGCACAAGGCACACGTGCAAGTTCCTGTCTCGGCGCTTGACCTGCAGGATGGTGAAGGGCAAGGCTTGGGGCGCTGGGGGGATGTTGCTGGTCGGTGACGAGGAAGGTCAAAAGTGGCCTGAGAAGGATGGGCTTATCTCCCCGGACTCCTGGAGTGAAAAGTTCTTGGGGGAGAGGCTCCACCGCCCCCTCACCTTGGCACCCTCTCTCTTGCAGGTGTGGGCAAGAGCAGTTTGCTGTTGCGTTTTGCGGACAACACGTTCTCAGGTGAGTCTTCCCCCTGGGGTGCTGCTGGGCTGCCGCCCCTGCCACCGGAGCACCCATGCCTCTGGCTGAGGTGGGACATTTGCTCATTCTGGTTGCCAGAGGAGGGACAGTGGTGGTGGCGGAATGCTTAGGTCTGACTTGTTCAGAAAGACCCTGGCCTGGCCATTATTTTCCACTCAGGTCTTCCCCAGCCCAACAGTAAAAAGCGAAGCTGCCAGGTAGTTTGTGGCTGCGTCTGAATCCAGGAGAGGGGTCAGAGCTGTCCTGCGCTGCAGCCTGGGCTTAGTGCGGCTCCCACCTGGGTACAGCTGCTGCTCCTTCTCTTTTTCAGTTGTGTGTGTGTGTGTGTGTGTGTGTGTGTGTGTATGTATGCTGTGTATATTATGTATTTTTTTCTTTTTAGAGATTATTTATTTGAAAGAGGGAGAGGAAGAAAGAGAAGGAGAGATCTTCCATTTGCTGGTTCACTCCCCCAGATGGCTGCGATAGCTGTGACTGGGTCAGGCTGAAGCCAGGAGCCTGGGACTCCATCTGGGTCTCCTGTGTGGGCGCAGGGGCCCAAGCACTCGGGTCAGCCTCTGCTGCCTTCCCAGGTGCATTGCCAGGGAGCTGCCTCAGATGTGGAGCGGCTGGGACTTGAACTTCAGTGCAGGCATTGAAGGTGATGGCTGACCCTGCTTCATAACATGGACCCTGTGCTGTACCTAGCTCACTGGAGTGCTGTGGATTGTGCGTGGTTCCTAGTTGCTGTTTTGTTATTGTTTGATGTATTTTTATTGGAGACGCAGATTTACAGAGAGGAGAGAGAGAAAAAGATTATCCACTGGGTCACTCCCCAAAAAGCCAAAGTAGTTGGAGCTGAGCCTGGAGCTTCTTGCGGGTCTCCCACGCGGGTGCAGGGGGGCCGTCCCTGACAGCTTTCCCAGGCCACAGGCGGGGAGCTGGGATTGAGAAGTGGGGCTACCTATGCTTACAGGGGGAGGATTAGCCTACTGAGCCGGTGTGCTTGGTCCAAGTTGCTGCTGTTTAACTGACGTGGTGTTACCTGGGATGTGTTGCTGGTGTGGCCCTGTGCCAGTCTTTGTAGAAGCAGGGTGACTGAGTCACACAGACTGTGTGCATCTAGCATCGTCTCAGGTGCTACGGGCTTGTCTTGGAGACATGGTCAGAGTGTTCCCCGGGACTCCGATCAGCGCCGGGTTTCAGAGGCTGTCCACGTGTTGGCTGAGCTGACAGGCGGAAGGCACTGTCTTGTCTCAGTTTGTATTTCTCACTCATTGGTGTGGTTGAACGTGGCCTTGCATGTTGAACATGGATTGCTTATTGGTCGTCAGCCGCTTGGGGTCTGCCAGCCCCTAAGGGCTGGGCTCTGTTGCCCTCTGGGTCCCTTGGTGGGCTCAGGCCAGCTGCCCTGGGGAAGCACTGGCAGCGCTGCTGCCGCTGCCGCTGCCAGGGGTGCTGGACGGAGCTGACCCCTCCGGACCTTGGGCTGTGGGAATCGTAATGGTCCTTCTGGCCTGGGTGCTTGGGAAGCTGCCTCGAGGGTGCTGGTCGCAGTGCTGGGATGCGTCATCTCTGTCGGTGTCAGCTGTGGCTGTTGTCTTGTTGAAGGCTGATAATCAGTTATGTTGAAACGTCCCCCTATGCTTTGTCCGATCAGCTTTCCTTACTTGGGACTTCCTCACTGTCTTTCTCTGCATTTCTGCTACTGGAATCTTACTCATTGTTGGTTGAGTAGAGGCTTCCACACCCCCTGCCCAGCCTCCACCAGAGACCTAAATTCATCTCCCAAAATGCTTGGGGAAAACGGAGTTAGAACATGGTGTGTACTCTCCCTGATTTTTTTGTTTTAATCATTTATTTGAAAGGCTGAGTTAAAGAAAAGGAAAATCTTTGATTGGCTGTTTTACTCAACCAATGGTCCCATTGGTCAGAACTTGGCCAGTCCAAAGCCAGGAGCTTCTGGGTCTCCACATGCATCTAAGGGCTCAAGGTAATGTGCAGGGAGCTGCATCAGAAGCGGAGCAGCTGGGACTTGAACTAGTGCCCAATTGGGATGCTGGCACTCTGAGGCTTGATGTGCCCCTCCTCCTGGTCTCTCCCCTGAGCTGGCCTTGCAGAGGAGCCTCTCAGCTGGACACCTTGGGGTCGTGCTCTGCCTTCCGCCCACTAGGAGCGCTTCCGCTCTCCCAGTTGCTCCAGCCCCAAGAACCTCCAGGTTTGCCCAGTATCCCGGGGGACAGAAGCATCCCCGGTTGAACACCCTGGTCTTCTGTTTCCAGCGTCCTTCCAGCTTTGTTCCTCACACTGCTGCTTGGCTGGCGTTGCTTGCTGCTCCCTGTCCCTGCTGGCATCACTCAGGACTAGAGGAGCACCGTGTGCTGGCTTGTTCTCCAGATGTGCCTTGGCCTCTGCTGCTGTCCCTGTGGCTCCTCCCCCAGCTGATCTCTCTCTCCGTCCTCACCTGTTCTAAATGTGACTTCCTCTCAGAAGGCTGCCATGGTCTGCACTTCAGCTTCTGCTTTGATCCTACCTGTGCCCTGCGCCAGTCACATCTCTGAATGTTCTGTCTCCTGTGTTACTATCAGCTCCCACTGAGGGACAGCTGTGCTCAGCGTTCAGGCCCTCTTAAGCCTGCCCGCCACACTGGCCACTCGCTCTGCAGGCCAGCTCCCCCAGGTGGCTGAGAGCTGCTGCTGGTGCGGCTCAGGGCCATGGGCTCTGAAACCCTCGCCTGCCCACCCCACTCAGGACAAAGTCCCAGTTCCTGCAGATGTCCCAGAGGTCCAGAGATGTGGCCCAGGCCCCTCCACCTGGCCCCCCTGCGGTCTGGATGTCCTGGGAAGCAACTCCTGCTGTGTGTGCTGGTGTCTCCATGGCCTGGGGCGTTCAGGCTGCAGGTGTGCTGGGAGGTAGTGCGACCCGGAAGGAAAACCTAGAGTGTGTCATGTCAGCTGCTGTGCCACTGACCCTTTGCCCCAGTGAATCCCCTTTCTGGTCCCTTTGTAGTGTTTGCTAATCTCTGAAATGTTTTGCTGTATCCCATGTGTTGCCTTTGCTCCAGGGTGGCTCTGTCCACTCTAGCTCCAGCCCAGCATCTTCTTCATCCAGGGCTGTGTCCTGGGAACCTAGGATCAGTGAGGCAGAGTCGGAGAGCCCATGGCTCTGCCCCGTGTGCTGGGGCCTCGGGCCCGGGCCCGGGCACTGTGCTGGGCTCTGCTGATGTGTGTGCATGTGCAGGCAGCTACATCACCACGATTGGGGTGGACTTCAAGATCCGCACAGTGGAGATCAACGGGGAGAAGGTGAAGCTGCAGATCTGGGACACGGCCGGCCAGGAGCGCTTCCGCACCATCACGTCCACGTAAGTCGGCCACATCAGCTCCCACCTGAACCCCTGCCACGGCCACGGGTGCAGTCGTGACCTGGTCGTGTGCCCGGTTGTGGTGGAAACGGCACTAGGTGTGTCCTGAGGCTGGCGGGACGTGAACTCACTTGTGGCCCAGTGCGGGGTGCTTGTACCTTTCTTTCTGAAGATGTGAGGAGGCAGGGACTAGCGGTTTGTGCTACTGGGGGCGGGCGGGACAGTGCTGTGCAGCCTGCCTCGGGCACTTCCTGTCCCTGAGATGGCGACAGACAGTGTGGGCCTTGCAGTGGTGCAGTGTCCTGCCCCAGTGAATACTGGCCTGGCACCACTTAGCTCTTGGCAGGTGTTGCGCTGACACCTGGGACAGGCTGTGCAGGTTCCTGTCACCCACCCTCCTTGCAGGGGGCTCTCTTTTTTTTAATTAAAAAAGTTTTTTTTAATTTATTTATTTTTTGGAAAGTCAGATATACAGAGAGGAGAGACAGAGAGGAAGATCTTCCGTCCGATGATTCACTCCCCAAGTGAGCGCAACGGCCGATGCTATGCCGATCCGAAGCCAGGATCCAGGAGCTTCCTCCAGGTCTCCCACGCGGGTGCAGAGTCCCAAGGCTTTGGGCCGTCCTCGACTGCTTTCCCAGGCCACAAGCAGGGAGCTGGATTGGGAAGTGAAGCTGCCAGGATTAGAACCGGCGCCCATATGGGATCCCTGTGTGTGCAAGGCGAAGACTTTAGCTGCTAAGCCACACCACCGGGCCCCAGGGGGCTCTTCTTAAGGTTTGTTTATTTTACTTCAGAGGGAGAGACAGAGACACAGAGACAAGAGAAAGCTTCCATCGGCTAGACCACTTCCCAAATGGCTGCAACAGCCAGAACTGGGTTGGTCTAAAACTGGAGAGCCAGAGACTACTTCTGGATGTCCCATGTGGGTTTCCGCTGCTTTCCCTGGCCGTAAGCAGGGAGCTGGATCTGAAGTGGGGCAGCTGGGACTTGAACTAGCATCTGTCTGGGATGTCAGTGCCACAGGTAGAGGATTAACGTGTTATATTACTATGTTGGTCCCAACACGTGGCTGTCTCTTGGCAGGCCAGGGAAGCTGTTATGGGGCCCTTCATCCATCTTCCCAAAGGTGTTTGGGAAGCCAGCCCCCTGGCCTGTGGCCTGCTTTTGCTCAAGCCCGTGTGGGGCTTTCTGCACATGGGAGGGGAGGACCAAGCTTGGGCTCCAAGCAGTGTGCCGAGGGGTCTGGGTTACCTGTCTGGGATGGGGGCCGGGAAGGTGCAGGGGTTGAAGGCACAGTTTCCAATTCAGCTTTCCGTTGTGTGTCCCTAGGCAAGCTGCCTAACCTCTGTGCTTTGGTGTCCTAGGGCTCCTCCTTAGGGCTGGCCTGGACGGGCAGCTCTGTTTCCGGGTCCTGTGCTGTGCCCACCCCGCCTGCTCAGAAGAGGGTATGGCTGGGGGCTCGGGAGCCTGGGCCCCACGCTGCAGTGGCAGAATGACACTACTGTCCCTGGAGCTTGCTTCTCTGGGAGTGGGAAGAGGAGTAAATGCCCTTGTCAGAGACCTCTTCCTCCTCACCATGGCTGCCCACTCAGGGTGAGGGGCAAAGCCCCCGTGGCAGCTGAGAGCACAAGGCTGCTGGCTGGGCCGAGGGCTGGGTCAGCCCTGGGCCGTGCTGGCAGGAGCGTGTCTATCCCTGCCATGTCCCGCGCTGGGCTGTGACCCCTCAACGCCTAGAGCCCATGGACTTGCTGGGGGGCTCTGTGCTACCCTGTCCTGGCAGTGGCCCAAGAGGCCCGTGGGCCGGGGTCAGGCTGCTTGGGATGGAGTGACTGAGCTTCGGGAGTCTGCAGCAGCTGGGCCAGCGCGGACCTGGACCTCTGGGAGCAGGCTGGCCAGCAGTGTGGGCACTGACCTGCTCACTGTGGGCTGGGACTGTCACCAAGGGCTGCACCTACTTGGTTTCACCGACTCCTGATAAGGAACCTGGGATTGTTTGCGTTTTATAGACATGAGCACAGGTCCAGAGAGGGCAAAGTGACACAGCTGGGGTCAGGCAGGCACGGGACTGAGTCCTTCAGGGGCCAAAGCTCAGGCCTGGACCCAGGGCATGGCCCTGCTCCCTGCCGCCTCCTGCCTTAGCACGGGGCAGCCAGCCTCTGCCGGGCTTTCCTGCTGGGTGTAGACGCTGCCTAGGGCGGGGCAGCAGAAGCCCTGCTTGGCTGCCATGAAGGCAGCGCCTGTTGGCAGGGCGGGGCTGGCAGAAGCTGGGCCAGCTCCCCATTTTATTCAGGCCACTCCACTGCCTGAGACAAGATGTGTTTTTGCAGGGTGGCCCCGTGTGTGTGGAGTGCCAGGGTTGAGGCCCTGGCCGCCGACCGTGGGAGGGTTCGGTGCCTGGGGCGTGTCCCTGGTGGCCAGGGCTATCGATGACCTTTGCTGATTGGGACATCCTTGAGCCTGTCTAGCCGGCGGCACCTGTCACCTTGCGCGTGCTGCTCTCTGCTGACGTTTGTCGATCCTGAGTGGAGTGCAGGGCCAAATGATGAGGAGAGGGAGCCGCTGGGCCTCGAGTCCAACTTGTCACACCCCTCTCAGCCTCCTGAAAACAGCCGTCCCGCAGGCCCTGGGCCACGGCCTCAGTGAGGGAGTCTGCCCAGCACGGAGCCTGACTCGGACCAAGTGCCAATGAGTGGCAGTGCGGATGGAACGGCTGCTTTCCCATCCAGCGCTCCCAGCCCCTGGCCGTGTCCCTAGATGCCGAGGGGTGACCAGAGGCAGCGGCGGCAGGCGTGTCCCTCTCCCACTGTGTCCGCCCTGTTCCTCACACCTCCCACCTACTGCAGTCCTGAGGCCCAGAGCTAGGGAAGCTGGCGGGCCTTCCCAAAGCCGAGGACTGCAGGAGTGCGGGCCCGGGTCTGGAGCCTGGCAGGTGGGCGGGGGGGGGGAAGAGGAGGGACCCGGAGCACAGTGAGGCTCTCTGTGCCTCATCCAGGGCAGGGGCACCAAGGGCGACAGCAGCACCCCATGTGGATTGCTCACATCTTCCTCCCAAACGCCCCAGGAGCTGAGGGAGAACCCGTTTCATTGTTGAGGGAATGGAGGCGGGCAGGTGAAGGCAGTGACCCTGCGGAGAGGAGCGAGCAGTACCCACAGCCCGGGGCTGCTCACCTGGGGCTGCCGAGGGCAGGCAGAGGCCACCTGTGCCCCGTGGTGTGCCTCCCTGGCATCCTGAGGGACTGCACCAGGCAGTGCCATGGTGTGGCAGGTACGTGACTTGTGCCCCCTCCCACGCCCAGGGCATCCTGGGGTCTGTGCAGCTGGACAGTGGCGTGCCTGGAGGTACCCAACTGCCCCATAGACTGTGCCAGGGTACAGGGCTGCCAGCCCTATCAAGGCCCGCGGCAGAAGGGGCAAGGTGGCTGTGTGGCCATGAAGGCAGCTGTCTTGCGGGGCGGCCGCACAGCCTCACCAGCCCAGGCACTGCCCTGTGTTTGGCATGCGCCTTTCCCTGGGCTGCGGGTGCGCACCCAGACCTGGTGGCGGCACTGCTCACCTGGGCTAAAGCCCCGACTCTCCCTGTCCAGGTACTACCGGGGCACACACGGGGTCATTGTGGTTTATGACGTCACCAGTGCCGAGTCCTTTGTCAACGTCAAGCGGTGGCTTCATGAAATCAACCAGAACTGTGACGATGTCTGCCGGATATTAGGTGAGGCGGGACCCCAGGGGCAGCGGGGCCAGGAGCATGGGGTGACCTGGGAGCTCTCACCGGGTGGGGCTGACTGTGTTTTGCTTTCAAGTGGGCAACAAGAACGATGACCCTGAGCGGAAAGTGGTGGAGACGGAAGACGCCTACAAATTTGCCGGGCAGATGGGGATCCAGTTGTTTGAGACGAGTGCCAAGGAGAATGTCAATGTGGAGGAGGTAAGGCCTGGCTGAGGCCCAGGTGGGGAGGGGGCAGCAGGCTGACGCAGCCTGCTCTGCCACACAGCTCCATCCACTCCGGCCTGCTTGGCATCTCCAGTCAGTGTGTACCAGAGATCGGCCGGGCTCCTGTCTCTACCTCAGTTATCCCAGGGAGTCAGTTGCATCTGTCAAGTGGGATAGCAGGGTTCCAGGCGCTTACCCGACTAGCTGTTCTCGGTCCCACCCGGTCCCCAGCTCACCTCTTCCTGCCCAGCTTTCCCTGTGGCTCCCAGACGCACGCCTGCAGGCTCTACTCCCTGGCCTCCTGGGAAGCAGGTGGGAGCCTAGGGGAGAAAATTTGGACCTTCAGCCACAAGCCCTCCTTGGGAGTCCTGCCTCCTGCCATGTCATACAGAGGCCTTAGGAAGTAGGGGGGAGGGGGTCCCACTGCGTTAGGGATTTGGGCTGCACAGGCTCCTGAGGCAGACCTGCATCAAAACCCAGGAGGTAAGCTCTCTGAGCTGCACGTGTATGTGGGGGAAGGGAGGCCCTTTCTCCCAAGCTGTGGTGCCTGGTAGCAAGTGCTTAGCACCAGGGTGTGCACAGTAGCTGTTGGCCCAGCTTTGTGTCACCTGCTGCTCTGGCTGAATGGAGGGAAACTGAGTAGGTAGTTTTCCTGGTTCCTGGCAATGGAAGAGGAGTAGGTGATATGGGAAGGGAGCTGGGCAGACCTTGGGCTCCCTGTGCGGGGGGTGTGGGAGGCCAAGCGCGTGTCCCCACCTCCTTGACTAGGAGGAGAGACGTCTCAGTCCTGCCATTTGCCTTGTACTGGGCACAACTAACGCAGCATTGCTGGGCCCGGGGGCATAGCATGCTGCGAGGGGGTCGCTGACCCTTTTAATCCTGGGACTGCCTGGCAGCTGGCTGCTGCTGCTGCAACCAGGGTGGTGGAGGACTGGTAGGGGAGGGCAGTGTCAGCGTAGGGGGAGAACAGAACTCGGGGTTCCCACAGTGGCTTGCATATCCCCTTTGCTCCACTGTGGTGGTGAGAAATACTAAGTGGGTCCACGCTGAGACAGGGACCACATGCTGATGGCAACAACTCACCCGGACTGGTAGGTGGCGGGCCGCAGGAGGCATCCTCGCCAGGCCTGAGGCCCGCCCTGCCCTGTCTCCCGCACAGATGTTCAACTGCATCACAGAGCTGGTCCTGCGAGCCAAAAAAGATAACCTGGCCAAGCAGCAACAGCAGCAACAGAACGACGTGGTGAAGCTCACCAAGAACAGTAAACGGAAGAAGCGCTGCTGCTAATGCCCGCAGAGACTGCGCTGCGGCCTGCCCGGCCGGGGCCGAGCCTCGGGGACAGCCTCTGTCCTGCCGTTATTTAAAGAATTCTCTCCATGTTTTTGTATCGGGAGGCGCCACCGGCACTTCCTCCCTCCCTGAGTGCCAAGAAGGTGTTGGACGAGCCTGCCCTTTCCTACTGACGCCCTCCCTGGCTGAGGCGCCTGGACCTGACAAGGACGCTGCCAGCTGAGCGGACTGGCTGACCAGGTTGTACATAGTGTAAATTGCTCTAACCAGCTGCACACCCTCGTCCTGCTCTGGCTTTTGCTTCCTGTATGCCAACCTACTGCGACAGACCCTCCTGCCATCTTCCCAGCCACTCTGCCGCCAGCAGCTTCTGGAGGGGAGAGCGTCACGTTCTGGCTGCATCTCTGGCCAAGCTGGCTGGTGGAGTGGCTCCCTGGCGCGCCTTCTCTCTGCAGGCTGTCAGCCTCTGTCCCGGCCTCCAGGGTCTTGGCTCCTGTCAGGTGCATGTTGCCCACCCATCCTGCCCCCAGAACCGTTCTAGGAGCTGGGGAGATCTGACTTGAGGAAGGCCGTGCCGTCTGCCTTCAGAGGAAGTCAGCCCTGCTGTTCAGTCAGCAGGCTTCTTGTCCTGCCTTCTAGACCCCCCAGGGGAGCCATGGCTGCACGCCGGCACGGTGTGCCTCCCTCCTGGCAGGAAGGCAGGACGGGCTCGCAGTGGGCATTAGGAGGATTCACAGCATTATTTTAACTGATAAAGAAAATGAAGCCAAATCAAGTGAATTAAGTTGCTCAACTATTTTCTGTCCCTGAAGATTGATTGGCACAGCAACAAAAGTTGTGGCCACCCCATTTTGGGCCCAGGGTTTTTAGAGAAAGTAAATGACTATCTGTCCCTGTGGGGCTCGTGGTCGCCTCTTGGTAAAAAGGACCCCCTGGCACCAGGAGACTGTGGTGAGTACCAGACATCCCGAATGTGGAGCTTGGTGCCAGGGCTGCCTGAGACCACGGAGGTGATGGGGGAACTCCTGTGGGTGAGATCGAGTGGCAGAAGCCAGGGCGATGGGGCCCAACTCACTCCCGCCCCTGGAGCAAACACCAGGGTCCCCTGCACTGGAGGACAGCTCCCCTTGCCTCCACCCCCTTGTCCCCAAAAGGATCACGTAACCTGGGAAGAATTGATTTCAGCACCATGATGTCTTTTAGATTTCCTTTCCGAGGCATTTCCAGGCCAAGTCCTGACTGGACAATCACGTTGCAGAGCGCTGCAGTCTCCATGGTAACACTGTGGATGGGTTTTTAATCAATAAAACTAGGGGTTTCTTCTCACCTGTTTCTCCACTTGTCCATCCTGGGGGCCAGGGCTCCCTCTGGAGCTGCGGGCGGGCCAGCATGGAGCCCAGTTGGGTCCCTGCCTCAGAACCGCCTCTGGGCATCCCAGGAGCTGGTGGGGGAGCGTGTGGGTGGGTCAAGCTGTGAGGGGGTCGTGGGAGCATCCAGCCCAGGAGTCTGGACGGCCAGAGCCAGGTGGTAGGGGTGACCGTGGGAGGATGGGGGGGCCTGTCCCGTGGAGGGTTCTGCATGAATGGGGTTATGGGGTGGGGGTGGGGAACTCAGGGCTGGACCGACGGATGTCCTGGTGGACCTGATGTGAAATTCCTGTCCAACAACAAAACTTTTAAATGGTTTGCTAGGATTATTTCTGTATTGAAAGTTTCTAATGATGCTTTTTAAAAAAAGTACTAAAAATAAAGGTTCAAGCTGCCAGATTTCTTCCAGGGTCCGTCTGCTCTCCCTGCACTGAGCTCTCAGGGGGCCTGGCTGCTCGCTCCCCCAACCCTACTGCCCCATCGTGTCCAGCTTGCTCCTGGCCTGTGTCCTGCACTGGACAGGTGCCTCCCGAGACCCCGCAACACTTGCCAAAGCCAAGTCCGCCTTCTCTGGGAGCACTGGGAGATGCCAGGCGAAGGTCCGTGTTTGTTCTTCACACCAGAAACAGGCTGCAGATGCCTCTGCCTGAAGCGGTTCCTTTTAGGTGCAAGTCGCTGCCAAGCTCAAGGGCGCTGCCCTTGGTGCCCCTTGGGCAGTGGGCGCAGGGCCCGGTGGTGGAGCATGAAGGTAGGTAGGGGTGGTGACCCGTCCTGGCCGTGTCCGTGACGATGGGTAGCAAAGTGAGGTGGCCTCCTGGATGCAGGGACCCACTGCTGCCACCCCAGCTGCCTGGACCCAGACAGCCCTTCAGATCCCCAGGGACTGAGGCAGGAGGCTCTGTAGAAATCCTTTTTATTCTTATTTAGACTATTTTCAAAAGAAGCAGTGGTGTGCTGTTTATCTAAAAATATGCCTTTATAGATTTATATATATGTGTATTATAAAATCCATACATGTATTTACACAGTTGCTACATACAAAATTACAGCACTGTGGTATCTACATATCTACAGGTACATTCTCTCCGCTCTGCCCTGCTGTGCTTCCCCCGGGGAGGGCTGGAGGGCGCCTGCTGCTCCGTGGTGAGCGGCTGGTGGCTCGGGCGGGAACAGAAGCTGCAGGATGCAGGCCTGGGGAGTGTGTCAGGGTGCCCGGTGGCCTCCCTGATCCACACCACGGTGCCAATGCTGCCCTTGAAGCGGGGCTGAGGGGGCGGTGGCTGGCCAAAGATCCCTTGGGGACCATTCTGTGGCCTGTACTTGCTTGGCTGGGCCAAGAAGTCGTCTGTGAAAGGGTGGGGGGCAACGGGAGGAGGAGCCCCCTCCCAGCCCAGCCCAAGCAGACACAGGGCTGGATGACAGCCAGAGGAGGACCTGGGGCACGCACTGCGGTCAGCCCTGCTTGGGGGCGACGAGGGCTGTGCTGGGATCCAGACGCCAGGGGCCTGGGACGGCCTCGGCCAAGCCTGGGTGCCCTGCTTGTAGGCCCCACGGCCTTGGGCTTCGCCTCCTGCCTGCAGGGGTGCATGCACATGGGGGAGCAGCCCTCTACCTGCCCTGGACTGCTGGGCCAGGGGCTGGGGCAAGAAGGGAGGTGCAGCCTCCCTGTGCTAGCTCCTGCGGGGTGGGCTCAGTCCCTCAGGGGCTGACCTGGGAGGCAGTCTGAGCCCTGTTACTCAGTAACAGGATCCTGGGCAGCCCAAGTGTGGGCCTGGCCGGGGGTGTGAGGACAGGGCTCTCGCCATCTGTCGCCATCTAAAAGCGACCTTCAGAGGCCATGACGGTCCCTAGCTCTCCTCCATCCCCGACAGAGTGCAGCTCCCTGTCCCCCACCCCAGGGGCTGACCCGGCCCGGGGGGGGTGGCCAGGGACCTCACTGAGCCCCAGGACCCCGAGGGGGCCCCTGGCTGTGCCACCAGCTCAGCCACGGCCAGTCTACTGGTCCTGGGGGAGCAGAGAGGGCAGCCCGATTCTCAACTCAGATTTTCCTGAAGAACGAGAAGAGCCGCTTGCCTTCTGCGGGGCCAGGCTCATCCCCCCGCCCCGCACTGGGGCCCCTGGAGAAGGTGTCGGCAGGCCGGCGCTGCTCCCTCCGGTGCGTGTCCATCAGCTGCCGGTCAATGACCCTGTGCATGTCATCCTGCGGGGGAGAGTGCAGGGTGCTGAGCTGGGCCGACGTGGCCAATGTCGTGAGGCCATGGGATGAGGATGGAGAGTGAGATGAGGGAGCAGCCATAGCCGGGGCTTGCCCGACCAAGCAATGCATGTGAGTATGATGCCAAGACGCACACAATCCACGTGACCCTTCCGGTCTCCTCGGGGCTCGGGCTGGCTTCTCAGTGCCCTCTCCCCATCTGACCCCGCACTCCTGGCTGACTTCAGACACCTGTGTCAGTAAGGCCAGCGAAGGCACAGTTCCCACCCCCACCCCCTGTACCAAGCTCCGGGGTCCAGTGCCCGGCTTGGCGCGCCTCACCTTGCCAGCCCTCGGGTCCAGCAACCTGGCCTGGGAGACAGCCTCATGGAGCCTGCAGCAGCAGCTGCCCAAGACACATCTAGTGCCTTCAGCCCGGACCTGCCAGGCTCTGGGCTGCCCTGGGTGAGTGCCTGCAGTTTGTCGGCTGCAGCCCAGTCCACCCTAGGCTCTGGCCCATCAGGTGTCTGAGACAGGGAGGAGCCCAAGTGTGGCCTGTCCCCTTCCTCAGCTGGTACGCTCAGCATCCTTCTTGGTACCTTCCTCCTTTCCACTAGTCACTCAGATCTGACATCGCCAGCTCTTCGCCAATATGTGACCCTTACTTCCGGGCACCGCACATTTAGCATGTGCACAATACTGTTAAACACTGGTAAACACAATGGCGGAAGGGACAGCACTGGTGCAGTGGGTAAAACCACCCCTGCAGAGCTGACATGCCATATGGGCGCCGGTTTAGGTTCCAGCAGCTCCACTTCCCATCCAGCTCCCTAATGATGTGGGAGAACAGTGGGGGATGGCCCACATTCTTGGAACCCTGCGTCTAGGTGGGAGATCCAGAAATTCTTGCCTCCGGGCTTTGGCCTAGCAGAACCCCAGCCATTGTGGCCATATGGGGAGTGAACCAGTAGATGGCCAATTTTTACCTCTTTAAAACCACTACAGATTTTTTAAAAACTTTTAACAGATTTCTTTCTATTGGAAAGATTTACAGAGAGGAGGAGAGACAGATTCTCTATCCACTGATTCACTCCGCAAATGACCACAACAGCCACAGCTGAGCCCATCCGAAGCCAGGAGCTTCCTTTGGGTCTCCCATGTGGGTGAAGGGGCCCAAGGCTTTGGGCTGTCCCCTACTGCCTTCCCAGGTCACAGGCAGGGAGTTGGATGGGAAGTGGAACAGCCAGGATATGAACTGGTGCCCATATGGAATCCTGGCACATGCAAGGCAAGAATTTTAGCCATTAGACTATTGCACCAGGCCCCAATACATAGATCTTAAAAGATGTATGATAAGGGAATATGTCTTCTGGGAACAAAGTCCTTTCAGAGCTGCCAACGGCTTTTCCTGGCACCTTGCAAACTGCACTGAGCAGTCGGACCTGGCAAGGTCTGGGTATACACGTGCTGCCCCTCCCTCCACACCTGCTGTGGCTCCTGAGGTCAAACCATCCAGCTGTGAGGAGGCGGTGTCGAGAAACCAGAGCCGGCCTGTCAGAGCCGGGACGGCCCGTCAGCCCACCGGACATGAGTGATGAGGGAGAGGCCATGGCTTGATGGCAGGGGACACTGCACAGAGATGACGCCGGGCTCCAGCACACACAACACGGCGGCCACGGGGGCAGGATGGTGATGGCAGTGGGAGGTTGGGGACACAGACCCGGGCTCACCTCGAAGGCAGGAGGGGTGTACAACTAAAGCTGTTGATACGGGAACTGAGAAAGGCCACTAGATCAGAAACCAAAGGAGCCAGATAGTAAAAAGCCCTGAGGAAGCAAACTGTAGCCAGGAGAGAAGAGAGAGAAGGGAGGTGAGCGGCGCAGGAGCCGAGGTGCTGGGAGGCATGGCCCATGCAGAGCTCCCCTCCAAAGGCTCCGGTGGCTTCTGAGTGCTCAGCACTCCTCAGGCAGGGACACCGACCCTAATGTCCAGATTCTAACTACTGCCTCAGCCTCAGCATAGTGCGCTGCGGACGATATCTAGCCGCAGCTTCTCTGGGCCCATGCGGTTCCTGCCCCCTGCCTCGTGGCAACCTGACTCCTTTCCTGCTCCACTCCAGGCCAGAGCAATGCCGCAGGGACCGCAGCTCCGAGCCCCAGTCCGCCGGTCCCAGCAGCAGCAGCCGGGGAGCACCGTGGACTTCTCCCCAGGGACTGGGCCCCAGGAACCCCAGGAGCCCCAGGCCACGTCCTGTTCGGCACCATCTCCCTCTTCTCCCCGCCATGGCTCTCATGGCCCCGCTCTACCTGCCAGGCCTCCAGCTGCTGAGACAGGTTCAGTTTTTGCTGAATGGCATCCAACAGCTGGCTGTTGAGAGACATCATGTCCATCTTGCACTTGGCCAGTTCCAGCTCCACAGCGTTCTTCCTGTGGAGAAAAACCACAGCAAGCCTGGAGCCCAGGGGGCAGCGCTTCCTCCCGGGGGTGGACAGACTGTGACCACAGACCAGCAGCACGGACAGTCTGACAGGCTTGCCCCTGTGTGTGCCAAGACTCCTAATCCACCTGCAGGTGGCACCACTGCTAGTCCCCTCCAACATAGGACAGATGCAAGTGCAAGAGGGCCAGCTCCCCCAAAGGGACCAGAACCCAGAGGGGGCAAAGGCCTCTCACACCCCAAAGGTGCCAGCTACTACTCTTCCCAATCTTAAGGCCCAGAGACCGACCTGCAGCCACTGACAGGCACGAAGGTGAGCTGAGCCCAGTGCCCAAGAAACGGGAAGGAAAGTGACAGAGTCAGGGGATGCCACAGGGACAGGGTTTACTGACAAGCCTGGCTGCGCTCAGCTAGGAAAGAGTCAAGAAATGGTCCCAGGACAGGTTAGTTTTTAAATAAAGCTGTCCCTGGCCTAAGGGTGGACCCACTGGCAGGGATGGCACCGCTGCAGGAAGAGCTGGGGTTTCAGTCCTGGCTCCACTTCCCGCTCCAGCCTGCCACTTGCACACCCCGGGAGGCAGCAGCTGCCGGCTCTGCAGTGGGGCGGAGGGCCGAGTTCCCGGATCCAGGCTCTGGCCTGGCACGGGGGGAAGGAGCCAAGGTGGGCGCTCTGCCTTTGGGTCTCTGCGTCTCAGTCAACAGAGAGAAATAAATAGAAAATAAAATTAAAAACAAAGAAAAGGAGGAAACAAACCCTTTGGTGAAGGTGGGCACACACACATGGAGCTGAGCATCTCTGGGTGAGGGGGACAGCCCCGAGCGGGGCCCAGCTCCCGCTGAACTGTGCACACTCATACCGAGTGTGCTAGGGCTACTGTGGCGGGAGGCTCGGGCTTGGCACAGCCCTGGTCATGATGGCCATGGGTGAAGGGAACCCACGGATGGAAGACCTCTAATTCTGCCTTTCAAATAAATCCTTTTTTTCTATACAGAGAGGAGGAGATACAAAGAGGAAGATCTTCCGCCCGTTGGTTCACTTCCCAAGCGGCAGCAATGGCTGGAGCTGAGCCAATCTGAAGCCAGGAGCCCGGAATCTCTTCCAGGTCTCCCACGCGGGTGCAGGGTCCCAAGGCTTTGGGCCGTCATCCACTGCTTTCCCAGGCCACAGGCAGGGAGCTGGATGGGAAGTGGAGCAAGCGGGACATGAACCTGCACCCATATGGGATCCCGGCGCATGCGAAGCAAGGACAAGCTAGCAGCCCCAAGCTCACTCTCTGCCGCTCACAGAAATAACCCTTAATTAGCCCCAGCAGAGGGTTAGACTTCCCGGCTGCCGGGTCCCCGGACAGTGTCCGCTGGGCAGGGCTGCTGCACCGTGTGAGGGCAGCAGAGCGGCTCCCAACCGGGGCTGCTGCCTGTGCTTGCGCCTCCTGAGCCTGGCACCCACAGGGTCACCAGGCCCCAGGACCGCGCCCTACCAGCCTGCCCTGCAGGGTTCGCTGCAGACGGCTCAGCAGCAGCCTCGGCTCTGCGCACTGCGGCTGCGCAAATAGGACCCGAATCTGCCCAATGGATGCCAGTGGCTCAGACGCAGCAGTGTCTTTGCCACGCTCACTGCCATTGGTGCGCGGCAAACAGCCGACGAGGCTCCCGTTGCCATGGACGCTCGGCGGTCCTGGGGCGCTAGACCAGGCCCTGCGCTTGCAGGTGTCTGCCGGCAGGTGGTGCCACGTGCAGCCTGGAGGCTGGGGAAGGTGCTGACTAACGGGGTGCCCGGCAGCTAGCAGGCCAATCCCGAGGGGCTCCCCGCTCCCTTCCCTGCAGGATCTCGAAACCCTAGCTCAGGAGCGCAGGGACACCCAAGCCGCCCCCCCCCATGCCTGCAGCCATCACATTTATTGAAAGCATCTGTACAAGGGCAAATCAAAGCGCTAGTAAGTGACTCCTCTAGGTTCTAGAAGGCAGACTGTCAGTGCCAGGTTCATTTTGTTCTCAGTGAGGCCCCTGTGCCAGCAAGGATATAAAACCAGCACTCTTGGGCAGACCGAGAGTGCGGTGTCTGCACCTCAAATCCCAGGGCCTGGGTCCCAGCCCACTCCTCTACCAGCCAGGCCTCCTGCTGATGCGCACGCTGCAGGCAGGACTGCACCTCCCTCCGCGGAGCCTGGGGTACAGCTGCTGGCTCCTGGCTTAAACCTGGCCCCGCCCTAGCCCTTGCAGACATCTGGGGAGTGAAACAGCAGCTGGAAGATCTCCCCCTCTATGTCCCTCCTAACTCTGAAATCAATCTTCATAGGGGCTGGAGAGGACCAAGGCCCCATCTCCTGAGCTCTCCCTGCCAGGGGCAACCTCCCGGTGACTGAGTCTGCAGGGTGGCAAGTGGCCACGGACAGCACAGCTGGCTCTGTCCAGCCCCGACTGCCGACCAGCGGGCCAAGGGGCAAAGCTGGGTCCCCATTTCTGAAGGCTGTGGGGCCGGAAGGGCCACTTGTTCTCCTGTGCACAGGCCTGACTGTGCCTCCACCACCAGGCTTCCCCTCAAAACTTTCTGTAACTTTGTTACAGAAACATTCACCAGGCAACTGAGAGAAACTGAACTCACACTGGACCCCAATGGATGTATCCAAAAACACTGTTTCTTTTCAAATGCAATGATTTGCTTCCGGCATCATGACTTGATCCGGCAGGGAGGTGGAGGGAGCAGAGGACAAAGATGAGCTACTTGGATCACATGTTGATCAGTGTGGGACTGGAAGACAGAAAACATACCTGAACCACACCTGAATCACACCTGAACCACACTTGAAAATGCTCATAATTTTAAAAGAAAAAGGTAAATATAAAAACAGATAAAGTCTAAATAATATCACTGAGAATCTGTCTAAGAGACAGACAGCAAAAAAGGCCAAGAAATGTAGAATTGTTCCACTGATGTTAGAAAACCCTGTATCTGAGTCTGGCACGGTAGCCTAGTGGCTAAAGTCCTCGCCTTCCATGCGCTGGGATCCCATATGGGCGCCGGTTCTAATCCCGGCAGCTCCACTTCCCATCCAGCTTGTGGCCTGGGAAAGCAGTGGAGGACAGCCCAAAACCTTGGGACCCTGTACCTGTGTGAGAGACCTGGAAGAAGCTCCTGGTTTCAGATCAGCTCAGCTCCAGCCGTTGCGGCCACTTAGGGAATGCATCAGCAGACGGAACACCTTTCTTTCCTCTTTCTCTCTGTAAATTCGACTTTACAGTGAAAATAAATAGATCGTAAAAAAAAAAAAAAAAGAAAAGAAAACCCCACCACTGTATCACACAGCGTGTATGAAGGCACACCGGTTTTCAATGGAAGCGTCTGTCCAGGCAGGAGAGACTAGCACTGGGGCAGGTAGCAGGAAAGCTAATTTTCACATTGCAGTTCTTCTGCATGATTTGGTTCTTAATTTTCTTTTGAAAATGCATGTAAGTGAGCCCTCCCCACTCACTTGGCAATGGCCTCATCCCGGTCCCTGATGGCCTTCTGGAGCTGCTCCTTGGGCTCCTTGTCCTGCGACGTCTCTCGGAGCCGGTCCCTCTCCTCCTTCAGGGCGCTCATCTCCACGCTCAGCAGTGTCACCTGACGGGAGCGAACAGGAAGCCGTCACTGCTGCTGTGGGGTGGTGGGTTGCGGGGGGGTGTGGACCAGCCCACTGCGGCCCAGCTCCCACATGCTGGATGCCACATGCCATGCCCAAATCCAGGGGGCTGAGGAAGTTCACCCTGGCCTTGCAACTCCGAGGCCAGAACTCCTATACTCAGCTCTGAACACCCCCCTATGTCCTCAGCCACCCCAGGTAACTGGTGAAGGAAGACAAGGAGAATCGGGGCTCTGGATCACATTTATATTCAAGTTTGGCTTCCAGCCATCTTCTCAACATGCAATGCTGCCACCCAACGGGGCCCTGAACTGACCGTGGCAGCACCTAGCACGGCCTGGTTCTCTTTCTCACTCAGCTTCCAAGGTTAAAGCCACATGAAAGTTACACACCTAAATGATGCTGTCATCTTGAACTTCCTGTCTGTTAGCCTGCCCTGTGGTCCAAGGCTCCGTGGTTGGCACCACAGCTTCCTTGGGCCTGACAACATGGAGGTTAGCCTGGGTGCTGAGGTGTTCTACCTGGCAGCTCCGTCAGGGCCCCGGGCTGAGCCCACCCACACGACAGCGACCCTGTGGCCCTGTGAGCACAAGTCTGTCCCAGCTTTCCGTGCAGCCCCAATGCGGACTGTGTACAGCGCTCATTCCACCCTGGCAGGGGACCCTGTGCGATAATGACTACTCGTCACACGGCATCGATTCCAGGGGCATCCTGGGGGTCATGGTCATGTTGGATGACCAGGCATGACCCCTCTGAGGGACAGAGATGTCTCCCTTCTGGGGGCAGGTGAGCTGGAATGGCCAGGCACCGTGTCCCCAGCTAACGTCGCCTGTGGAGGGAGTCCAGAGAGCCACAAGTGAGGCGGTCCTTCACCGGCACAGCACCCACTGTTCCTTTCCCACGAGCTGGGCTCCCCCGCCTCCCCGTGGACTCTCCAGGCTATCAGATGTAATTCAGTAATTCTCTTTCTGCTCAAGTTAAGCTGAGCAGATTTCTGTTGTCTGCAACCAGAAACCCTGCCTGGTGGAGCTTCGCTGAACAACAGAGGGGTGCGGACCCCTTCTCAGTCCAGACGTGAGCCAGGGCGCCTGGTCCTGCCCTCCTGCTAGTATTCCAAACACCTGCACTTTTTCCCAAGGTAGGATCACTTCCTCAAAGCCCGCCTGCCTCCCTCCCACAAGGGCACCTTCCGGAGCTCCTCCACACTCGTTTTCTTTTTAAAGAGTTACCTATTTGAAAGGTACAGCTCAGGGTGCGGGTAACGGGGTGGCTGGGAGGAGGGGGTGGGGAGAGAATGGCCACACAGCCAGGGCTGGGCCAGGCTGAGCCCTGGTGGCAGGGGACAAAGCACTTGAGCCCTTTGTCTTTGTAGGTGCCATTAGCTGGAAGCTGGAGTGGAAGCAGAGCAGCTGGGATTTGAACCAAGGCTGCTGATGAGAGGAGGGCGGTCAGCCCCGGGGGCAGCAGCCACTGAGCAGCAACAGGGATGCAAGAAAACTTGTTGCCACCATGGACGATGGATTTCTGTGCTCTCAGCAGTGTGGAAGGGGACATCAGAGCCTAATGCTGCGAACTGAGAACTGACCAAGGCAGCAGTTTTGCTGGAGAGCATGGCTGAGTGGGCAGGTTGGCCCCCTGCACACGCCCCTGGCCAGAGGGTTGAGGGCATGGGTGAGAGCAGGTGACAAGGGCAGTCACCCTACTTGGAGGCGGGCTCAGCAGCCTGGCAGGCTGGAACCCAAGAGCCAGAACCCACCTGGCAGAGCGCACCAGACCTCCACAAAGCAAATAAGCCCTGTCATGGGCGAGAGCCAGCCTGCCAGGCTGCCAGCTGTGCCACAGATGGGTAAAACTACCCAACATGTACCGTGGTTCACGTGAAACACGCCGGTCCGCTGGGCCGGAGAGGCTGATCCAGCTAATGCCCACCAGCCAGCCACCTGCCTTGGAAGGGACAAGGCACTGGCCTCTGTGAGACACACATTTCATAAAACGCAGAAATAAAAGTAACTGATCCCCACCAAAAATTCTTTCAGAAAAATTGAGACATGGATTCCAGGCAGGGCTCCCGTGCAGTCAGCGGCTGGTCCACAGGACTCCACTCCCCGGCAGTGTGCGAGCCCCGCCCTGCGGGCCATGCAAGGCCCAAGAAATGATTTGTTGTGGCCCTGCCATGACAACTGCAAGCAAAAGTCCGAGCATCTGCAGCAGGCTGATTCTATGTTGATACTTTCACATGGTCTGCCAATGATCTCATACATAGCCAAGTGCCCCCTGGCAGACATACCTGAACCACACACACACCTGAACGTGGCCTAACCCTCTGTGCCCCACTCATGCTCTGCCTGATTCGAGATTCCTGCTAATGAAACTCTGGGAAATAGCTGATGACGGCTCGACTTGGGGTTCCTGCCATGCATGAGGGTGATTTGGATGTGGTTTTGGGCTCCAGGCTTCAGTCCGGCCCAGCCTTGGCTACTGCAGGCATGTAGGGAGTGAACCAGTGAGGAAAATTCCCTATTAAATGTAATGGGGGAGGGCCCAGCTCGATAGCCTACTAAAGATAGCTAAAGTCTTCGCCTTGCATGCACCAAGATCCCCTATGGGGTGCCGGTTTGCGTCCCAGCTGCCCCACTTCCCTTCTAGCTTCCTGCTGTGTCCTGGGAAAACAGTGGAGAAACAATTGAGGGCGGCCCAAAGCCTTGGGATCCTGCACCCACATGGGAGACCTGGAAGAAGCTCCTGGTTCCTGGCTTCGGATTGGTGCATTGTGGCCACTTGGGCAGTGAATCAGCTGATGGAAGATCTTTCTGTCTCCCCTTCTCTCTGTAAATCTGACTTAATAATAATAATAACAATAATAATAATAGTAAAAAACAACTAATGGGGGAAAAACCTGAATAGGCTTTGGGGACGAGTGCTGCTGCTGGCTGCTCAGCTTCCAGTCCCACATCTGACTCAGCTCTCAGTGAGCAAGCAACGGGCCCAGAGGCCTGATCACCTACGTGATGACATTTTAGTCTGCATTAGCTGCTGCTGGCTGACACTTGGTCCCCACTACCACGGCTGGACACTGCCCCTTAAAGGGTCAGAAGACAGCTCTGAGATCTGGAAACACAGACCTGCCCACTCACCTCATGCCTCTCAGGGCCGGGTGCTGTACCAGGCACACAGCAAATGGCTCAACAGATACGGAAAGACCCCTGGGGTGGCCCCACACTGTGCCTGTAGCGCTGGCTACAACTGTTGGGGGACTGTCTTCACCCAACCCTCCGCCCCGGGGCGTTGGCACCGACTCTGGTCTCCGACCGGCAGCATGGTGCCTGTGCTGAGGCCAGGGGCCTGTCTCCTCTGAGCATCTGGGACAGGATGCCTGCAGGGAAAGCCCAATCCACTCTTCTACAGCCATCGCCGGGTGAAGTCCCTGTGGGGGAATCCAGAGACCGGCTCAAACCTGCTCTCAGCCGAGCTTCTCAGGAAACTTCCCTGGTAAGAGATGACACCCTAGCTGCCTATACTTGGCACCTTTTGGTGAAGTTCTCATTTCATAGTTTTGAGAAGCAAAAAACAAAGCAAACTCCCCCAGTCAGTGAACATTAAAGAGCAGGAAGGGGCTGGTATTTGGGCTAGGGGTTAGGGCCAGGTTTGGAAAATGTCCCAAGGCAAAGTACCTGAGCGCCTGGGCAAAGCAGCCCCTGCCCGAGCCCCACTGCCCAGGGTCTGGCCAGAGCAAGCCACGGCTTCACATGGCATCTCTGTCCTTGGTGCCAAGTCACTCACAGAAAGATGGGTACACTCATGGCTGTGGTGGGTGGGTCTCCCAGCATCTTCCCAGACAATGTCAGCGATGCTACTGGGATAACCCAAGAAAGACAAGTCTTACTTCTGTTAAAGTACATTTGAAATGGAAAGTCAGGGTCAGGCTTAAATTCTCCCTCACAGAAATCTCATGTAACAGGAAGGGACAGGCAGCTTTGGGCAAGGAAGGGAGAAGGGAAGGCCAGCAGGGAGATAGGCAAGAGAGTGGCTCAACTGCCATTCAGAACGTCTGCACCCCATGACCCAGTGCCCAGCTCCAGGCCCTGGCGACACTGCGTGTGAGCCAGCTGCCTGCTGCTGCACACCCTGAGGCCCTGCTGCTGACACAGGAGACTTGCACGGAGGTCCTGGGCACTGCCAAGGCCTACGTCACCCCCAGCCACAGCAGCCATCTGACGACTGAACCAAGAGATGAAAGAGCCCTGTTTCTCTGCTTTTTACACAGTATAAAAACAAATTCCAACAAGATTTTTTAAATGTGGCTGTGCTCCTCCCCTGCATCCATGCCCATGCTCGGCGGAACTGAGACAAAGTGCTGACGCAGCTCTTCTCTGGCAGGGCTGCTCCACAAGCCTTAGCATCTCATAGCTCTCACAGCAGCATACAGTGGAGACAAGGCCTCATGACCCAACAGGAAGCAGCAGCGAGGCCACAGCGAGTGGCTCCAGCACTGCCAACCAACAGGGCACCTTCGAGGAGGGACGAGGCCAGGCAAGACCCACCATCTCTCAGTTGGGCAGTGTCTCTGCCAGGCACCTGCTCGGAACAGTATCCACAAGTGACCAGGAACCAGGGCACCTATTCCCCTCCTGAAGACCCCCATCTCCCCTCAGCTTCAGGCTGCAGTCCCCAGGGGGACTCCCGAGGGTGCCTACAGAGCCGGGCAGCATGTGCCAGTCCTCCCCAGGGGACTGAGGAGGGGACGCTCACCTGGCTGTGGAGTTGCTCCAGCTCTTCTAGGCTTTGCCTCAGTTTACCCCTCTCTCCCTCCATGAGTTCCCTTAGGGCTCGTGAGTCCTCACTGGTCTGCCTTATCTGTTCTTCTAAGGAGTCATCATCAATTCTCTGGGAACTCTGACAGCAGGAGAGCGAGGGAGCCGGCCACAGAGGGGGTAGTGCACCAGTTGACAGGAGATGGGGAGGACAAGACAGAGTGGAGGGCAGGCAACAGGGGAGGGAGAAAAAGAAAGGGCAAAGGCAAGAGGGAGAAGAAAGAAGGTTTAGGCAGAGAGCCTCTTGCTCAGTGTCAATATGCAAGCAGTGGCTGCACGTTCACTCCCATCTCAAGCTTCAGGGAAAGGAAGCTGAGTACATGAGTAACAGCTCGCTCTGACGGCACCCTCCTCCCACCACGGCCTGCTCTAGTGCAGCAGGGGATAGGAACTGCCCCCTTTGTCTTACAGCACCCGGAATGGGTAGGAAAGCCCAACCATCCCACGGGAGAACCAGGAGGAGGACAAACCGCAGCCTGAGTCAGCAGCAGGTGTATGGAGTGGATCTGGGAGAACGAGGTTATCAAGTTGGGAGGATGTACCCGTCTGCTCGGGAGAACCATGGGAACATGGCCCTCCTGCATGGGTGTGTGTGTGTACACCCCAGCCAGCTGTGCTGCTTCATTCACATCCTTCAACTCCACCACAGAATCCAAGGGCTCTGCAGAGGTGCCCCAGTCTCCCATTGCCAGACAGGTGCACTCAAAGTCTCCAAGGAGAGCTCAGTCACTGCGGACGTTAACCATCTGAGGAGACCCCAGCAGCACCCTGGCATCACCCAGCAGGTGGTCCGGGGACCTCTGCTCCCTGGCATCTACTCAGGGCCTTGCCTGAACATGGTGCTCTCTGTTCTCAAGCAAATCAAGAGGGTGCAGAGGAAACTCTTACAGCTATTTTAAAAGGCTACAGGTTCAGAGTCAGCTGCACCTTCTGGGCTGGACTGGCACCTCCCAGAGCCCAGGCACCATGGGGTCAGGCCTGCCCCAGCCTGGCTTCTTACCGTGGGCTCTAGGCCATCCACGATGCTCTGGATGAGTCTCTTGAGCTCGTTGAGGGCAGTGCGCAAGCTGCCGGCTGGCACATCTTTGGCGGATGAGGTTTCTGAAGACTCATCCATCGAGGAGTCTGTGGACACGGCCGAGTCGGCGCTGTCGTTTCCCCGAAGGTGGGAGCAGAGATAGCGGACCTGGCAGTAGGCTTCCCAGAGCTGCAGTCTCAGCTGTCCGGGACACAGAGAGACACCCCTGAGTTCGGACTGCTGGGGACATCACCACCTGGCCACCCTCCCCCAGTGCCTGAGCCTGGAGATGCCAGTTCTAGGAGGAAGGTGGTATCAGTTTACTTCCAAATCTACTGTCCCAAGCCATGATGACAATTTTTCTGGGCCCAGTACATCTACTATCCCACTCCCAGGTTTTATCCTGCCATGTACAGCACTTCTTTCTATCGCAAGGTCATTTTGGAGGGAGTCAGGAAACAATTAGGAAATGAGTGGCCATGGGCAACAGAGCGGCCACTTGGCTGGATGGGATGGATTAGGAATATTCCCGAACAATAAAAATAGTAGGGGCCTGATCATTAGCCACTAATTCCTTCCTGAAAGGAACTGGAATGAGGCCGAGTGGGAAGTGGCTCTGCCCGGACACTCTGCCCTTTGGCAGTTCTGCCCAGTGTCAAGGTGGGAGGGGAATGGAGGGCTAGGTACACTTTAGTCAAATCTGTTTCACAATGCTCCAGCTGGCAGGTCTGAAGAGTTCCCACCAGGTTGGCAGCAGGGGGGTGGGGAGTGCCCCTGCCGCGTCCCAGGCCCGAGGGAGGGGGTGCCAGCACCTGCTCTCGCTCCTGCTCCAGCTCCTCGGCCTCCATGCTCTGCTCGATCTCCGACAGCAGCGATGTGCTGGTGGCGGCAGAGCTCTGCAGGCTCCGCTCCTCGTTGAGCTCTTCCACCTTCACCTGCAGCTGCCGGTAGGAGAGCCGCACCTCCTGGAGCTCCAGCTGGCTCTGGTGCAGCTTGCAGAGAGAGGGGCAGAGGCAGTGAGGCTTGCCAAGTGGAAAGGCAAATTGCAACAACTGACCCTCACCCTGACTGTGCTTCGGGGCTCAGCCACCAGCTCACAGAAGACCAGGGAGGCAAGTGGTGTCCACCGGGGGACACGGTTAGTGACATCTAGACTGGAGAGATGTTGAAACACAAACAACTCCATTCCTTTACCAAACCCATTTCAAGAAAAGAACCTAGAGATTATAAAAAAAGACTTCACAGGTCTAGCAACTATTTGCAATGTACAGGTCTATTTTAGTTGTATGTTGATTTGGAAAAAAAAAGTGAAAAACATGACATTTGTAAGACAACTGAAAATCTAAACACTAAGGATATTTAGGGAAACTATGCTAAATTTTAAAGGTACTTTAAATAGTAACGTATTCATATTTTTATTATTTTCAAAGATTTATTTATTTGAAAAGTACACCAACAGAGAGAGGCAGAGTGAGCAAGAATGTATACTTCCATCCACTGCTTCACCCCTTAAACACCTAACAGTCAGGCTGGGGCCAGGTCAAAGCCAGCTGCAGGAACTCTCTCCAGGTCTCTCCCACATGGGTGGCAGGGGCCATGGGCCTGAGCCATCATCTGCCGCCTTCTCAGAGGTGTTGGCAGGAACCTGGATCAGAAGTGGTATAGCTAAGACTCTAGTCAGCCTTCCAATATGGGTTGCAAGAACCCTAAGTTCTAGCTTCACCCACTGTGCTACCATGTTAATCAGATTTTTTAAAAAGATTTATTTTTCAAAAGGCAGATTTTACAGAAGAAAGCAGACATGCAGACACAGACACACACACACCAGGAGTTTCCTGTGGGTCTCCCACATGGGTGAAGGGGTCAAAGAACTTGAGCCATCCTTCTCTGCTCTCCCACGTCACAAGCAGGGAGCTGGATCAAAAGTGGAACATCTGGGATGCAAACTGGCATCCATATGGAATGCCAGTGCCGCAGGTAGAGGTTTAGCCCAGCACTGGCCAGTCCTCCAGCTGCCCCCCCGCCCCTTTTTAAATGTTTCTACTATTTAGGAGTATTTTTAATTTACAGGTTAACTTATTAAAATTCTGACTTTTCCTTTAAAATAATACAAGTGAAGAGACAATAGATGCTATGAAGATGGCACAGGCCCAGGCAGGGACAAGCAGGCAACTGTGCACATAGCACCACACCACTAGACTTTCACAAAACTAACAGAAATAATTTTTAAACAATAACATGAAGTGTTAATGAAGGGTATGTATATCCCTGAATTTCAAATGATCTCAACAAGATATTTCACGTAAGCCTACAGTCTCACAGTTGGCTGGGCCACTGATACCAATGGATCCAACACCTCAGGTTCCCGAGGGTAAAACTGAAGCTCGGTGCAGGGCGGTAACACCAATGGTACAGAGGAGAGAGCAGCACAGGGATGGATGACGCCTGAGGGGTGCGGCTCTGCCTCTCCTGTGGCTCCTGGGCATGGTCCACCCCAGGGCCCCCTATTGTGGTCAGGTCTCTACAGCTGAAGATGGGACAACCCAACTATTCTCTCTTCATGGCATGACCAACTTTTAACTTTTGTACTATGGCCTAGCAGCAGCTCCTGACTGTAGAAGCATCCAGCAGCATGCCAGCTGCCAGGCACAAGGCCACATGCCCAAGAGGAACCTCTCCTACTCTTGATATTTGTGGGTTATACCTCTCACTGACAAGATGCTGGGACTGAGAACAGGAAGAGCTTGCGATTTAACTAATGCAGCCTTTCATCAGACATTTCTAGGGTTTCCTATGTTCTATGGAGAGAGTGGCCTTGGCACAGGTCTGCCTCAGCCCTGGCCTGGGGCTCCTGAGGATGGTCTCCGAAGGGAGGATGGCAGCAGCACCTCAGAGATCCGGTTCTCAGGGAGGGCAGGCTGTCTTGCAGAGCCTTTGGCCAGTCTGACAATGTCCTGCCTTCCCTGGTCTCAGCCAGAAAACGGCTGGTGAATGGCACCAGCTTCTGGGGGAGCCCTCCCTAGGAAGGCTTGGGAAGTTGGCTGCTCGGAGAATGAGTGAGTAACTGGCAAGCCTACTCTTTGTGCCTCCCGTGGATCAGCACTGCCTGCCAGTCCAGTGGGAACTCCTCCAGCCCCAGTTTTGAGGAAACCCAGAAAGAAAAAAAATAAATCAGCGTTATGGAAAACAAAGAGAGACATTCCTAGGAGGCATTTGGCACAATTACAAACGGCATATTAATTTGGCAAAATGCTTCCCAATGATTTTCTAGACAACCCTACACGCTTCTCAGCAGGGGAAGCTGACCACAGGCAAGCACACGATCTTACGCACTGGACAAAATTAGTTCAATCACTCATACACACTCAAAGGTGCTTAACAGAGTCTAACAGCAGAAGAACAAAGCACCAGCAGAGACCTGCACACTCTGGTCAGGGACCAATTCCTCAACTGGACAGACACATGCAGAAAAACAGAACCAGAACAGGGAGAATCTGTTAACTGTAAGGACTTCCAACAAAATACACTCTTGACACAAAACAGATGGCACCGAGTGTTACAACAGGGATGACATCGGATTTGGCACACTAGGTTCCAGCGTACAACAAGCATAGGGGCAGAGGTGAGCATCTCTCCTAGCAGAGCCAGAGTGACGCTAAGTGATTGGCCTATAATGATGAGCGTCACAGCCAGTTCTAGGCTCCAGGTCGCCTGCTTCCTGGGCCGCCCGTGGTGAGTAGGGCCTGGGTCCTGCACGGCCCTGGAAGATTCCTGCGTAGCAGACAGGAAGTAAAGTGGTCCTTCAAGGGACAAAACCGAAGTTAAGAGTTTACCAAAATGTTATTTACTGGGAGGTCAAAAAGCAATTCTTATTCCTATCTCGGGTCTGAAAACAACAGCAACACAAAGCCAGACCAAGTTGGATTTGATCAGTGGTGTAGAAATCTGATTTTGACAGCGGGACACCAATTACACGGTGAAACATGAAGTGCAGGCTTCCCTGGTCGGCGGGTGGTTTACAGCCTGCTCAGTCTTCTCTTCACTCCCATCTCAGGGTTTCCAGTCACAGGGTTTAATACACTCCAAGGCTGCGAGCTTTCTGCTGCACAGGCCTGGGTGAGGACTGCGCAGCCACCACCTCAGCGAGCCCAGGCCTAACTCCCATGTCGGTTCAGCTCTCTGCAGCAGCAGAAGGGCCCTTCTGGAGGACAGTGGTAACCGGTGGCAGCCTACGCAGACTTTCACATGTCAGAAACAACAGAATTATCAACAGGAAAGAGGAGAACACAGGTCAGAAATTCAGATTTTCCAAATTATAGGGGGACTTTGGCCTTAATGCAGGGCCTCAGGTGAGCGTCACTGCTCGCTCTGGAAGGAGGGTGGCTAGAAGACAGCGGACAGGCAGACGGCGGCAGGGATGGGCACATGGCAAGCCTTGGGCTTCTCACTGCTGCAGACACAGCCCACTGTGCTCCTGCTCCCGGGTACCTGATGCTGGTTCACCAACCCTGGCTCTCTCCCCCATTCCCAGGGCCTCCATTCCTTATCTGAAACAGAGACTTTTTATCTGGGAGCTCATGCTGGACCAAGGCTTCTTTTAGGCCTGTGTTCTGTTACCTCTCCTTCTCCTGTCCACATCCTGTCTCAGCAAGTCTCCTGAATGAGCTTGATGGGGAAACAACTGCTCAAACACTGACACTCATGGGCAGGCAACACATAAAGTTATCACTGAGTAACAGGCTGAGCAAGTGGGAGGGAAGTGATCTGGAAGCTGCTAAGGGTGACACAGCTTTGGAGAACTCCTTCACTTCTCTTCCTAAGATTTATTTATTTTTACTGTAAAGTCAGATATACAGAGAGGAGGAGAGACAGAGGAAAATCTTCCATCCGATGACTCATTCCCCAAGTGGCCGCAATGTCTGGAACTGAGCTGATCCAAAGCCAGGAGCTCCCACATGGGTGCAGGGTCCAAAAGCATTGGGCCGTCCTCGACTGCTCTACCAGGACACAGGCAGGGAGCTGGATGAGAAGCAGGGCTGCCAGGATTAGCACCGGCACCCATATCTGGGATCCCAGCGTGTTCAAGGCAAGGACGTTAGCTGCTGGGCCACAGCACTGGGCCCCTCCTTCACTTTCCTAAGCCTCTGCTTTATGAAGTGGGTATGAGCACTCTGTCTTCCCATGAGGAGCATGCTAGCATTCATCACTACTATTGCCAACCCTGGGAAGCAGCAAACTTCTCCACTCTAAAAACTGCCGGAAATTTCACCCAGCATTGTTTACTGAAGCCCTACTATGTGCTCAGTCACCAGCTCAAGGGACAAAAACCCGGAGGGAGAAATGCTATTGGTCATTTCCTGTAAGAGGTGTCCCACTCAGATGGCCGCCTCCCTAAGGGTATCAAGCAACAAGTAGCGTTGGCCTCAGATGCCATTCTCCTCATCCCACAGCCCATGGTGGCGTTTCACGGCTGGACCTTTAGGCAGGGATGCCTGATGCTCCAGTATCCTAGGCTCACCTGACCTCCCCCGCTCAGAAGGCTCTGTTGCCCTGGGACAAGCAGAGGGTTGCAAAGGGGCCCAACATACCCCTGGCCTCTGACTCCGGGGACTATCAGGCCAGTCTGAGGTCAGTTCTGCAGGACGTGGAGGGGTTGCCTCTGCCGTGGAGATGGTTTGAACTAGGACACGAAGGTGAAGCCTGGTGACAGTCCCCAAGTTAGGACAAACATGGTGACCTCTCTGAGGTCCAATAAGACTCACACAGGGTCGGCCTGTGCCCTTCCGGGTGACCGGCAGAAGCAGGACACATGTCTAGTGGAGAGCATCTTGTTCAGCTTTGTGCCAGCCAACTAACCCCACCATCCCAGCAGCAGGGGGAGCTGTGAGCTGAGATAACCCAAGGTTCCCTTCTAGCAGATGTCACAAATGCTGGCGATGCAATGATGAGCCCATTAACAGCCCAGAAGGAACCCTGCAGAACTGCTCTGGGAGGCTGGGACTCAGGACACAGTGCAGGGATGACCTGGGTAATCAGACCTTTAGTGTGCGCACAGCCAGAATGGCCGAGCCGGTCAGCACCTGAGGGGTTACTACAGGCCCACTGGGAGACCTCTGTCACTCACTCACATACAGCTCCTGTGCCCCCTGTCATTTTCCTTCTGACCAAGCAACCAACTGCTCCTTGGATTTGGTCCTGTCCTGCCATGGAGCCGTTGTGCCCCAGTACCTGGAGGTCTTTGTCATGGCCTTGCCGCTCCAGGATCAGCACCCGGTCCTGCAGTTCCTCCACGGTTCCTTGCAGGAGGTCATTTTCCTCTAGGGTGGTGCTGAGACGATGCTCCAGCTCCCGTTTCCGATCGGACAGCATCTTGATCTGCAAGGGTGGAAAGCCACAGCGGGTACGGAGTTACACTTGGGCTGATGGGTAGGAAGGAGGGGGGGAGCCCCAAAACATGAAGTGTTCTGCCCAAGGACTCAGTGTCCCTGTCTCTGAGAAAACAAACAGGAAACCCTAAGCTGGGGAAGCAAACCCCTCCCCTCTAGAAACGTGTCTGGGAAGGGTGGGAGTGAAGCTTTGGGGAAGCTGGAATGTGGGATGCCAGGCAGAGGAAGGGAAGGCGGGTGCTTTGGAAATTCCAGAGATAACACAGAGGCGGCCTCACCTTGCCTGCCCTCAGTTTCACCCCAACCCTGCAACGTGCACGGGCAGGCGGAATCAGACCTGCTGCACTACTCCTCTCCCTGCTCAAGTCACAAGCTCAACCGCATGCCCACGAAAGGCCACAGGCTGCTGTGCTCCACACTCCAGGGCTCCCCGCTATCCCTCTCCTACTGAGTGCCCCTCCGGCCCTGGAGGTCTCAGCTCAAATCTGGAGCTTCGAGTCAGAAGAGGAACTGGGAGGAGCACGAGGAACTGTGAAGGGGTAGGACATGATACTGTGAATAATGATTTCCACTGAGCAAGTAATTCACAAAGTGAAGCAAACTCTATTCTTTCATGAGACAGGCTGATGTGTCTGAATGATGGGTACCAGTCAGTCTTGACATGCATAAAGCTTCTGCTGGGAAGGGTTGTCTGCTGTTCAGTGTCAGAGGGCAAAGACAGGAAAGCAGTGCCAAGTCTTTGGGGGTCCAGGCTTGCAGGGAGAGAAGCTGCACAGCAGCTCCCTTGGGCCAGTGATGCTCCCCACCGAGGGTACCGCTCTACACAGGGGTTCCAGAAAGCCTGCCAGCTCTGCAGGAACTTTGGGGGTTCCACCAGCTCCCCTGAGTTCTATGCCAGCTTCTGGCCCATAAATCCTCTCGGGTCATGATTAAAGTGTCCTCTAGACGCTCCAGTGTGGCCAGGGCAACAATTCCCCAAGGTCCTGCCTTGCTGAGTCCTCTGAGGGCCGCCTTTCCCCCCGCTCTGAGCCGCTCTCACTCTCCACACTCTACTTGTGACCAAAGGACACACATCTTCCCTGGCCACCAGTCAATCAGATAGGATGCTGGCCTGGGGAGACGAGGTATGTGGCCCTTGTCCAGAGCTCAGGTATCGCAGCAGACAAAGAAACGCTGTCTCTCAAGCAGGCACCTGGCAGAGGGAGCCAGAGCAGCCAGCCCCTTTTGTGAATGGGCCCCCTCTTACCCCACACTGAGGCAGAGTTACCCAAGTGAAGCGAATTCCTACTCTAACGCATTTTCATTTGAACACCTTCTGACCTTCCAATGTTCCTTCCCGTAGATCAACTCTGTTTCCCATAGTTCCCATGATCGCTTTGTTTTCTGTTTCACTTAGTGAGGTAATGAGTTAATCCAATTCTGACACACAACTGACTCTTTAAAAGCTTTAGTTCAGAGCTACATGAAGCAACATCTTTGTAACCAATAATCTCACAGCCTGGCTTTCAAAAGTAGCAGTGGTAACACATGAAGCAAGGAACCGGTACGAAGCTGGTTCCCTCAACCAACCCTGCACACCCCAGGGCGTGTGACCACATCTGGCAAACAGCATTCCTGGGAGTGACCCTGTTTATGAGGGTCTCAGAAGGGGTCAGAGCCTGGCAGAAGCAGCTGGATGGCAAAGTCATGCACACAAATGGTCACAGATAGGCATGCCAACCCCAACAAGCTTACTTACTTCAAGAACCTGCTGCTCAATACCAGTAGGAATTCCAAGAGAAAGGAGGAAGGGAAGGAGTGGGAAGCAGGAGAAAAGAGAAGACATTGACAGACTTTAGGAACAACATCCTCACGTCATTGATGAAGTGGGCAAGCAGCCATCTGGAAGGGTCTCTGGCAAGCTGACTCCTGAAGACAGGGGAGGGCCTCACTCAACCTGTCCTCCGCTGTCTCTCAAAGCCCAGCTGAGACGAAGGGCTGCTGCTGAGAGGGTCCAGAGGGCAAGGCTGCGTGGAAGCCTCTGATTGGGGTGTTGATGTGACCTTGGCCTTCTCCTCGCCTCCTGCAAGTGTGTTCGCCCAGTACTGCTCCCCAGGGGCTCTCTTGGTTCCTCCAACTACCTCAGGGCCAGGGATCCTGGTGGCACGTTCCAACCTCCCATTTGCCTTCAGTGATATCCCTACATCCCAGCTACCACTAGGTGCTTCCCATGTATGAGGATACTTCAATAAGTTTCTGGAAAATAGAATTAAAAGACAACATTTTTGGGTACAAGACATTAAACAAATTCAAATATATGATGAGTATTCAAAAAGTTATGGGAAAAAAATGTATAAAAACTATGTACAATGTATTATGTTAAAAAAAGTAGATTCAAACTTTTTTACACCAAAATAAGCTTTATCTTTTATTTCAATTTTTCTGTAAACTTCCTGAAGTATCCTTATATTCATACAGCAAATTGTCACAAAAGCTATTCAGACTAAAAATTGTTATTATCTTCATTGTGTAGTCCATTAAGATGGACTGAACTGGACCAAAGTGGAATGCAGAGAGGGAAGCTGCCCTTCCCGCGCTATGGTTTGGGACTGGCTCGAGGGATTAGCATGGTCAGTAAAACGTAGGTCACTCATGCTTCCAACACACTCAGCAGTCACACTGAGCAACTCTCCTCTTCCAGACAACAGGCTACGGAGAGGAACATGGATCAAGTGCTGCCCATTTAGTTTCTCACAGACATGCCTCTCCATGGAGCTTCTGAAGCCTTTGATATAGAGCAGGCCTTTCTTTTCCAGGTCAGAGGGCTTCCTGTTCAAGCCTGCTGTGAGAACGGCACCTCTAGTTCCAAGCACCACCCCGCCGGGAGGCTCACCTCGGCCTGCAGGCTCTCGAGCCGGATGATGTGCTGGTTAGTGGACGAGTTTTTCTCCCGGAAGTCTTCTCTGAGAGCGTGGACCTGCATGGAGAGCTGTCTCTCAACTTCTGACGCCTGCAACAGAGGAGACCTTCAGAGCTGAGTCAAACGCAGTGCAGACCCGGCTGGCCGAGATTTCTGCCTCAATTTCTCAAGTATCTCTTTGTGCTTCCCACTCCAGAAGGTGTTGGGTGGGATGACAGGATCCATCCACCTGCTACAGAACCATTGCTCTACTCTCCAGCACCAGAACTAGACAATCTCTACCCCGTCTGCACCATAAATGACAGCCCAGCTCACCCGTAACAGGCTTGGAGCACAGCAGGCTTACGACACCAGTTAGCTTTATGATTCTACACATTGCGGAAGCTCAGCAAACACAAGGGACAGAAACCACGAGAAAAATAAGACAGATATACCTACAGTCTCAAATATTACTTTATTCTCGCCATCAACTTCCTCAGCAGGACTCAGGCAAACCACCTCTCCCAGCACTTCTCACAAATGCTCAACATGAGCTCTATGTGAAATTAACTGTCACATGGGTCGGACACTTGGCCTTCAAGGACTGTTATTATTTTCAATTTTTAAATTCTCTGCAGTGTGCTGGGTGAGGTGCTGATTTTCTAACCCAGCCCATTTACTCAGACAATGGAAAGTGAAAAGCCACTGGGTGCCGTGGGAGCGTTGTCCGCTTAAGGTGCACTCACTTGGCAACACATGCACTCTGGTTCCTCCCCAGGGCAGCAAGAGGGGAGAGTTCCAGAACAAGAAACTGTCTTCATGCTTTTCTGAGGCCAGAAGGGGTCAGCACGTTTTCTGGGTTCTTGGGAGAGCGCCATGGGCTGGAACAGCTGGCAGGGGCTTGTGGAGGCAGCAGGATGGTGATCCTGTGGAAGGGTCGGCTGCCTGCACAATGAGGGACAATTCAACCGTGATTCCCTGTGTAGTGCCTCTCTGCATCTTTAAGCTCTTAATAACCAAATGTCCATATTTTGGGGAAGGGAAATCTTCCACAGATTCAATAAATGCTGCCTTCTTGGATTAGAGAGCTACAAGAAAATCTTAATGTATATTTAGCTCTACTTTTTATCTTTCTTTAATTTGATTTGAAAAGCAGAGCGATAGAGACAGAGATATATTTTTTCCATCCACTGGTTCACTTCTCAAATGGTTGCAACAGCAGGGCCTGCACCTAAGAGTCCAAGTCTCCTACAGGCATGACAGGGACCCAAGCACATCGAGCCCTAGTATTTTAACCTGGGATGCGGGCATTGCACACACAGCATCTTTACTATTATTATTATTATTATTACATTGCATTATGTGACACAGTTTTTTAGGCACTGAGATTCCCCCTACCCCTCCCCTAACCCTTCCCTCATGGTGGATTCCTCCACCTTGTTGCATTGCCACAGTTCAAGTTCGGTTGAGATTCTTGCATTGCAAGCATATACCAAGCACAGAGTCCAGCATCTTATTGTCCAGATAAGTTCAACAGCTTCTTGTGGAGACCATCTCTGGTCTGAAGGTAGAGCTAGCAGAGTGTCATCCCGACCAATCAAAAGCCACAACATAACATCAGCAACAATCCACAACGTCATGGAGTTAGTGGACATAGTATTGAGTAATCAATATGTTAGAAAAAAAATTACATTTAAGGGACTATTTTCATACTGACATCATTTCATCTTAAATTAAGGCAAACATCACACACAGCATCTTAACTGCTCTACCAAACACCTGCCCCAAGCTCTGCTTCTTAAACAATTGCAAAACACAAAACAAAATCAAATCATCATCCTCTTATAATCCTGAATTTAATTTCAGACACCGTGAGCAGCGTGGCTTATCAGTTCACTCAGGAACACATTAGTCACTCACTCATCCTTGCCAAAAAAAATTGAGAACCGCTGTAATGTTTACTGAGTTCTTACTATCTGCTCAGAACTGTGCTAAACGCTATCAACGCATTAGCCCAATTACTGCTCCTTCTCCACCCTTGACATTTACTCAGGAGGGAACACACTAAGGAAGTTGCCCAAGATGTTACCAAGTGAGGCCATCAGAATGGTACATTTGGGGCTAGATTTTCTTCAAATTGGGACTGAAATTTCTTGTACTTGAAAAAGTTTCAATTGATTACTATGAGACAAAACTTTACATTAAGTCCAACCTGGCAAGACTTTTTTTTTTTTTTAAAGTGTGAAGCACTTTCATTTAAGGCTCCTGAAATTTGTTCAAATACAACATAAGACCCATCAGGAAAATCCCCTTTACATGCTGCCGCCTGGCTGTATTACATTCAGCTCTTCACAGGGTTTCCAACACTTGCCAAGCATGGAGTAACACAGGCAGCTGACTGTATTCCCAGCATTACTATCCTGACACAAATCCCTAGGAGCACAAGGCCCACGGAGCTGCCCCGAGGACTCCGACTCCAACAGGGCTGGTACAGAAATACTCTCCTTGTCCAGACTCCTCTCAAGGCAATCTTCCTAGAGCATAAACACTGTTCTCTTCCTGTCAAAAAATTTCATTCCAGAGTCCCTTAAGTTAAAACATCCTTGGATGTGCCTGGGGATGTACTGTTCTCAAAGGTGCTGAACTTGTACTTATGTGAACCTCCCAGGACCTGAGAAGCAGGAATGGGGCATTGGTCTTGTGTGGCAGACAAGGAGGCGGAAGCGCAGACATCAGCGCAGAACTGGTGTTGGGCTGTGGCACCATGGCCACTTCCCAGTCAGGTGGCCAGTCATGTGCCTGCATTGCTGATGAAGGGCAGACACAGATAAAAATTACAATTTTACCATTTGCCAGCAGCAAATGCATGTTTTCAAAGCCAATTGTGTCCTTTCACAGAGACCAGATATCCTTCAGATGTCTAGATTTGACTGTGTTTTTTCTGTACACATGCTATATAACAGTATCTTTTGTTTGTGAATCGAATGCTCTACATGCTTGCTAACCACACTCTTGGGGACCATGGCTCCACAGCGGGCTCTGGGCTTCTGGGAAGCTTCCCACACAGGAGAGCCAGCCCAACAGCAGTTTGCTCCTCAAGGAGGACGGCATCACTCAGAGGAAGAAAGTTAAGGCCAAACCACGAACGGTGGGGTTCCTGTCCCGCCATACACACACATACGATTTACATTAGTCAGAAAAATGTCTTCCAAACCCATGGCCTAAATAAACATAGTCTTTTTTTCTTCTCTGCAAGCTTGCTGTAGTGCCTTGGTTTCCACACTTGATCTTAGCCAAAAGGCCGAGAAGCGATCTCTGCCTTGGTTCCCTAACAACTAAAAATGAGAATCCAGTAGTGTAAGTGGTTGGAACAGTGTCTTGTGCCCAGGCAGTACCATGTCTTACTACTTTCAGCTCATTCGTGTCAGACAGCTCTGATCACCTTTTGCAAATATCAACACTGACTGAAGATATGATATTCAAGTTGCTGGCACAGAAAATTTTAAAAGGTTAAAAGTAATTGAGGGCAGGCCTTAAAACAGTCTGAGGCACTCTGGCCCAGGGACTGAGGAAGGAAGAGGACAGCCCAGTGCTGCAGGGAGGAGTGCAGGGGCTCTGCTTCTCTCACCAACAGTAGTACAGTGGTAACAGAAACTCTGACAAGTCTGGCGAGTAAGGGAGACTTGGATCAAAATGTACCCGAGCGAAATTGGGGCACTGCTTAGCCCCAAACTTCCTCTGTGCTCAGGATGGAAAACACAAGGATAACTCAACATGTTCATGGAAAATGAAATTAAAAATATGAGCCGGTTTTGACACAAAATTTTTTTCACAGTACATACAAAACGGCTATTATGAAAAAGATACGCATGGATTTCAAAAAGTTTCTAAGTCTAAACGTTTCTTGTAAGCTCTGTGACCCAAAGAAAGCAAAATGAACGGATGGAGAAAACGCTAGTACATTCATTTTGCTTTCTTTTGGTCATAGAGCTTACAAAGAAAGTTTAGACTTAGAAAGTATAGAAAATTAAGATATTCTTTGCAGCTGCATGGTTTACAGAAAAAAAAAAGTCTTTCCAAACTGACAGGTTTTATTTATTTATTTTTTCTCTCTCTAAAATAAAACTGTTCTTGACATCCTGTTCTTTCCTTTCTCCCAACCACCACACTCATGGCCCTGCCCAGCGTGTGCTCCCTTCTGCAATGTCGTTCCTGGGAAATTTTTACCTGAGAAATTCTTAACCTGATTGGACTCCTTTGAAGTCCAAGTTCTATCTTGTTTCCAGGGTAAAATCACATGGTTTGCAGCCCTGTCAAACTCTACGACACCCATATTATCAATGCTCCCTTTATTTGTTTACATGCTTGGGGAGTTTTCTCTTTTAGATTTATGGGCAGGAATTGTATCTCCCAGTTACCTTTGTTTCTTTAATCAAGTGCAGGACACACGCTAAATGCTCAGATGTTTACTGTGTTAAACCAAACAAACAAACAAAAAGATCTGAACTTCTTCAGTAAGTTCATTTTAGAGAAAGCCATGACTCTGGAAAACAGAAGAAAGATTAAGCTAAACCCCAGAGCGCTCCTTTAGCCAGGTTCCACCAGGTTCACCAGGGAATATGAGATAATTCTTTTTGACTTAAATGGCCGGCCCTGGTCAGGGCACTCTTTCCTCCCGGAGGTCATCACCATGGCTGGGCCGACTTACTTTTGGCTTTGATGTAAATCACCCGTGACTGATCCTGGATTTGCTGCTCACTGCTCCTGCCCACACCTTCACCCTGTCTTTGGTATGTGGAACCATTTAATACTCAGAACCCACAACTTCTTCCCCTGTGCCCTCTACAGACCTCATGTAAGCTCCTTATTTTATAAGGTTATTAGCATCCGAGGGGAGATGGACTTGATTTTTTTTTTTTGAGCCTGTCGTCGTTGCAATCTCCACCACTCACAACAGGAAATTAAACAGAAGGCTCGATGCCCAGACTTTTCCACCCTAACCAGAGCAGCTCATGCTTTGCTACCCTGGGCTGACTGCAGCGAATTAAACCTGGGGAAATGTATTGCAAAAAGTTTTTGATTGACTGATTGATTTTTTTTTTTTTTTTTTT